ATTCAAATCCATAGAACTATTACCGATATGATTGTTTTTTTGTTTTCAGCATCTGCGCCTGGAATTTTTGAATTTCGTGTGAATTAAGAAGAAACGTCAGAAAATTTGAGAAACGAATGTTTTAATTACATTAAAACTACCAGTTAAAAAGCTTCTGGAAATATTTAGAGATCTCACATAGGAGGTCATGCGGTAGAGATTAGCCTGATAATTGGCCAGGGGACTCTTTGATTCAGATCAAAAGAAGAATCTGAAAGTTTCCACCTGGCAATTCTTTAGTTTTCGAGAAATAAGGATTCAAAGCTGCAAAATGATCAATTTTGACGAATTTTCAGTGTTTTCTTTGACTTGAAGGTGGCCTATCTCAAAACTTGGAAATTTGGCAGGTTAACCCTTTTAGAATATTCATCTGATATGTCAAGAAACGTTTTGTCAAAAAATTCCCGTCCACACAGAAAAATAACCTTTCTCGTCAGTTCTGGAGGGAAGTATCAGCTCACTCAAATTAAAAAAAAATTCATTTTTCTAAAGCTTTACATTTTTTCAAAGGGCAAATGGTGTGTTTTTCAACCATTATTCCGATTGAAATTGCATGTGGACCTGAACGTATTTATGCAAGCTTTCAACGTCCCATGCACTTTGCGGACGAAAAAGGCCCGTGGAATTAATACGCGAGCAGGAGCCTCGCGGCCTGAAACGGCCAGTAAGTCCTTGATTGCTGAGGTAAGTTCGTTTGCGACGACGCTCGCGCGCCTTGGCCAATTGACGGCAAGCAGCTCAAGATTGGGTTATGGCCGGCAAAAAGCAATTGTATTGCCACGCAGCTGCAAGTCTAACTCGTCTAACGCGTACAAAGCCACAAATCGTTTTTGCTCCGCTTGCAAGTTTCTCCATTGTCAATTTTTGAGAAGAATTTTAGGGAGATCCGTGAAATATCACACGGTCCTCAAGGTTGTCAAGTCAAGGAGAAAACGGAGAAAAGCTAATGCGACTGCTTGAACTTACTTTTTTCGCATGAATAGTTGACTAAATTTATCTTTCTCAAATAAGGTATTGCAACAAAAACCTGATATTGTAAAAAAATATTCAAGCTATTTTGATCAGTTCTGATTTATCATCATAATAAAAAAATTAAAGCTTTTCACACACTCATCAAAAAATTAAGCTTCATCACAAAGCAATCCAAGAAAATTCAAAATTTATGTTTCAAGGTCATGAAATTGAGCGACAAGTAATACGAAATTTCAAGAGGTTTTCGAAAAAGTTCATGCTAAATTTTGAAATCCAGAAGTACTATAAGAATCGAGGTTTTCCCAAAAATGAAAAGAACAAAAAAGTCTTCAAGGTTTTCATATGTTTCAAAATCGATTTAATTGATAGTTTCCGTTTTCTTATGACTATACATCCAAATAGAAGCTCCGAAAATGCTTTTACAACTAAATTATTTTTTTCAAAATATCTCTCCAGAACTTATGAAAGAGCAATTTTCGAAAGTCTCCAAGTACTTTAGACCCTGGTTTGTTCACCCATGCTTCTCACTAAGTTTCCGGATAAAAAAGGTCGGCACAAATTTTTCCGAACTTCTAGAGAGCGTTCGGGGCTTTTATTGCCGAGTTTCTAACATGTGTCCTTTGTAAGACATCATTCGCCGGAAGTCTCTCTAAGGGCAATAAAAAATTGCGTTCTCCCTGAAAAAGCAAAGAGTTGCTCCTTGTTGAAACGTACATAAACGGTGATTATTGAGGGTGAGGGTCGAAGGACCGGAAGGCGTTTGCCTCGCAAATTCACTTGCAACCGCGCTCCTTGCTCTCCCAAAGAGCTCCATAATTGGCTGCGCACCACATAATTCCCCTCGATATGTTCAATAAGCGGCATATAAAAAACATGTTCGTGCCGTCAAAATAATATTAGCTAGGAATATGATCAAGACTTATTTTTTTGATATAAAATAGTCTTTTTTTCATTCATTTATCGTCAAAAATTCAATTTTCGGATTGTCTTATTTTTTTCAATCGTAAAACCTCAGAGTACGGTTATTGGAATGCAGCAGAATTCGAAAGGTTCAAAAATAAATCCAATGCGGCGTCTCCGTTGAGACTAATTATACTTAAGTAATTGATATTGGAATGAAAAAAACTAGACTTTTGAATTTTTTTAGTTTGAAAGTGATAAATGCTCGAAAAAGAGAATAAAGCAACAATTTTTTTACATTGATGAAAAGTGCAATGTCATCCATAATTATTTTTGAAATAAAGTTTTCATTGTTCTGATTTTTGTCTTTCGTTGCAGAAAAAAAAAAAAAAATTCAAGTGTGGGAAACAAACTGAAGAAACGTAGAAAACTATTCAAGCAAGTATTTTTTTCCATTGTAAGATTATCAAGAACATGATACAATTGTTAAGGAAATTGTCTACAGAAATAAATACTAACAGAGTAAGTCACTTTACTTTCCGCTTGGGGTTATCCTGAAAATTGGCCAGAACAAACTTTGATGAATCATAAGAAGATTTTAAAAGGTTCAACCTGCACAAATTTCTAGTTTTTTGGGAAATGAAAGCCTGAACCCAAAAATAGCCCCTCTTATTGAACTTTTGAGGGTTTTGTTCGACTTATAGGCGTATTTTCTCAAAAACGAGAAAGTTGTACAAGTTGAGACTTTTAAGATCTCCATATGGTTCATCAAGAAAGGTTCTGGCCAACTTTCAGTAAACGCAGAGTGAAATGACCGTCCTTGTAAGAAGATTCGCATTACCCTTGAATTTTAAATTTTGATTATAATATTTTTTAATATGCGTGAAACGTTAGATTCACATTCGCAAACTAGAAAAAAAAATAAAACGAAAATGTAAACGAACCCGTAATGATGGCCGTGGTGTAATAGTAGTTGAGCTTGTCGATGATGTCATCGTCGACGTGGAACTGTATGGACTTGACCGCGCTCGCGAAGTAGTACAGTAACATACTCATTCAGGGCATGATTCCGGGGCGCCCGTAGCGCCAGCGGCTTCTGAATATGAGGCTAGTTGAGGCTGTCGAGGATGCTCCAATTGCACGGAAGGCTGTCTGGCGACACGAAAAACGAAAAAAAGAGTGACGAGGGCTCATCGAAAAGCGCCTGGGCGGACGGAAATTGTTAGCATAAAACGATATTCCCCAATGAGTTCGCTTGAATTCTCGCTTTCTGATTGGCCGTTCGGCTCCGTATTATTGGAAAATAAGCTGTTTTGCATGATTTCGGTAAGTGAATTCTTTGCCATGGAATTCTCCACAATTTTTTTCTTCAGTTTTCTACTTAAAAATATTTTCAAAAAACGGCTTTGTTTTTTGACAGAATATATAACAAAAAAAAACCTCAACCTAAATTTTTGAAACAAAAAAAGACCATGTTAAAAATATTTTTTTGTGGATGAATAAAAAAATTTTTTAAAAAATGCCGCAAATGTTTTTTTCATCCCACTTTGAACTTGTTAATAGTTAAAAAAACCTTTTTTTGTATCAGGAAAAATTTATATTTAAATTAACTCGATATTAGAAATACTTAGAATATTGCATCTTCTTCGAAAAAAACATATAATGCTAGAGAATTTTGATTTCATAAAGTAATATCATTTTTAAAAAGTAACTAGATTTTTTTGTATCGCAACAAAAAAATGGGGAGAAAAAAATTAGAAAAATCATGAAGTTTCTATTTTTATAAGTACTTTTTTTCAAATTTCATTCCAGGGTTCCAAACATTTCTATCGATTTTGATAGTATAACTCATGCTCAAAATTACATAAACAGTACATATCTTGAGGATTTTTGAATGACTTGAGCTTGATAAGGGGATCAAAATGCCTTATTATAAAGATAGTCTCAAATTATTGGTAGAATAGAAGAAAAAAACACCAAAACCGTAAGTTTTTTAATAAACCTGAGAATAATTACTCTATAAAAGTAGAACAACCGTTGAGCTACTAAGTTTGACATCTTCTTTCTACTTTGAATTTTTTTCATTCTCTCCCGTTCTTTGCAAGCTTCACAGTCTGGGCTGTCTGTTCAGTCTTAACAACTATGCGAAAAGCTCAATTTGCTATGGCTTCACCGGCAAAAAAAGCGGACAAGCCGTACTGTACGATTGCTCTTGACGGTTGCAACCCTTATTTTCTTCATTTTCACGGCACCCTCCGCGAACCAATTTTGATTCAAACCAAAAGACAGGTAATATGAATAATGCAACATTTGGTTCGAAATGAACTCGGCTAGGGTCGAAAATGAGCGATGCGTGCCGTTGGCATCCGTCACGCGCAACGTTCCTTCTCTCGTACGAAGCTTTTTTTTCCGGCAAGGGTGCTGCGCCAACCCCTTCGCGAGTTTTTCATTTTACACAACTCTTGAAAAATACACACAGACACACACACGCATGTGGGAAGAAGAAGAACAAGTGAAATGAAGTGGATAGGGAAATGAGGAAAATCGGGAAGCTTATTGGATGCTGGAGGAATTTTTTTCTGGCCCTGGTAGCAATAACTCTTCTTTCCTTCGTTATCGTTCCTTTACGCCGAACGGAAATTTCGGCTAGGAGAAGTTTTGTGAAGCATTTGAAACAGTAAAGTTGTTTTCGACGCGATGGGACCTCGGCTTTTCTAAAAATTCATCTGACCGCTTTGGCAAAAATTTGAAACGAAGTGGTCACGTTTTTTAGCTTTGACTATAAATGAGTATGATAGGGAAAAAATTGTCACGAATTCTTTTTTCTCAGTTTTTAAACTTCAACTCCGATGTTTTAAGAATTAGTAGAATAGGTACGGTTAAAGTTACATTCAATGATGAATAACTTGAAAAATTTGTAATTTAACTTTGGATTGAAAATTTTGAACACAGATGTTCTACTGCGACAACAAATAACAGCCGCAAAAAAATCGCATCGAAAGAAATTCTCATTATGAAATTAGATAATAAGAGCTTTCAATAATTAAAAATTAATGGAAATGCATTCTTAACTTAAAAGAAATCATGTGATTTTTAGAGGGAGATTCGAATTGATAGATGAATTTTTTCTACGACTCTAAAAAGTCTTGCTTATTATTTAAAAAAACTTATAAAATGTAGGAGATTAGAGACTTCAAAATGAAAAATTGGTAACATTCACTTTTTTTACTTCCGTATAAAAAAACTCTTGCCATTGAATAAAAAAATTTCTATACTTAAAAAAAACACAAACTAGTGCTTTTAGAAAACAATAAAAAAATTCGCTTGCTTGCATTTTTTTCAACTTTTTCGAAGCTGTAAGGACTTATAGGATTACGTGGAGCTTTTTTTCATTTTCATAGGGATGTACTAGACACTTTAAAAAAGTTCTAACAATGTTTACAATTAGTTAAACATAATTATAAATTTCTTCTCTTTTTTCAAAAATCCTTGGAAGAAAAAGAATTCAGGTCGAAAGAATTATACTCCAAAAAAGTGCAGCTGAAAGTTGGAAACTTGGGACGGCGGCTGACTGACTTCGTTATTGCTACCGCTATTTATGGGCCATTTCGAGCAGTTGAAAAAAAAGGCGGCCGCAAAACAAAGAATGAGATCAACGAAATGATTTCATTATCTCCTGCTTGAACAGCCGAAAAACACGATAATTCGATTCTCACTGTAGTATTAGTTCCAGAAAGTAACAATTCTTGAAGCAGGCTCAGAATGAAACCAAAACGAGTTCATGCGTCAACAAAACGAGTTTTTTTCTAAAAAATTTTCCATCTCAGACGAAGAATTTTAAATTAATTGCTCGGCACTTTTCTAGTCTTGCCAAAATTCTTTCGATTCATAGCTCGAACCAAAGTTTAGTCTTGGTTTTGATATTTTCGAACTGTTCAAAAAGGAAGAAAGGTCATTAAGGCGCAAAAATCAAAATTGGCCAAATATCAATGTTCAAAAAAAATATTGGGCGTTTTCAAGTCTAAAGAATTTTTTTTTTGATTGTCGCGAAAGTTTGTTATTTTCACAAAATACACAGAATGCATAGACCTTATAAAATTTTTATGTTCAAACTTGAATAGTTATGCAAATGTTAGCTTTGTTAATTCGATTCCTTAACTCAAAATAAATCAAAGATCAACCTTCCCAGTTAAATGCAAAATGAAGCAAAATTGAAAAAAAAATTAGAAAAAAATATAGAATTCAAAAAAAGCACCTGTTGGGAAAGAATCAAAGATTGGAAAAAAACAAAATCCCAGAGTTTTTCTGGATATTGAGATTTTTCGAACTTATTCAACAGGTTAATCAATTTTTTTATTTTTATTTGAAACTAGAACTGACTAAAAAAACTCTTTATATTAAAAACGAACTATATTCCAATCACAGAAAAAAATTGGAACTTGAACGCGCATCGGGGATTTCGAGAGCTAATTATTCATGGAATATATGACAAGACTCTAGTTTCAAAAGATAGAGGAAAGCCGACAAGAAAAGATAAATGAGTCGCTCAGCTTGAAAAAAGCACAGAGATCAAATCTATCTCATTAGCCATTAACAAGATGGGAGGTATGAGGAACTGATTTGGAAGACAAAAGCTCGGAAAAAGCCTTCACATGACGTCATAGTTGCGGAAAGCCAGCTGTAGTTGATAGTAGTGAGAAGTAGGCGGAGCGGAAGTGCATAAGAAAAGAGCTCAACGTGGCGGCTAAGTTGCGGCTCACAGTGCTTGGAATACTGTGAGTGCGCTCACAAGTCCTAGTAATTGAGAGTGAGTGAAAGGAAGGACGAGGATGAGTTCGAAGGGTGTGGTGCGTCCTAAATTCAGGTCTCCTCCTCCAGGCCTTGCCATTCCTTTACTCTCTTGCCTTTGGCTTTTTCATGCTCTCTTTCGGCAATGGTGAGTGCGCGATCGATGGGCTCTGGCTGCTCACACAGAACTCACGTCACACTCACAATCGCTTCAAGCCAAAACCACGGCCCACCAGGGACCACTTGCTTCCAGTGCTTCACAAAACGTCTTCGCTTTGCCTTTTCTAACTTTTCCCAGCTCATTCATATTTGTTATCGGGGAATCAACTAGAAAATCTTGACTCGACTTTTTTATCCAGCAAATCAGAATACTTTAATGTATATTTTCATAATAGATAAGTCCTTTTGAAGTTGATCAGTTAGGGGCTGAGAGTGAGAACGACATGAATAAAAAACGAGAGCGAAGACTTTGAAAGCTCGTTAGATTTGATAAAGTCAGGACGCAACCTTGTTTTTTGAAAAGTTTGAATTTTTTCTTTGGTCAACTTCCTTAGAATGAATTACAACTGTGCCGGGTTGGTCATAGTGTTGCAACGCGGTCGCGAAGCGGTCGAAAATTTCCACTTTTCGAAACTTTTTGGCTCGAAATTTTCCCAGAGGGCGAAAATGGGGCAGGCAGTGATTGAGAATGCGTTATTTGAAGAAATTATAAAATGTAAATCATAAAATCTCGTTTTTGACCGATTGTGGACCGACTCGGGTATCACCCCTGGCCCAAGGCACAGGAATAAATTGACTCAAAAATCATAACTGGCTCAAAAAGCTGTGGCTAAGTTGCAGTTGCCATTGTGTCTAAGCAGGAAGACATTCTGAAAAATTTCGAAAATGACTATTCATTTTTGCAACTGTTGCAACGCATCTGCAGGCTTGAAGACTTGGAATCAAAAAATTTCAAGTCATACACCTGTTGTAACATTTTTTTTTTCGAAAAACTACTCAATCTAAATTCAAGAGACTTGTTAATCTCTTTCCTTTCAACGTTCAGAAATTAAATTTTGTTGAAGATCAGAAAAAGTCGATTTTAAGGAGCCTTGGAGCTTTTGGGAAAAAAATTTACTTGTGAAAATCAAGGAACCTTTAGGAAAAAATCAGTTTAAGGAGCCTTGCAAGAATAGTTTTTCAGATTTATTATCTCAACTTTTCGCTTTTGAAAGAGGTTCGAGTATACGGACATTATGAAAGTCCAAACGCTTGATACATTCAACAAGAACGCTGAAATTCCAAATTTGCGCCAAAGCTGCGCAAATGGAAGAGAAGTCGTGAAGCGTAGAGACTAACGCCGCCGGGAACCTCCCAAGTGGACGTTTTTGAATATTTTGAAGTGTTTGAGTGCAGAAAGGCTCGAAGAGCCGAAAGTTGGAGACACGAGGACAAAAGTAATGAAAGAACAGAAAAAGACAAAAGCAACATCCGTGACAATTCATCATCAGACGCGATGCGAGAGCCAGATAGGTTGCATATGTCCCTTGGGAATTCGGCACCACACAACCCTCACAACAAATGATCTGCATGTATCATGAGAAAAGAGCTTGCCTCTCGGGCCAATCTTGCCAAAAACTTCAAGAAGCTCGAGAACGCGGCAATAACTTTTTCTAGTAAGAGAAGAAGTTTTCGAAGAAAAAATTGAGACCTGACAAATGAAGGAAAGATCCTCTCTGACACTGTTATCCAAGTCGACGGACACTAGTTTTGCTATTTATTTTGTAAAAAAACTCGTCTTAGAGGACTAGTCGTCAAAAAACAGTCAAAACACATTCAGAAGTGGAGAAGCTTAAACACTTGATTATTTCCGACAAAGAATAAAAAGCTGCAATCGCGAAGAACGGAAGTTTTCTACTGTGGACATAGTCATGGTAGAAATTATTGTCAAAAAACGCAGGGATCTGTTTTTTGAACTTTGGTCAATCACAAGTTATCTGCTTTTCATAACTTATTTGAGAAGTTATTCAAGTTTTCAACATTATCACTGTTTCAAAAAGGTCAAAAATAGGACGTTTTTTTTGAATAAAGTGAATTAAAACTCAGAAAGAAATAAGAGAGCATGTTGAAGAAAACCAAAAAACAAGGTAGAGCAAATAAAATTAGGCGCAAGTCAAGTCATTACTAAGGTATAGGCCTTTTTCATTTCAATATTAATTTGGGAAATTTTTCATTTATGAAAAACAAACTGAAAACCGTATTATTGGTCAAAAAAATCCCAATTTTTCGATCAATATTAGTTGAAAAATTTCAGGAATATGATATAGAATATGATTGGTTGGAATAGTTCAGAAGTTATTCTGCGTTCAAAATTCATCGGCAATTTCTCAAAAAGCTTTTAACTCAGGCGGTTGTGCAAAAGACTAGTTCATTGGAGGGCCCCTGCACTCCAATTCACAGCCTCCGCCCTTGCATTTTTGATTTTCGGCATGAACAAGCCACCCAGAAGCCGCTAATGAATTGCCACGACACACCGTTTTGATAAGAGGAAGTGAGGTACAACAAGAGAAAAAAAAACGAAAAGAAAAGCAACTGACAATTGGATCGGCCTCTTTGCAAGTTTTTGAGGTTCAGCAGGTGAGTGGAGCTATTTTGTTGTAATGCCATGCATTGCGGCAAACGAGCAGCTTCGTTTTGAAATGAATTACAGAACGTGTGTCGGGCTTCTTTTGAGATAGGCTCAGGCTGTATAGGGAGATATTTTGCGAAAAAGGGGCATTCCGTATTTATTCTGGAAGTCAATCTTCGAGAAGAGAAAAATTTCCAGGTTAGGTAGGAATGTTATTATTGTTCGCAGACAAGGGTGTACAAGTCCACTGAAAATGAGACTACTTCATTATTGAGCATCATTTTCTGTAGAAATATATGTAGTGAGTCATGCTCACCTTGAAAAATTGTATATAATTTGAATCGGGATGATCGAAAAGATCTCAATTAATTCGAAGTTACAGCGGATTTCATGAAGTCCTGAGAACTTTTCAGACAGCAGAACTACATACTTTATTCGTGAAGGAGTTACTCTGGAAAAAAATTTTGTGTGAAATTTTATTTTCTTGGAGTGTTGAATAAATGAGTTACGGGACTCATTCCTACTCTGGATTATTTCGACGTTTTTAGATGGGTACTTAAAAGGAATCTTTACTTTAAACTAAAATAATTTATTTGATCAGTTCGACTTTGAACGGTTACTTTTTCCAATGAAAAACGCTTCTGACCATATACTACTTGCGCAGCATTTTTGTAGCATAAGAGTAAATTTTTCTCGAGGTCTGACACAGTAATTAGAGTTCTATCTTGAACTACCAAATCGAAAGAAATTGAATCAGACCATTCGGTTTTTCCACATTATTTCATGAATATAACTTTCATCAAGTTCTTGGAGAGTCTATCACTAGGAACAGATAGAAAAAACCACCAGCCTAAACAAAACAAAAATAAAGAATAGCATGAATCCTTGGCTGGTTGAATATACGAGTGAATAGAGATTGGTTGAACGTTTGATTGGGCGTTTGCTTTTGAGAAATTTAGTGAGCATGTGTGAGGCACGCGTGTCCATGTGGTGTGGCGCTGAGCAAAAACACATGAGATTTGTCTAGGACTTGCGCATGGGATGGCACGGCGCGTCGTTTGTCTTTTATACAGTGACAAGCTGAATTAGAAAAGTGCGAGAAGCATGGCGGACATGGAGAGTTGATTTTTTCTCCGTCGCCAGAAAGGTAAATTGCTGGGTTGCCAAGAAAAATGATTTGCCGCATGTCGGGAACGTCGGAGATGCCTTGCAACCTTCCGGATCCTGGATTGGCTTGGTTGAGAAGCCAGGAACACTTTTCTAGCTGGGGTCTATGAATTTGAAATTTCACGATGGAAAGGTGAGAAGTTTAATTCGAAAAAGGTTGCCTTGCGATTTAGGCATTCATACAGAAAAGTGGTAGTTTTTCCCGTGTTTAAGTTATCAAACTTCTAAAAATTTTTTTCTTTTTTTCTTAGAACATTTTTTTCGAGTAACTGTGGGGGAACGGAAATTGAGTTCTGAACATTGGGAAAAATTTCTTGATTCCATTTCATTATTGAAACTTAAGTTTTTTTCGAATTTCTTTCTGTGAAACTGGTTTTTCAGGATGAGTTAAGTTTAGTACATAACAATAATTTTTGATATTTCATAGAAGCAGGACAAATTTTCTAAGTTGAGCTTTAAAAATCGTGTCAGACGGTTCTGATTTATTTTTTCATATCCTGCTCGATGAAGTTCCAAAACGAAAAAACGCTTTTGAAAAAAAGAGACGTGAATCAAATTCAGAGAAGAAGAAGTGAATCCTTGAAAGTATTGCATTTTTTTCTAGCTCCTAATAGTCTGTTCGAAAGGCTATAAAAACGAAAGCATTGTTTTTCGCCAGTTCAAAAAAATATGCGTTTAACATCACCAGCACACGTGAGAAATAAAACTTAGTTGTCAGCAAATTTTTCAAAAAAAGAAAGTTGGGCAAGAGATAAAAGATTGAGAAGAAGTGAAGGTACGAAGTGCAAGAAGGGTTCGATTACAAAAGCTCGACGACGTCGTACACTCGCAAAGCCTGCGGTCGAGTTTCGAATTTCCAACCGAGCCCGGGCCGAAATATAAAAGCGACGGACACCTGCTTTGCATTTCGACGATCTTCGGGGACTCTTTTCTGACGTTATGTGTTTTTGATGGGCAGCGGACGATGCCGTTTAAATCGGGCCTTCGGCTCGGCTCAGTTCAGTTTGGCTCATTTGTGGTTCCAATTTATTGCTTCAAAAAGCAGCAATGAATTTCTCTGCCCGCGTTTCTTCCAACAATTGTTTATTTTGCCAAATTCGGATTAGATGGATGATGACCGCGCTTTTCTTCTCTTATGGTGTGTCGGAGCCGTCTCTTTTGGGAAAACATCTCACAAAACTCTGGAGCAAAATATTAAAAACAACGGGAAAGAGTTAATTTCAAATGCTTGACAGACAAAAGACATCGTAGGAGTCATCTAAATTTCTGACTGGAAAATGAGAAAAGATCCTGTTTTTCCAAATAAATTGGATGTGAACCGGCTTGAAGTTTTTTTTTCGTAAAATATGGAGGAAGGAGTAATAGAACAGCAAAAATAACATAGACACCTTCTTTCGAGGCAAGTGGTAGATTCAGTTAGCTGCCGAAACCTCTTCCCTGGAGAGTTCTGAGCGCTAAAAAGCGTTGAGCGATTTCAACAATGTGTTTTTTTCCCATTTTTGGAGGTTATCGCAACACAAAAACACGATTCATACGAAAATGTCGCTTTAGGATGGATTCTGGAAGTGGCGCGTGCAATTTCGCCTAGAGCCTGACAAAGGCAACAAAAGCTCCCGCACGAGGTAAAAAGAAGCTGCTTTCAATTGACAGCGGGAGCAATTGGAAAACTTTTTTGAAAAGGCCCACCCGTACGCAGGTTGGGTTAACTCGTCACTCAACTCATACATTAGTCGGGTGCATATGCGAGGACGCTTCCGTTTATTAGTTTTGAAGCACTGTTAAAATGAATGAAGAGCGTTTTTCCGTGCACTCAGGGAGAAACAGATGGAGCAGAAAGCTCGGATAACATTTCCGAATGAAAACTGAAGAGAATATTTGAAAAACTGGAATTGATGAGTTCTAGAAGCTACTCAATTCGAAATGCATTGGGTAAACGAACCGCTTCTCAAATTTTGAACTAAGAACTTCCGAATTATTTCTCCTGCTGGTACGTTTGCTGGATTCTTGAGCTTGGAACCTGCATGAAAAATTTTTCAAACACGTTTTTTTCTAAGAGAGATCGTATTAAAATTTGTGTTGTGAGATGCGATGAAGAAAACGAAGTTTAAAAGCTAATTTATTCATTAATATCTCTTATTTTAGAGTTATAAAAGTTCCAGGCGTTTCCTCAAACTTGAAATACAAAGTCAATCCGTACTCAATTAGCTGTTGAACAGATAAAAGAAACAAAAACGACAATTGAATAGGTCTCGGAAAGAAGAATCAAAGAAAAAAAAATACAATTCAAGATCTTGCTTTCATGCGAAAAGTTCATTATAATACCTAGAAAAAACTTTTTTGTACGCACTTTTGAATATATCGCTGAAAACATCTTTTCTGAAAAATCCGGTGGGCAATTCCATGGCTTTTCAAAAAACTGAGTCATTTATTCCTGGAGACCGGTAGAGCGCAAATTCTCGTTGACAATGTGAGCGACTGCCGAGCAGAACACCTAAAAAAAATTTAGAATGTTATAAATCAACTAAATCACCAAGTCAATGTTTTTCGTATCCGTTGCGGTGGTTACAAAGTTGAAAAACTTGTGACGTTCTTGGATGCAGCGCTTGAATTGTTTTTGAACGTAGTTTTTGGCATCTTCCGGAGAGTTATCGCCTGCGTGAGAAAATGGATAAAGTTGTCATTTCAGACTATACCAGTGTAACTACTGAAGCATCTCTTCAGGGGAGAATTCTGGAGTTTGTCGCAGAAAATGTCGAATTTGTTGAGAAAAAGGACAATTGAAGCGTGACGAAACAAATCGCTTTGAACTATTGTTTTGAAAATCTCGTAGCTTTGTTTCATCCGATTCTGAAGAAATTTGCTAGACATCCTGTATCAATTCTGTTGCTTTATGATTCGAAAAAGCGAGATTTTTTCCATTCGGAAATCATTGGCTGGTTCAAAAATTGTTGGGTTTTTGCAGAAATATATGCTCTTTAGATCTCTGATTTAGAATCATGAATAACATTTCTTCAAAGTTTCGCAGTTCTTAAACTTTGTGAGATTTTTTAGGGTCCTCCGATTTTTTTTTGTGAAATAAGGGGATCTTAAAATAGATCTAAACCTTCACCTTGTAAATTTTCCCCTCAAAAATTTGTAACTTTTATTGAGTCTGACTCACGAATCTACTGTCTTCAGGGTCCAACTGATCGTAGTCTGCCATGGAAACGACAAAAAGAACCATGTCGACATTGTCGAAGCAATGTATCCACTAAAAATTCATTTATTTATGATGTCACTGTCTAGCAACCTTTCTCCTTTCTGATCTCTGGCCTCCCACGTCGACCATTCTGAAACAAACATTCAACATTCGTTACAACAAGTCATTAACTTGAAGTCCATTTTCCTGTGAGTAAATGAGATTTCGCTGATTCCTGTTGTGCGAAAACGGCTTTGAATGATGTCCTGAGTTGTGGGTACGTAGTTGTCTTCTGTCAGGCGAACGATGTTGTCCAGGAAACTGCAATAAAGAATAAAATGACGAATTCTTCGAATTCTTGGACGAGGTTGATTTCTGATTCCAAAATGTCGGAAATTTATTGCAATTGCGCTTGAAAAAGGAAGGTTTCTGGTTGAATGTTTGAAAGTCATGCTTTTCGAAGTTGCACACGAAAAGCTACAGGTTTTTCCTGACTCACTACTTTGCGCTATCAAGTAGTTGAAAGCTGAAACGACGATGATAACAGGCTTGCAAAGAATTGCTGGTCCAGATACGGTCCATGCAGCGGCCGATAACCACTGGGATCACCAGTTCTTCCGGATCTCTAAGCTTCCTTTTGAAGTCCTCGAAGCGATTTATATCTTCCTATAATCAAGGGACCTCATTCAAAACTTCAAAAAAGTCTGATTCATATTTATTCGCTCACGACTTAAAAAGTCGTTTACCTTCTAATAATTCTGAATAGTTTTCTTTCTGCGGTGAAAAAAAAATTCTACTTACTTGGACCCACATTTCGTGCAGGATAGCGAAAGCTGAGCAAGCTTCTAACATTTGCGTCATGGCATGCATGCAGTTGGAATGGATTATTGAACGGTATTCTAATGAATCTTCTTTGTTGAAGCCGTCAAGATGTAATATTCTGAAGCATAACTCATAAGAATTTGAATCTTCGAAATTTCCACCTCATCTGCTTAAAAATCGTGGTCTTACCACACTCTGAGCTGCCTAAAATTGGGAAAGATTTCCATTCCATATGGTTCAAACAAACCGAGGAGAAGGATTTTGAATTTACTCATATCATTTGAGTGATCTTTCGACAGAGCTCTATCAATGGCTCGAGATTTTGAACTGTTGGCTCGTTCCTTAAAAAACCCTATAAGTGGCTATTATAGTGCTCAAAATATACTTCTGGTGATGTACGCGACCGTAATCCTGCAGCTCCGGCACCCATTTTCTGAGATCGATAGAATGATGAAAAAAATGTTCAATTAAGCGACAAGAAAAGTTTTTTTCAATGATCTACCCAAGTTTCAATAATGAGTTGTTTGAGAAAAATTTGAAAGTTTTTGGCTGAGAAATCATTAGTTTTCGAGTTCAAGTTACCAAAAAGAGAAGAAAATAGGAATATGAAAAGGAACGAAAGGTAAGTTACATTCTGCGGGCGTTTATTACATTTCCTACAAATAATGGGACACCGAGAAACACAGAGGGCACGCAACAAACTCATTCTATTACATGCTTTTTTTTTTTGCTTTTAGAAAACTTAACTAAACATTTTCTATCACGAAGGTTCCAAAAACTCTTTTCTTGCAGGACTTCTTGGAAAAGTTGGTTCTTTCTTATAAGTTTTCTTGAACTTTGGCCATCTTTTCTTGAGCCAAGTTTTTTTCAGAAATTCAGATGTTTGGGAGAAAAATTCATCCAAGAATGGCATGTGGAGCAATTTATGGAAAAGCCAAGGCCGTTGATGGGCACCGGCTCGTTTCCAGGCGACCAATCCAGACGGTTCCTGGACCGCCGCACTTTTCTTTTGCGATTTTCCTTTCCAAAAAATGCGGCTCCAACATTTTGTCCAACTTTTTCTACTCTACTTGCCGCTCGGTGAGTCGCGGATTAATCGAAAAAAAGATTCAAATTTTTGTTTCCGTACGGTAGTTTTGAGACGACCAGTTCAAAAAGAAGAAGAAAAAGAAATGCTTGCACTTATGATCGATAAGCTCTACTCTCATAAAATATCTAAATCTCGAATAGTTTTTTTTGGAGACTTTAAGAAAGGACTCTCAAAGAAACGTCAAGAAAAATAATGGCACGGGGTTTGGCGAAGCAAGTATCAGCCAGTAAGCAATACAAACTGAGAACTCTTCGCCTTTTCTGTTAGGTTCCGTGCGAAGTTCCTATTAGGTTGCTGAGAAAACGGTGGAAAAGAAATTCACACGAAATGCACGCGACCTCGCTTCCGTTATTATTATATCTCAGAACTTTGTGGCTGGAAGAGAAAAATGGGAGAAACATAGACTTTGGTTAACTTTCCATGAGAGACTATGTATACTTTTGGAAAAAAAAACCTGAGAACTCACATGGAGAAAAGGGCAAATATCTTTTTTTTCCGGTACAATCGGTTTCGTGAGAGGATCGCAAGTATAGCTTACCGGAAAAATCTACTTCTTATTTTTCTCAGAAGTTGTACAACGTTTTCCACGAAATAAAATTTGTGAGTGAACTTACAGTAGCAAAAATGGGTGAGTATTTTTTTGTTTTCCGTCTGTACTTTTGTTAAATGTAACATTTTGGCCTGAAAGTTCAACCAAAAAAGTAAAATGATGTTATTCACGGTTTGAAATAATAGTTTGAACCGGTTCCAAAAAAATTTCAAAAAAGTTTTTTTCAGTGTTCATCGAAATTGCAAAAAACACGATCAACATATAAAAAGTCAACAAAAACAGTGAACTGATATAAATAACTTCAAATGGAAACGATTGAGAAAAACAGATCTAATACTCCCTAGCATAGCCTATGGATTCGACAAAATCCCTGTTTTCGGGGTATTGACTAGATAAGTTTGTCCAGCTCCTTATTGAATCTTCTTTCAAACTTTTCTGACTTGTTTCTTTGAAGCTGCAAGTCAAAATAATCGTTTTAACACCAAACTTCTTTGAAGTTTGTGGCCAAAAAAGAAAGTTTTTACGAAGTTATAAACGTGCAACCAAAAAAAACTCTTTTCGCTATTGTATATTATTGCAAAATGTTTTGCTGGATAGTTGTTGCAAAGAAAGCGAACCTATACAATAATGGAAGCGATGAAAACTGATATGAAAAAAGTAAGGATATCGCAATATTTTGAGATTCTTAAATTTGCAAATGTAGAGTTTCTCTTTTAGAAGACTGAGCTGGAGGCTTTTGTAGACGTTGTGCGAAATTTTTATGTTTTTCATTTTAGTTACTGTCTGTGTTGTTTAATGGAAGATGATCCATGCAAGAGGCAGCCTAAATTTACGCCTAAAACGACAAAAACAGTTTCATAATGAAAACTTAAAACAACCTAAAAGATTTTTTTGAATATATATAAAACTTCTAAAGGACCAGTTTCAAAATATCAAGTAGTGGAAATGGCAAGACTCGAAACTAAAATTAATCAGACTTTCCTCAGGGTGATTCCAAAGTTTAAGACAGAAGGTTTCACCCCTCCCCTCGCAAACTGAACAATCACCAGACAAATCACAAAAAAATTGAAACTGAAGTTCCCGTTTTACAAATCCAATAAAATAATAAATCTGATATTTTTCTCCCAAAAAAGGGTGAAAATGAGGAAAGTTGATAAACATTGGTGAGGGAAAGAAGTGGTGGGCGAGGTGTAGCCTAAGGCGATTTTAATCAAGTCTCACGAGCTGGCTGCCGCTCACTACGCTGGCGGCCCAATTCCACCTTACATGTCTACCTGCCTTCTCGGCCACAGTGTCTCACAACTGAATTTCCCAATTTTTGTTTGAGAAAGAAGCAGCTGCAAATTCTGGGCACCTTTGCTAGACCTATAGGAACGTCCAAGACCATTCAAAAAGAACAGTTAGGGAACCCTGGGAGCTTTTGGAGTGAAATTTGGCATCTTGAAATGTGAAAGGTTCGAAAATTTATGTAGTTAAGATTTCGAAATTCTAGAATTTTGAGAAATAATAACATTCGTATTCTTCGTTTCCGAAGTATCTTTCATAAAAATTTCAAGAACTTTCCAAACTGAGCAGTCGGATTAACATTGACCTTCTCCGAGTTGATGAATGAACTCAAAATATTTGGAAAAGCTCTGAAATTTGTACAAAGAAATGAGAAACATTGAAAATTTCCTCTTATTGCGAGATTGAATGGAAAAAAACCGTGCCACCATCTATAAAGATACAGTAGAAGTAATATTGAACTTTAAAAAAAAACAGATGAGAGAAGTGATTTCGGTGGGTATAGACTTAGACTTACAAAGATCCTTGCAAAGAGCTGAATGAACATGAAATTATTCCCAGGAGCGTCTGAGTGTCCATGCGAAGGCATTGCACTGCCAGGACTCGACGGACAGAAACATTGCTGGCAGTTGGAAAGCCGCCAGGCGTCGACGTGGGTCGACGGCGACGTCGCCTGTCAAACCGTCGGCGGACATCTCGGCCATCCGGAAACCACTGACTTTTCCGCCGTCGTCAACTACGTTCAGGCGGTCTGACCTCCGTCTGAAACCGTTTTTCGTTTTGATTTATCCCGATGATTCTTTTAAAACTTCCTAATTTCTCTATTTTGTTTTGAAATAACCTTTTTTCAGTATTTATATAATATGGAGAAAGAGGTTTTTTGAGTAAGCTTCAGTCCTTTTAGAACAGCAATCTGCCGGTTCTGACCGGTCTCGTCGCTGGAAACGTCGAGTTGAACATCTACGGCTCGATGTGTCCAAACAACGTTTTCTACGACATCTTGACTTCAGACGATACCAGCCAGCTGTTTTCCAACGTGAGAAAAATGTTTTGAAGAGAAAATATCATGTTTTAAGAACGCAACTACTACGTCAGCGTGCTCATACATCAAAAGCTCAGGATCGCAGATCGTATTCGACAGTTGCGACATAGAAGCGATGGCTCTTTGCGACAGACGTGAACTTTTTTTTTTGAAAAGATGAGGGGGAAATTGAGCAGAAAAAACCGATTAATCAGAATTTTCAATTCTTCTTCGTATTCCTGTAATGAATTTGTGAACGATTTACGCCAAAACTAGTAATAATATTGATAAAAATTTCCATTCAAATATTTCAGCGCTCGAGGAGAACGATTATTGCAACATAATGGCCAATTGCTCAACTACAACTAGTTTCGCGTTCAGCACCACAGACTCTTCCACGACGATTTCAACTGAAGCTCAAACAACGTCTTCAATATCCAAGGCCAACACAGACATCGACACGACTCCTGCAAAAACTACGGAAAAAGTGACCCCTGCCGCGGTGAACACGACAACGACGAAGAAAGTTGGAACGGTGCCTGCTGGGTCTCGGGCTTCGACTACTGAAAAACCTGTGCTCGACATGTCAGTCAATTTTTCTTCTGAGAAGGTATTCGAATCTGGTGAGCGCTTTGAAAAGCGATCAGATCAGAAGACGTGGAGTTTTGTGTTCATGAAAAGCTCAAGCTTATTGAATGCGCAGAAGAACGAGGCGAAGGACCGTAAGACCATGATTTCAACTCTTTCGACTACATTCTAGGACTTCTAGTTTACCAAAGGCAATTGTTTGTTATAGCTTCCACCGCCTAGTCAATTATATCTGACTATAACAACAAAATAAATGATTTGATTTATTGATTGAATATTTGATTATATTTTTTTGCAGAGAAACAACCCTTCCAAGCGACCCTGTCGAATCATCTTCTTGTTCATCTGATGGAAAATCAGGTTTAATTTTTCATTTTATGCCACTTCGGCAACACCAATAGCTCACGGTAGATGCATTTTTGAGCCGTTCTTCTCACAAATTTTTCGTGAAAAAAACGAAGTATTTTAATCTCAAAAAAATAAGGACATGATCACAACGAATCATATTTGACCAGAATAATCGTAGAAGCTACAATTCTATCCAAAGTTCACTATTTCTCTACCTTCACGATCAACTTTTGAGGATGTTTGAAGTATCAATGGAAAATACTGGGAATGTGTGTCGACTGGCGAGCCATGCTGGCCTTGCTAGCAATTTGTCTGTTTCTGATGGCTCTGCTCTGCTGCTGCCATTGCTGGCTGGACGCCTGTATGTGGTGTTCCTCGAAACGGAAACGCAAACAGTTTTTTACCACATATTTTCTTGAATCTTCAAAACTTTCAGTATCGAAGCCGAAAAGCCGATCGTCATGCCGATTCAACCAATGGCACCAAGAGGTTCTCAAAAGTAATAAATGGTTTTTCCATTTTTTTTTTTCACAGTTATTGAAGACCAACCTCGTCCAGTGGACTATTCAGTGGAGCAGAAATCAATTGATCTTCCTCCACCGCCAACAACTTTCAGCGAACCTAGTTTTTATTACTTTTTAGGATTTTCACAGTATCTTTTCAGTTTTCATCCCTGTACCTGAAAAGCACGAGTCGGTGTATGGTTTCCACACAAAGGAAATTCATCACATGTATCCCGAAAAGAAAGAAACTCGCGATATCGGTTTTTTTTGAAATCTTATCTCTCATAATCAGTCTAAGGTTTAAGGGGTCAACACGGACCCCATGGACATCAAGCCAATAATGCAACCTGCAATCATTCCAGTCAAAGCACCAGAAGCCAGAAAGAAAAAACCTATTAAAGTGAAAAAACTTCCAAATTTCATTATAAACATTTTTAATCAGAAGCCAAAGATGATGTTTATTCCGGCAACGATCGACGACAACATCGAAGATGATGTTCCTTTGGACTTTCCTCATCCTCAAAGTCCTGGTAAAAATGAAAAACCAAAAATATGTTGCAAGTTCTAATCGAAGGTTAGGTGAACAGAAAAAGCTGAGAAAAAAAACGAATGAAGTCTATATACTGACAAATGCTTTCGGATATCTCACAAATCCTCATTTTTCAATTTTGAATACATTTATTTTTAAGGCAACGTCTTCATTATAAGAAGCACATTTGAAAAAATTCAGGAAACATATCGGTGGCGCCGAAAGGAGATCTCTTGCCTCCTGTGAGCTTCACACGCAACCCCAAACCATTCCAACCAGAGCCTCGAAATTCCTCTCCTCCAAAAACTCACGTCCTCTCGCCTCGAAAAGAACCGAACTCACTTCTTGAGACTCCCAAAGAAGACTTCAACTCAAACGATGATCCTACACGGATCAAGTAACAAAATTTTGAAGGAGGATGTTCCTTATAAAGACGTTTTTCAGGTCCCCACCTCTAAATTCAGGGCCCAAACTTCGTGAAGGAGCTGCTCCTAGACCCATAACGTTTTCCTAACTCAAAAATGAAGAAAAAACTGAAGTATCAGGTTCTCTCCCATCGCTGACGAGTCGGATGATGAACCGGCCAAGAGAATTCCGTCGCCACCTCTTGGAAAGAAAAGCATCCCACCGCCGGTCAACAAACCCAGCAGGAGTGCAAAGTTAATGAATTTTCTTGCAAACTTTTTTGAATACCTTAGTGTATCCTTCCTGAAAAAAAAGGAAATTCCAGAGTGAGCCCAGTTCCCATAGATGAGCAAGAACCGATGTTCGATGATCCGAAGGAAGAAACTGGCAACTCTCAAAGACCTTTGAAAAACAATAGGTAAACCTTTCATAAGTTGTTTATAAAAGTTGAGAGGATTTATTTTGAGAGAAAAGAAGATGATTCATCTCTCTCATAGAAATTCGAAACAATTTGTTTTCAAAAACTTCTCAATTTACGAGTAGATCATGCAATAGATCTATTCCACTTACTCACTTTTTTCGCACATACTTTTTTCGCGTGTTTGGGGAATATGAATGATGGAAGAAGCTCTGAATATTGGACTAACTGAGGATTATCTCCGTATTCATTTAAGTGCGCAGAGGATTTCGCAGGTTTTTCTTTTGATGTCCACATATGTGGGCGAAAGCATACTAGACTTTTGCACAAAAAGCAAAATATTGCTTCCACAAGGCTTTCGGAGCTCTTCATGATGAGGAATTGATTGCGCAGTTTTGACGAATCGCGAGAAAGTTTTATGAGTGTAGTAGGGTTTTTTTGACGATGCAAGAAACTTCATGAAGGCACCTGAAACGGTTTTTCTTTGAATGATCACATTTTGGCATTTATTTTCCAGTCTGAAATGGAAAAAACCGACCGACAAAGGTTCACGATGAAGTCGAGCAAAATTCTTTTATGTCGTAATATTTCTGAATCTCGGAGTATTTCTATAAAGTCATTTCACCGCCAACTCGCGTTGGGACTTTTTGGATAAATCTGGGCTTTGTAAGGTCGCCTATCTCAACCAATTTGTTAAAAAATATTAGATAGAATGCAAAAATAATCAAGCGCAGACTTTTTCAGAACGAGCCTTGGGGGAATCATGTCACAAACTGTCTTATTTTCTTGTAAAAGTATCATTTTTCTGGAAGTTTAAAAAAGGCTCTATATAATCATTTCAAATACTACCATGATGTCTCAAGACGTGGTAGCGTAGACTAAGCCCCGTGTAGACTTTTACGACCTCCCTCTTATCAGTTGTAATTCAAAGTCCTTGTTCAGCTCGTCAGACGGAAAAGCCAAAGATCAGCCTCGCAATCCGTTTGCAAATTTTTCTTCAACACAAGAAAATGAGGAGACCGAAGAAAATGCGAGCAATTTGTTCAAGGCTCCTGGCGTGGGTATGAGAGCAGCTCGAGGAAAACTTGGCGGGGTACGTAGTTTTATCCATTTTTCAACTTGTTTGTCTCACTTATGAAACTTACAGGCAGTGAGAGCTGGCGGAGGTGGAGGAGAAGCACCTCAAGGATGGAAGCCGTGGGCGAAAAATAAATGAAAAGAAAAAGAACTACCCTTTGGGGCTCTAATAAAGTTTGTTGAAAGTTTTTTGTTCAGGGAAAAAAAGTTTATAAATAAAAAGTGAACCGGAATGGACGCTGACAACTGCAGAAAAATCTTCAATGAACAGCTGGATTGTTTTTTGTTGCTCTCTATTTTTATCAAGATCTTGTATTCATGTGCGTCAGAGGTCAATAACGAAAGCCCAAAGATAGAAAACGACAATTGCCACCATGTCACCGCTTAACTAGCCCTGAATGGATAATCTTGATGTTTCATGGAGAAAGACGCACAGACATTTCCTCACAACGTCAGGCTAATCCAGAAATAACTGACCTATGGACTAGCTTATCTATCCAATATTGAGAAAAAGAAACACTTCAAGCCTACATTATTGGTGTAGTCTACTCGTCTCTCGATGATAATGAGCTGAAACTTTTGATAGAAAGAAATCTTAGCTTTTTAGGCAACATTCTGGATGTTTCAGAAGGATAGTCTCGTCAAAGCTAGTGAGAAATGTAAAACATTTATTCGGCTCATAATTTAGAGGACATTGAAAGTGTGAGCCAACAGAAACTTTTTTGCAAAAAACCTGCAAAAAAAAGTTGAATGAAATCAACTAAAACTTTTCTGTTTATTCAGCTGTCTTCAAACTTTCAAATAGTTCAGGTCAGAAATATTAACATTTTCACCTCAAAAATATCAACTTCAACTCAGATTTTCCTTACTCAACTTCTAGTAGTTCAGAAAAAAAAAAGCAAATTTTATCTCAAAGAATGTCATTTAGTCATCGAAAATTTTGGCTTCACGAAATGCCTATACGCAAATTCCTGGTTACAACTGACACTTAAGTGTGACTAAAGTTAACGGCTTCCAAGTTTCAAAGTTTTGGAAGTGTAGTTCTTGATTGGGACACGTCAGATACAAAAAGAAAGTTTTTTTCTAGCTACATCAAATTATTGGGAGCGATACCAGAAGTAGAAAAAAAAATGTCTGAAGCAGTAATGTCAATTAATTAATAAAGGTTTTTTTCAGAAGACTTTTTGATCTTCAGTTCACTTAGAATTAGGAGTTTATATTATTTTTAGTTCTCTCAGTTTTATCAATGGGAAGTATTCCAAGAGACTTAGCCTTTTTTTCTTAAGAAGATGCACCTGAGGAAACTCAACGAACGTGCGAAAATTGAACACGTCCCATATAGTTTCAATTTTTCCATTTTAAAAAAATCCGGTAATGATTTTTATGAGGGTTAAAAAAACTCCGGATAAACAAACTTTTTGATAGGTAATACTTTTTTTTATTCTCGATTCGCTGTTTATTGGAAATGAAAGATTCATTTTATATCTTCAAAAAACTGTTTTTTTCTGAAGCTTATTTCTCAGGGGGCTCAAAAACAAACAATGCATATTATTGGACCATATTAACTCATGTTTTCCTTTTCTGCTCTGAATTCAAGGCGGGAACACCAAAACACCGAGAATTGGCGGCACTATATGCAAATCAGTCCGGTTAAAGGCTCGGTTGGCCAGGAAAAGCTCATTCAGGAGGCCGGAAGGCGACGCAGACGCCCACGATATTCCATTCCGTGAATTATTCCAGTTTTCTTCGGTACCTCGATACGACGGCTTCGCACTACATAAGGTCCTCTAGCGACGTCTTTCTTCATTCTCACGGTTCTCTGTTCTATACTTTTCGAGCAGACTTCTCATTTTTTGCTTCACTTCGTTCAAGAAGAAGTTTGAGGCTTCGTCTGTGGAAACTCAAGTTTTGGATCTGATGCGATTGGAAAAATCCGGTCTTGTTGTCTCTCAGAAAAATCTGAACGAATAATCTCATTTTTTTGATTTTTTTCAAAACCTTCTTGTAAAACGCATCTGATAGATTTTCGAGAGCACCTAGCAGTCTAATAAGAAACCATTGAGTTCCTTTACTGAGAAACGACTCTCTACCCCATTTGTAATTTTCCCATGTTTCTCTAGCTTTTTGATTTCAGAAAAACAACTTTTGGAGTGGAAAGCTTGAGAAAATGATCTGATTTTATAATTTTTCCCACCTAGAAAAACTAAAAACTTTCCCACAACCTTTGCCGTCGGTACCCTGTGAACATTGTTCCAAAAAAACTGGCTTTGTAAGCACCTTGGAAACCAACAATGTCAGCTGAGCATTCCCCGACTGCTGACAAATTAGCAAAAAAAGAATAAAAGCGTTTTAGAGGATTTCCTTCTTTTGATAAGATGACAGACGTTTTCTTTTTTTCCATCACTCAGAATTGAATAGATCTAATGAGTGGATGTGCACTGCTTTCCATGTCCTTCCTGGATCTCTTTTTCACCTTTTGAAACACATCGGCACGCCCACCTCTGAACGATTGAGCCCATTGTCACACGGAGTAGAAAAACGCCAGACTCCGCCTCTTTCTGCTAATCCCGATCCGAGGTTTTTCTCAACATTATCTTCACACCTACTGACCTTACCGGGGGTATAAAAGAGGGAAGTAACTCTTAGACTCCACCTCGCTCGTTTCACCTGCCGTTTTCTTCTTCTTTTTTCGTTTCGTTCCTTTTTTGAACTGAACTCCGTCTTTTGCAGCTTCGAAATGCACAAAGCGTTGGCGTGCTTGGTCCTTCTTCTTGTGGCACTTGCTACGGTCAGCGCTCAATTGGTGAATAAATGACTTATCGACATGAAAACAGTGGCTTTTCAGAGGGCAAAACGAGCCATCAATCCGTTTTTGGATTCAATGGGTAAACGGGCTGTGAATCCGTTCATCGACTCGATAGGCAAGAGAGCCTTCAGACTTCTACAGGCACCTGAAAAAAAGTAATCTAATATTGGCCATAAATTAAGCAAAAGTTTCTTTTCAGATATTTTGACAGCTTGGCTGGCCAGTCTTTGGGAAAACGATCAGAATACGATGACACTGAACCGTTTTTTTAAGCGACGCCATGTGATATTATTAATTTTATGTTTTCTCTTTCTTGATGTCATTATAATATAGCGCTCATGCGTTTTCTTGCATTCTTCTCTCATGTTCTCTTTGTCTGTATTTTAGCCTGGATAAATGTTTGTTAAAATTGTTCACGGCTTTGGCCTTGAAAAATGATTCCTGACGATGGTCCTGAGGAAAAGGAATGAAATGAAATGGGGAAGTCGAAGAGCTTCATTAAACTTGCATAGGAATTTTTAAGCAAGGATTTAAATTTTCAAGCGGCTTTTTTTCTGAAAAGGAACTTTGATCTGTCTAATGCTCTCAAAGCTGAAAGCTTTCATTTTTTAGACTTCAACTGGGAAATTTGATGTGAAGGTGTGATTGAAAGAAGAAATTTAACTTGTGGTACGAAATTCCAACTTCTATGTTTTCCTTGAATGAATTCTACTACAAGAAATAATTTTCCTGCTTTTTCAAGTCGAGCACAACTAGAAATCCTGCCCAAAGGTCCATTTTTCTCTCACAGTTTTGAAATGACTAGACTCAATTTGGTGGTATTAATCGATTTGCAAAAAAAAAGAAAAAAAGGTGAATCGTCTGACATAATTCGAATATCAGGATTTCTCAAAAAAGGCTTGCCCTTTGTTTGGCTTCTATTGAAACCTCGGACCGCTGAACATGATTATTTCTACAGAGAATTCTTCAGAAAAGAAGATCTTTGGCATTTGTTCAGCTCTATTTTTAACCGTTAAGGGCTTGAATTCTGAAATCATTAGGACTTTTTGAAAAACAAGTTTTGAAACTGCGATGTATAATTCTTGTGATATAATTAGAAAGATGCGTTGCAAATCGAAAACAAAGATATGAGCAAATTATTTTCCAGCGGTTCTTTTCTAATAACAACAATTCACAATGATACAAGTAAACAGTGAATTGTTCTTAATCTAAGAGAAAAGGAGTCTGATACAAAGTGAAATATTTTTGGTGATCACAATAGATCAATGAACTCGATTCTGAAGGTTTAATTTAAAAAAACTAAAGAATCGAGTTTTTTTATGAAAAAAATATGGATCCGTTGTTTAAAAAAATTTTTCCCCGGACTCAGAGATCTAACCGTTTGAGGTTGAAGACGGGTGGCCGGTTGTAAAGTAGATTTCGAGTACATTTCACTTTGAAAAACAGGATGAAATCAGATCTACAGATTATACGAAGTATTCACAATTTTTATGTGTGAATTTTCACCAACGTTCATGCGTATGATGAGTCTCCTTTATGAAAAAAATCCTGACTGAATATGACTCGAAAAACTTCGAAACTCGAATTTGAAGTTTTTCCAAGTTTTCAAAATTTCTTTTGACAAAATGGTAATAAAAAAATTTTAACTATTGTGCTAACTAGAGAACTATTCTGGCTCTGGTACGCGTATCAAGTTAAAACTACGGTATCTTATGTACTTGGGTGAGAGCTATTGGAAACATGAGAGATTACCTGCTGAACTACATGGGCTTTTGGGAAAGAGCTTCTCTGGGTCAGTCTCATGATTGATTTTTTGTGAGTAGGTTTGATTTCTGTTGAAGACAAATCTTTTTTGCATTTTTCTAAAAACAAAAAACTTTTCAAAATTCATGAATTGATGAAAAAGAATTTTTTTTTTGCAACCTAAGTAGTTTCCTACTTAGCCAAAAACCAAAATTAGGCATGTAGGCAATTTTTTTTATTTTCTAACAAACTTTCATTCTGGAAAAAAAACGTAGTGGTTATGAGCAGAGATCATTTATCAAAATACAGTGATACATTGATCTTGGTTAAAATAGCTTTTATATAAAATCCTGACCTTCGAATAAGTTAAAAATGTTCAAAACCAATGCTGGATGAAGAAGCATGGAGAAGCAGTTTCGACGGGACTTTCGAAAATGGTCTACTACTATCACAAGAAGGGCGAGAAGATCTACGTGCTGATATTGATCAACGACAGTTTTGCGAACCGACAAACAACTCTTTAAGTATTTCTTGATCTAGAAGAGAACCTTCTCTTAAGGCTGTATAAAAACGCTAATGCTCGTTTCTAACCGCCCACCGGTAAATGATTTTACAGATTACTCACCAAAAACCTCATCGTAAACGCTGGTATCCGTATACCACCTTGCGCAAGAAGTTTTTAGTTGAACTTATTGAAGAATAATAGTAGAGCTGGCTGTAGAACGCCATTTTTGAGCAATGCTTTGAAACTCCAGGTCTTCCAACGTCTGTTAAAATTATAAACTTGGCCATAGTTTTAATTTTTTTCACGTAGTTGTTATTTTTGTATCATCAGAGAAAAAAAATCCGATAAAAAGAAATCTAAAAAAATTAAAAAGTGAACAGTTTGCTTAAGCTTGGGATAGGAATATCTCAAAAAAAGGTTTGGATTCTCAGAAACTAAAGAGTTTTTTTAGTTTCAGATTTTTTTAAAAATCTTTAACCTAAGCATCGGAAAATTATTTTCTGGCTTATTTTTGGTTAAAAAAACTGCGCGTTCATTTATAAGCTTTTTTTGTCCGAAAGACAATATTTAATAGAAAAAAATTAATAATTCTAAAAAAAGATCGTGTCTTTTTTTACATCGTTTTATGTGCGATTGGTCTATGTCTACTTCGCTTTTTCACAGGAGGAGTTTAGCGAAAACTTTTCTGCCAAAATTCTTGTTTCGGGCACTAGTATTAAGTTGAAAAAAATGCAAATCTAGGACCTAATTTTTTTTTTGCCAATTTCAAATTGATCATCAACGCTATTTGGTTCGTGAAGTCAGCGACAATAAAGCGCTTCTGAGACAGCAAAGACTGCATTGAAAACCAAAAACTTTTATAAAAAAAGAAAATTTCGAAGATACTTTCTGTTTTGTGTGAACTAACGATCTTATGTGCTCCTCGGTTTGAATATTGAAATGCACTTTTTGAAGTTTTATCAACACATTCCGTTTGAATCGATTATCATTATATATTTTTGATCAAAAGAGTTTTTATAAGAAAAAAAAACGCAGCCGCCCTAACAGTTCTTAAAAAAATTTCTAAGAAAGACCGTTGCTGAAAATAATTTTTTTGTCGATTTTTTTCGTTTTGATCAATTTTTTTAAAGGTTTGGAATTTTAGGGACAAGTGTTTGACATTTCTTGGTCTTTCGAGCTCTCGAGACTTTTTCCTGTATGTAAAATGAGTGAGAGATAATGAAAATTCAGTTTGATTTCTGGGAAATTTCATGAAACATAGTACAAAGAATATTTTCAATAAGAAGATCAGGTTTCATGTCTGAAAAAAATCTTTGGCTCGCCGTCCTAGTAGAAGAGAATTTTTTTGAAGTTTCTGAAGTTTTTCGGATTCAATTCTGATTTGTCCCAGATGTCTCGGATTTCATTCATAAGCTTGGCTAACAAATAAACATTACTATAATCAAAAATTCAGTATTTTTAAAAATTTTTTTCGAGCTGAAATTCAAATTTTTCAAATAATCTGACTCTAATCCAAAAACTTGGAAAGTACTAATTGCAATGACCTTGAAATGCTTCTGTTGAATTTTTCTTGCTTTGGAAGTAAAAACATAACTTGACTTTTTCTAAAATTCAACTGTTTCATGAGTCCTAGACGCACAAAGAAGCATCTTTTTAGCCTTTCCGTAAAAAAACATAAATTTCTGAAGATTCTAAAAAAATACTGCTTTTTAAATTTTTGAAGGCTATAGATGTATCAAACTTTATTAATATTCGGAAGAATATTTAGGAACCTAAAAAAAATCTCAAATGGAATACTCTTTTTCTCCTGTTTCATTAATACAATTAAACAAAGTTTCATAATTTTTCCCGAAAGTGATCGAAAAAAACGAGGAAATTTGAGATAAATAGTTAGAAGAGTTCAAAAAAACTTGTTTTTCAAAGCTCATTACTTTTTGACTTCTAGTCAAATTTCTATGAGATTGATATTTTTGTGAACAAGAACTTTCAATGCGAATGAATTTGAGTACGGTTAGTGTGCGGATGATTATTCAATAGATGGCAAAACGTGGGCAAAAAATCGGAAATGTAGAAATTTTTTGAGTAATTTTTGAGAAGAAATTCAGAATTTCAGTGACTTTTTGACTTTTTTGAAGCTCATTGTTTTTTTCCTAACCAATTTTTTCTCTGCTGGATATTGCGCTAATTTATTTTTTTATCGGCAGTTTTGATCAATGTATTAATTTCTCTCTCTATCTCAAACACAGCTCAAGGAAAAGCGTAATTTTTTCTCAAAATACTTTTTTGCCAAAACATCCCTGAAAATACCTATGAAGTAGAGTAAAACATCGAAAACCACTTTTCCGTTTCGAAACTTTCCGTGTTTATCATTATTCCCAGAAATTCGTTCCCAGAGTCCAGAAATGAGCAGAGGGATTACGGTAAGCCGCGGACGCAAGGACGTGCGTCACGCGAAATTGCGGTCGGTGGCGGCAACGAGTTGCTCGAAATCGATGCGCGCTCCTCCACAGAATTTTTATTCCATGTTTTCCCTCTCCATGTTTGCATTTTCAGAGTCACGCTTCTACTTTATATACTGACTCTGTCAAAATTGCCTAGCCTAATTTTTCTCCCACAACTTACTTGAAGCCTTGGGAATCTTATATTCCTGTTATTAACCTTTGAAATGTTTAAAATCGATTCCGAGAGGCGAAAATAAGTGCGATACAAATTCAATAATATCAACTGCATCAGAAAAAAGAAAAAATTCGCTTCCGAGTCTGCGCGAGTGTTTATAGCTGTTTTTCAAATGTTTACTTTTGTCACAGTTTCCTAACACAAAAATCCCAACGCATCAAATTTGACGCCATTCAATTTTTCATTCAAAAATCAAGTAATAATAATTGAGTTTCGGTGAATTTCCTTATATATGGGAAATGAAAACTCCGTTTCAATTGTTGTTTCCTATGGTTTGTATCAATTTTCAACAATAAAATTTTTTTCTGATAGTATATATTCCAAAGCGTGAGCACAAATAGTTGATGCTTTCATTTTTTGAAAAAAAGAACTGATGGAAAAAGTTGAGATAACAAATAATACTCTTTACCCGATTTTTGAAAAAAACTCTAAATGTCATAAAATTTTTCAAAATTAAGGCATTTTGCGTTCAATTGATAGAAAATTTATTTTTAAAAGTTTTTGACCAAAAGAAAGTTTTGCAATTCATATATTTATCAATAACATATAAAGTGCTGAAAAGATCGAAATTCAGTAAAAATCTATAAATATCTCATTGTGAGAATGTTTTCCCTCCAAAAAAAAGTTTCTTTTCCCCTGTCAACTGCTTCAAATTTAAAAAAAACCCCCTAAAAATACCGGTCATCTTGTTTCAAAAACGTCTCACTCATCACACGGAACATTTTTTTCACTTAATTGCATCATTACTAACTTCTCGAAATTTGAAACGATTGCTAAAAAAGCAGCCATCTGGATCCACGACGTCCCATCTGATTTGCCTCACAATTATCAACTTGACAATCTCTGAACAGCTTCCTTAATCCGAAACCCATGACACTAGTTGAGGAATAATGCGGGCGTAAAATGGGCCGCGTTGGCTGGATGATCATCTCCGACGACGACCCATCTTCGAGCGCCAAGCCCACGATGGAGCGAATTTCTAAATATGTCCGTGAAACTGCCGGTTGGATGTGGGGGTGAGTGACTTCGACGGCTTCCGGGGTTCTTTGTGCAGCTTCTTCTAACTTTCCAACTTTAATTATTCATTAGAGAATGGAAAAAAGCTTCTATCACCCTAAGTTTCCAACTTTTCTTTGCACTTCTTACTGCACAAGTGTTGCCTCGATTTTCAGTTTAAGATTAACCTTCTACTGCAGAATATACTTAGGTGTTTTTCGTGGTCCCTATAGGGATGAGGGGGCGAAGCAGCCCTTATGGAGACCGAAAAAGTGGTCCCTATAGGGATAAAATCAAAGCGTTCTTATAGGGGTTTGGGGTCTCACTTCTTAGTCCTCTAAAGCTTAAGTGGTCCCTATAGAGGTTCAGGGTCTGATTTTTCCGTCCCTGAAGCTCGAGTGGTCCCTATAGGGTAAAATTAAAGTGGTCCTTATAGGGGTTTAGGGTCTGGTTTTTTATCCCCGAGGCTGAAGTGGTCTCTACAAGGTTTTTTTTGATTTAAAAAGTCATTTTTTTTCCTTGCATGGTTATGCTTGTTCGCCTTGAGTTCATAGAAGTTATCGACTAGCATGTTTTCTATAGAGGCCACTTTTGCAAGCTTTAGTGGCCCCTGAAGGGATTGGGGTCCCTTAGGTTGCCCCTACAGGGACCGCTCTGCAGTTCCTAAGTACCAATTTTGAAATCAACTAAAAAGATTTTGGAAACTCAACCTTTCTCAGTTGATAGTTTTTATTCATTCAGAGCGACGAAGGAATCTATCCGAATTCTGAAAAGTTCAATATACTAAAAAATTTATTCTCACGCCGGTTCCCTAAAAAAGAAGATCAGAAGAAGAAGAAGGACAAAACAAAAAGATGATGTTTTGATGTGTGACCAAGAGATAACTAACCGAGACACTTTTACCAAACCAACACTGATAAGCTAATCAAACAAACGACAGAAGTGGTGATTCGAAGCTTGTCACGCCAAAATTAGTACAGCCAACAATTTTTATCATCTTTTTGATAACTAATCAACGATCCGGATTCACACGATGCGTTTGAGATAAGCTATAACTGCCAAAATTCGTCACTTAAGAACGACTGGAAAAATCAAAGAATTCATTGAAAAATGCAATTTTCGGAAATTTCGCTGGAATATCTTGTATTCTGTATCTCACAGGGAAGGTCACTTTGCGGTTGGGAATTTCTTGAAAATCAACCAGAACACTCCTCGATGTACCAGAAAATGATTCGGAAAGTCACAACCTGCTTAAATTTTTAGTACTCGAGAAATAAGGATCTAAAGCCCCAAAATAGCTTATTTCAATGGATTTTCAGCGTTTTCTTGCAACGTCTTTTTTTGAAAAGTAAAAAGTTGTGCAAGCTGAGGCTTCCAAAATCTTCTTCAGGTACACCAGGTTGTGATATAGCCGATTTTTAGGAAAATCCCAACCTCCAAGTAATATGATCTATCTTTTCAGATATTTTCAGTTTGAGAAACGTTTTTTTTTCTTTGCAAAATAATCTGAAAAGTTGAAAATAATGGTCTTTGTTTTATGGATTTTAGAGGACAACACAGAAATCCGCCAAATTTCTGTAAGCTTGAGAATATTCCGTATCATTTTCCGGAAAATAAAGTTCTTCTTAGCTTTTCGACGCTGCAATTTTTCGACTTACCTTTCGAAATTCGAGGCAAAGATAAACTAATGTCTATTGACTTATAAATAAGCTTCAAGGATTGTTGATAAAATCAAAAGTTAGCTTTAAACACACCGATAAGCATGTTGAGCATGGAAATTTTTTATTCTCCACTAAACTTGACCACCAAAGGCTGAAAAACTTGTCCGCACTTAATTCTGCAAATTATTAGAAGACTTTAATTAACTAAGGCTAGCAGTGAATCAAATACGCTTCCCCAGATTTACCTCAACAAAACCTCTCTCTCTCAAATCGAAATCAACTATTCTAACATTTCTCAACGTCGTTCTCCCTAATTAGACATGATGGCTAATTGGTTAACGATCACGATCATGAATGGGGAAGATCAACTGGCAGCTGGTTCGAGTACTATTAATCCCGATGGAGCGGTGGTTCTGGTGGTCATGCAGCGTTCCCATTTCTCGTCAAATGTCAGCCCGCGGCGGTTCACGTTTTTCTCTTCATTTCCACCCACACGCACATCCGAATGCTTTGTCACGTTTTTTCCTGTGTGTTTGGTTCGAAAAATTTCCATTTTCATGAAACTCATGATCGTAATCGGTTTTAAATGAAATCGCGAAAAAATGATCCTTCAGGAAAACATGAAAGCTCCCCAAAAGTGATTAAATTCTGTTCATGCGAATGAAAAATGTGGTTTTTACTTTAAAAGGGGGATGCATATTTGAAGTTGCAATATAATGAAACTACTGTTTTTTTCACGCCTTTCATTTTAAGTTTTTGAAAAAATCTCATTTTTCGGATGAACTACACCTAGAAAATAAGTTTTCTGTTTCAGAAAATTTGAAAAATCATTTTCGAAAAAAAATTTTCACATTCCGCTCAGACCTGTAAATTGAGCCGGAAAAATTTAGAAAAATCATTTTTTTCAAGCAGAGAAATTGAATGAATATTCTCAACTGATCAAATTTTTTTCTCAAATATTTTTTTCTCAGTTTTTCTTTCTTGGGCTTCTAAACTTCAGTACTGATAAATATATGATTCGGTACCACTTCAAAATTTTTTTTTCACATGCGATGAACCTAAAAATGCCTACACGATTAGAAAAAAAAAGATGGGAAAAAAGTCCAGGCGGTACTTTTTTCTTCACCCAAGCTAGAGATTATTTTTCTAGCCTATTCTTCTTACAAATTTTACCAAGTAGTTTTCGACTAAAACATTTTTTCTTCAAGTCTTTTGTGGTTGATAGAACTTTGAAACTTCTCCGCGCCATCGTTATATTTTTTTTTGAAAGTCCTCATAGAAGTTTCAATTGAGAAGAAGGTTGCGCTCATAAGAATAATAATTCTCAAGGTGAAGTAGCCTCTGTGGAGGGTTGAAATGGCGCGGTTGTTTGGTCGGTCAAATTCAAATCGAAAGGCCACACGGAGGGCTTGAGTGCCTGGAAAATCGTCTTTGTGTATGCGTTGTTTGTTGATGAGGCGCTTCATTTTCCCACTAATTTTTCATTTTTCTCTTAGAATACAGATTATTCGTATACATCTTCGTTTTAGGTTTTTTGAAACTGTAAGGTCTGTCTTTAAGCTTTTTCTTCAACTTTAAACCGGCTTCCGATAAGGGCTTACACCTTTACATCTAAAAATCAGCGTCTTGTTATTCTTTTTCTGGATTAAAAAACTGTTCGAAGTTCTGCCCGACGCTTCTCAATCTATTTTTTCCATTGGAAATTTCACAAAATTTACAAGTTGTTATAGAGTTTTCTCGAGAATTTTGCAACACATTAATTGAGAAAAAGATTATAATGAATTTAGGCTCCCCGGAGGCCAGACCAATTGTAAAAAGTGTTTTATTGCTATCGGAGTAGGTGCTCACTTGAAACAGCCGCGTTTCTGCACTCAATTCCTTTGTTCGACCGTTTTATGGTCCTCCGGAATCTAATGTTGGTTTTGTCTTTCCTAATTGCTCTTCTGAAAGGACCAGAGCTCAGGAATAGATTAAAACCAAATTTTGAAGATATCTAGAAAAGAAGAGTCGATTCTGAAAAAGTCTGAAGAACTTTCTTCGATACGTTCATGTATGTATGAAGCTTGCAAGTGAGCTTGGCCAGACTAATTCTGCGCTATCGCCGTATTTGCTCTAGAAATGAGACGCTTTTTTTGGCATTCGGCGGCTGGAATCTGTTCTGGAAACAGGTTGAAGAGACCGGAGCCTCGGAACGCGTGCCCTTGGGGCCGCCATTTTTTCTCGGCTTGCAGCGAAAACAGCGGCTGAAGTTTGAAGCTTTGGTCAAGTTTCCCGTTCAGCGGTCAATTATCTGCTTTATGGATTTTTGTTATAATAAAGTTGTTTTTTGGGCTTAATTTTTTGAACGGAATTTTTTGAACGTTTTATTTTCATTTAATGGAGAGAGTATATGAAGATTCCTCCTTGAATCTATTCAAAAATTTTCCCTTTTCAGTCAATTTTTGAACCTTAAGATCAACGTCTTGTAAGTCTTTCATTCAAAATAAGTTTTTCCGTCAGTTTGTTTTTTTAGATTAATTGTTCTCTTTTCCATTCAGAAAATAACAAAACGGTCAACAAAATGAGTATTTGAAAAAAGGGCACCTCTGTCTTTCAATACACAAATCCCTCAAAATATCACATGCTCTTTCTTCCATTGACGCCTCTGCTTCGAGCTGTTTCACGTCATCATTCAAATCCCAGAAAAATTGACACGTGACACTTTTTCTTCCTTTTGACGTTTTTTAAACTTTCAAGTTCAACACACTTTGGGGCCTAAATTCCGACTTTCCTATTTTAGAAAAAGACAAGGTTTCAAATTCGAAAAGGCACCTTGCTGCATATTTTCCTTGCAATCTCCGCATTCCATCTTAATTCTTCTCGAGGCGGTTGGTTGGAGACGAAGAACTCGTTTTGCTTCAAGTTGAGGACCCAATTCGTCACCAAAATGCTCATCAATCCAAAAACAGTTATTGCGAAGTTTAGTTTCATCTCATTTTTTTGTTTCTCAACTTGAAAAAAAAACAGTCTTCATATTTTTTTTTCTTCGAATGATGAAAAAACAAAATGAAGCTGGGGAACTAGACGGAATTGCGAGAATAACAGATGAGATGAAAGAGGACCCCGTTGTCCGTTTTTTTCCTCCCAGCTTGAAAATCTAAAAGCCACATGTTCCGTTTTGTTATGAAAAGAGTTTTCAGTCATGAAAACTTTTTTAGTTTTCTTCCACAAAAATGTTTCTATTCATACGAAACCCCCATTTTGAGAGACATTTTGATGGAACTGTCGCTGACGCGCTGATGCGTCAGTTTTCTTTCCCTTTTCTCCAGTCACAACTCTTAGAAACGGCCGTTTTGAGTTATTGTGTACTATTTTGTCAACACAACAAACCTGTTCATATTTTCAAGAGCCACGGGGTTTCTCGGCATAGTTTGTTTGAGTTTTCGTAACAAGAAACTGCGGTTGACGTCATTCTGTGTTTTTGAAACTCAGAAAGTGAAGAGGGTCGAATGAAAACACCTCCGTCTTCAATGACACCTAAATGATCGGGAAGTGTCAGTGATACTTTGATCGATGGAAACAGTTTGGGTTCATGACAGCGAGACTTTTCAAGTCGTGAAAAAACCTAGTAGGCTCGAAAATGTGAAAAATTCTGACTATGATGAAACCGTAATTTTTTTTAATTTTGAAAAGTTGGTTAACCGGGGTTGTAATTTTCTCGGCTTCATTTTTTTACTTTTTTTCATCGTAGTCAGGAATTTTTGGTACTTTGAAGATCCATTTTTAGAATCGCTCAAACGTTTGTTTCCAACATTGGATTTCAAAAAATAAAACCTGAGTTTCGTAATAAATTCTAATCGATTTCTTCCCCGTGAAACATAAAAACAAATCAATAGATAAAGTTGATGATGAGTTTCCCGTTGTTGTGAACTTTCAAAAGTTGTACGTCAGTTTGTACACAAGGAGACGTAACGTCGTGATTCATGTTTAATCGCATGCGCGGTCGTCCTCCGTGGAATTATTCAAGTTTTGACGTCGAGTGCGCATCCTGTAATGTCCTTTTGCCTTTCTTCACCAACTTTGTCAACTGGAGCTGACACGTTGACTCTTTTTAGTATAGTCGATTCGTACTAACTTGAAGGTTTCCTTCGAAAAAGTCGGATTTGATCTAAATTATTTTGGAGCGAGGTTGTTGGAACATGTCCAGAGCCTTCAAAAATGAAATAAACTTCTCATGACTATTTAAGTTATTTAAAATGTAGTTTACTTCAAGACGAGCTCTAATGTGACATCCACAGAAGGTCCAATATTTTTATTTTTGGTTGAATCAAGTTTTTCTTCTAGGTTAGTAGTTTAAAGATTTTTGTTTCAGTGGGTTAACCACTTTCCAGTACTCCATAGGCCAAAAAAAAATTCATTAAACGATTTTTTTTTTCAAATTTTTCTATTTGATCATTAAAAATTCACAGACAAGTCAATTTTCATCGCTAATTTTCGTTCACCTAATGCAGGCAGGATTTTTCATAGCGATTTTTTTCCTGTGTATTGGCTATTGGAAGTTCTTGAACGCACACTTTTATTTAAAAATATCTTTTTACTTCAAATAGAAATTGAAAAAGTCATAACTTTCTCAAAAACTCAAACGTTTGAACTGTATTTATCAAAATTTCAGGATTCATAGATCAACCTAGAAACGTTTTGGTATCGTCCCAGAAAAGATTATCATATTTTTGCCAAAAAATCCATCGGCGACTGAGGTAGCAAAACTGATAGAATGAGGAGATAACTATCCAAGGTTTTTATGACCACGATGGAGGTCGCAGGAACGCGCCAAAGTGACGGCGCAGGTGGCTCTGACCGTTTGTCCAGGCGTCGGAACCGTCTGAACGCATATATATTCCACCGGGCTGCTTTGCTTGGCTGCAATGTCACGGAATATTCAACTAGAAAATTTATTTTATTTATTTTTTCTCATTGATAGTTTTTGGAGAAAAACAAATCTTGATGATTTTTTGAATTTTTTTTATGAATCCTTACTCAATTTTGAAAAAAGATTTTGCATTTTCAGTGCCTTTTTCATGTTCAATAATTAATGAGATTGCGTGAGAGAAGTTTCAAACTTAAGTACAGTAATTCTAAAAGTTCGGAACTTGGTTATTCATAGTTCCGAATCTTCAATCTTTTCTCAGAGAATATTCGAAGCTCAGCTTTGGGTGAGCTGCATTGAAAAAAATGTAAAAAAAGAATTATTTTTTTAAAAAAAACTGAATGTAGTTGTTGTCCTGAAGTTCTATAGCTTATTTGTAACAACAACAAAAACTAGCACAAGTGTGTTTTTTTTTTGCTATTGAACGTGTTTGAAAACCTTTGAATAACTTTTCCAGCCTGTCTGAAGCTAACACAACGTTTTTAATAAGTTTCTGACACGTATGGAAAAATTATACGACCCTTTTTTTTCTTTTAAAGATTCCAGTATCAAAAAGAGCAATTTTTCCGGAAAGAAAAAAAGTTTTAATGGTTCAGTCTTGTCACGCAAGTCTATAAAGTTTCTTGGAAACTCGAAACAACCGAGCACACGTGTACTTTCTCTGCCATCGGCGTGTAGTTGACCACGAAAAGCACAACTCGAACCACCGCAAACATTGATGTTTTGTGTGGTTGAATTGCCGGGGTCGTCAGTTGTTCCGTCAGTCAATATTACCGCCAACCCCACAGGCAGCAAGAAAAAGCAGCCGGCTGCTGGGCTTCCTTCTGTTTGTTTTCTCGCGTTTTGTCAGCCGTTTCTGCGCATTCCCCAACCACCGTTTTGTCGTTTTTCTCTTTTTCTTCTCGTCTCTCGTCTGCCGTTTTTTTAGTTGGAGAAATATTTTGTTTTTTTCCGGCTTCTGGATCTCGCGCGATTTCTCGGACGCACTCAACAGCTGTCGGAGATCGCATGAACTTCCTATTGCGAGATCCGCGATGTTCATGCGTCCTTTTCTCAAACTTGGCATAAGTCGTTTTAAAATCCTTCTCTTTTTTCTGAAGTTTTTCGATATAGTTTTTTGAAAGTTATTCTTGCGTCAAAGAAAGGAACTATGAAGGTTTTTCGTTTCTTTCAAACTTATTAAAATCAATATTGAAATTCTGAGTAGCTTTCGAGAAAAATGCGAGCTTACTAGCTCTGATCCCGGTTTCATCCCCTAGTAGATGTTTTCGGAGAAAAGATCAGATTCTGAATATTTTCGTGGAATATATTCATGTTTAGTATGACTTCAACCTCGCCCTTGAGAAATCTCGCTTAAGACAACAAAAAAAAGTTGATTTGAGATTTTTCTACGAAAGTCACTAAACCACTTTTGGTACAAACCCATATCCACACCGTTCAGCGTTGATTCGCCGTCATTCTGACCCAACTTTCTCTCGTTTTGATTGTCGGTTTCCCATCTTTCAGGCTGTGCCCGACCTCCAATAAGGCCACTTAACACGCCGCGCCTCAACCAAATTTCTAGTCGTGACTACATTTACTGCAAAGCACAATCAGAAAGCTATTTTCGAATTCGATATATGTGTGAAACATTGACTTCACTGATATGGTCGTCGTGGTCGTGAAAACCTTGGTCGTGAAAACCTTGGTAAACATTGCGCTTGAACGATAGCCTTTTTATGCGAATGGGAGGTTTTATTTTCATTCTTTTTGTCTATATAGGCGTGAGGAAAATGAAAAAAAAAGGTTTGTGGAAAAATGATTCTGTAAATGTTTTGTTTGCTGCTACGTGGCTTTTTTCTCGAGTTATTCTTTTCATTCTTAAATCTCAAAATTTTCCGATACTTTGTTTTCTCATTTATAACTCCAACGTTTTTCAAAAGTTGGCCAAAATAAACTTCTTCACGATACTTTAATAATTTTGACCATTAAACCGTTTCAAGCAAGAAATTTTCAGTTTTTTTTATTAGGTGACAGGAAAGATACCAGTTTTGAAACTTTCGGCTTCTAAGATCAAAAAATGCTGTCTTATAATTAGTTCTATTTGTCCCGCTGAGACAGTGATTTTTCAAAAAACCGACCTTTTGGGCCTTTTTTAAACCTTCAACAAAAGAGTATTCCCAGGCTTTCATTGGAAATTGCTAGAGTGATACTTGAAATCGCATTTTTTAGAGCTTTCGAATGATTTTCTGTTTTATTTCTCTGTTGCTCGTTCTTTCGGTCGTCGTCACTGTGTGCTTGCTTGGTGGTCGAAATGCACAACCTTGTTTAGTTGGATGTCAGTTGCACCGGAGCTGCGGCAGACGTCGCAACTCGCCCGCCACTCTTCCGTCGACATCGACGACGCTCCCGGCTGCTGTCCCGCCAAGATCCTCATCTCCAGTATCGTCAGTTTTGCAACGTACGTGCCTTTCCTATGTTTAGTGCAATGGAATTATTTCAAAGTGGTTGTGTTCGACGGCATGAAAGGTACTTTCAAGATCAGGGACGGGAAGGGTTCCTACTTCAAAAATTATTTTTGGAAGGTCCTGGTCTTGAAAGATGCCGCATGAAAGCATCAAAAAACCCGGAAAACCATACGTAGACGTGTCGTTAAAAATTGTTTACTAGAACGGCCTATCAAAATAAATGTTTCCGACTGATCGTGATAAGTTTTGTGATAGTGGCCTGGTTATCAATGACAACTTCCCTGGAGTTTTGTGATCGCAGAATGATATGAAATTGATAAAACTGAAGTGATGAACTGTGAAAAAATCAAAGTATGAAGAATGAAAAGTATAAAGAATAATGGAAAATAATTTTTTGATAACTTTGAACAATTTGATTATTTATAGAAGTGTATCCAAGACTACGGTAACGACTTCTTTTATCTCATTATGTTGAACAAGAAACGACAGATGCGATCCAACTGATGCACACGTGTGATTTTTCTTTGTGAAATTAAGACGGTTTTTCCCTCAAAGAAACACGTGCAAGTCCTAAGACATGGCGTTTGTTGGCATCTGCGCCTAGCCCAGGACCCCAGATGTATTACTTTTCTGTATCTTCTCGCCATCATCGTTTCATTCTAGCTTTAATGGACAACACTTTCAAAGTTTTTGAATCTTAATGGTCGTTGTAGAAATTCACTTAGGAGGTCACATGTTTCAGCACGCGGGTGGGATTAGAAACGTAGAAAACAAAAATCTGTCAAAATCACTTAGAGACGGAAAAGTAAAAAAGTTTTTAATAGTAAACGCTCTGGTTGCAAAAAATAAAAATGATACAGTAACGCATGGAAAAAATTTTGACTCTTCCGTCTTACTATGAGTTTTTCTAAAGATCCTACGTCTCTTTGATAATGGACCTTTCTACCAAAATATATTTTCGGTTTCTATACGCACTCAAGAAGTTTACTTAGTAGCCAAGAAGTTTTCACCTCTGTAGATTGCCGGAAAATCCAAAATTAAAAAAAAATCGCCTTTCTTGTCAGCCAAATGAAAATTCGAATCATAATTCTAATCGCTAATTCGCTCTCTCTTGTTGCGCAACCTAGTTTGTTGCATGATGAATGTTGCGAATTACTTTTTTCTGTTCAAATTACTGTACAAGGGTGGGGAGAAACAAGTTTTGTTTGGCTGGCAGTCAAAACGGCCGCCGGTTGACATCAACAAACGAACGAATCGTGTTCAATTCGTCCGTCTGTTGTTCCACGTTTCCTTTCCTGTGCCAAGTCACTCGATTCGTTTTATCTCATTGACAGTTACTTTTATGCTTTCACTTAGGATCCTCATTTTTATCAAATTTGGGTGAAAGTCTAGGTTTCAAAGGCTTAAAGTTACGTGTCATTCGTAGAATCGAAAATTCCAATCTACCATAATAATAAATCATTGTTCATTCTCAGTTTCGTATTATCTTGTTCGACTGAACTAAAAAATCTCTGAAGGCACATAAAATGGCTCAATGAAGTTTTGGCGCTTTTGCGGCTGTAAAAACTCGTCTGACTGAAATCTGGTCGGCTCCGAGTTTTTTTCGTTCAAATAACATGTGCCTATTCAACTTTGTATTCAAGTTGGTTACGGCCAAGAAATATTCAACATTACAGAAATTACCCAAGAAGGGCCAACGCACTAGGTAACCGCCAAGTTATTCCCAGTGTATCTTAAATTTGCGAGGAAGATCAAAAATTTCAAAAAAGATTAAAGTTTGCACGTAGAAGACGTTTGCAAAAAAATTTAATGATAGTTTATTCGCAGAGTTCTTAAAAAGGAGGTCATTTCACTTTGCGGTTTGAAATTGTCTACATACTCGCTCAGACACTCTCTGAATTTCTAGATGAAGATTTTTCATAGTCGTGCGTTTTTAGTTTTGAGATATGATTATTCAAATGTGCGAAATTAAGTTTCAAGCCTAATTTTTCGAACGTCAAAAATAATTATCTCAAAAACTAGAATCTGAAGCGGGTTACGACTTTGATGGAATCTCATATAAACCTTCAGAAATTGTTTGAGGAAAGTGTAGATAACTCCAAGTCGCAAAGTAAAATTACCTCTTTGTGGGGTCTAATTATGTCTTAGCCGCGAGTTTCAAAAATATCTTGAAAACTAAAAGTTTGCGCAGGTAGAGACTATGAGTAATGCTCATCTAGACATTTAGAGAGCTTTTGAGGGGAATCGTCAAAATTCCAAACCGCAGAGCACAGTGACTTCTCGTGTTAGGCTCAAGACTTATTTTTTTGGCGAATTCCTGTGAACATTTGAATATTTTAAGATCTCATATTTGTGTCATACTTAATAAAGAGTTGTTTTCGAGGCAAACTATCAACCAGAAACTCAAAAAAGACCTCATCCATCATGCGACTCCGCAATGGAAAAAATTCACGATCCTTCCTGAATTATGATGCCGATTGATTTGCAAATCCTATAAACAGTACAGTATGACAGGCCTAAGCAGTCAGTTGCGTACCTGTATGGGGATGTTTATTTGTGCTTGCGATTCTCTGTATTGAATATCGTGGCCGTATACCAGGGCGGCCACACCTTGCAAGACAAAGAACTCTCTGGGGGTCGGCCTTCTCACTCACTTGACAGCCCGGAATGCACGGCCGGCCATCCTTCCTCAGCACCTGCCAGCCGCCGGCTGCACTCGACTGTCTACTGTTTAGTTTTATCCATAAGGAGACTTCAAAATTTTCTCAGTTTTCTGATACCTTTTGAAAAATCAGCCAAAAGCTTTTTTGCGGCTTCAAAGGAATAGATAAACGTTTTTGAATCTTGTCCCTTTAGAACCAAGTATTTTTTTATATAACGCATGGTTTTCTATGGATGACACTGTAAAGCGAATTTTTGAACTTTTGATGCGACAGTGAACTTTTGTTATTCACTGTTTCACCTGGTAGTTTTATGTGTATTGAAATGAAATTTTTTGTTTGAGCTGTTAAGCTTTTTTTGGAACTGACGTGATGAAACTTTTGAAACTGGCTTCTCATGTCTAAAAAGCCGGAATCTCGAATTTTGGAATTTTCCGAAAATTACATTAATCTTTACTCTTTATTACGTGTAATGATAAAACGAGAATGAAAAAAAGCTGGGTAACAAAACAAATGACTGTCTCCAACTTTTTTTCGAAATCGTTTGATCCCGCAGTTTAAGGAATTTGATTTCTTTTTTTAATTCGAATTATCACATTTTTAAAAAAACTCGAGCTGATCTCACCAGATGATAAGATTTGGATTCCGGTTAAAACTTCTTTGAAACTTGGCATGCTCTAGAAAATACCACAAAGTTTCTGGGAGTTTGAAAAAAAAATCAGATCGTCAATAAATTTCTCACGGTTAAATATTGACTTTTTTTGAGCGCTAGGCGGCCGCTGCAGACAAATTGGCAGCGCGATCAAAATATCTGAAAAATGAGTTCGCTTTTCATTCTCGTGTTTCTAATGCCGCGTTCTAGGTATTCTCCGCGAAATTCAAAATTATCTCCGGACATCCGAAATTTTGTCATCTTTTGATTTTCTGACAGCTATTTCAAGTTTCACGGGATCAATTAGAACACGGGATCAGAATACATAGAAAAGGTATAGTAATAAAAATTTTCAGATTTTCAAAAGTCGAAGAGAACTTCTCTTTATTTATTTCATCAAATCCAAAAAACCCTTCCAGGTCAGACCAAAAAAACGGTCTCCTTTTTTGTTGAGAATCTATTGATTCGGCGAATCACTTGCCGCCCACTTCCTTCCCTTGCCGCCGTTTTTGGATAACAATGCCGCAATTGCATAAAAGTCATGAAACGTAGTAATATCGACAAATGCGGCATGCCAATTATCGCGCCATATGAAACTAAGTGGGCGTTTCTCAGGGCTCCGGTTTCGTGCCAACAAAATCTGCCAGCTTTTCTCGACCGATTCTCATTTCTTGTTGTCCCAAAGTTTGTTCTTTTTCCGTTTTCCCTGCGTGCGATTCCACATAATGTTTGCGTCCGATAAGGACCGCATTCTAACACGAAATGATTCAATAGCTTTTTTTTTCTCAGTAGACGGCTTGTTCAACTTTTGGCCGTATCAAAACTTCTCTTTCCCTCTTTTCTTTCCGAAGTTTTTGTTTGTGTAGACAGGGTGATTTTCCCATGATCCCCACATTGTTATTTTATAAGCCGTAGCAAAGAATAGAATAACATCCTCCCTATCAAAGCATTTCCTGATAGAAGAACGATTCTCATTTCCTCGTTTCCAGTTCGAAACGGTTATTTTGTGTAATCCTGTAGCTTATCAGTTCTCTGTCTTGAAGTTGGTGATAAAATTTTCGTTTCTCGTGACAAATTATGTTGTGTTTTGTTGTGTCTCATCAGTTCACCGTTTCTGAAAAATCCACAAATGAAGAGTTTTACTCAGAACTTCAAAACTCATCGAGAAATGATCAAGAAATCAGCAGTACGCATAAAAGGGGAATGATACTTCAGGTGTGGCGAAATTTCGGTTTATTGAAGTTCTGAGGGAAGCTCTACACGTTGTTAGTTTTCTTCTCCAAGCTCTTTTCCGCGCTCTTCGTGATTAGCCTTCCTGAAGTATAACTTTTGTTATCATATCGGTTCAGTGATGACGGCAGAAGTAGCACGGTCGCCGGAAAGTTTGAACCAGGCAGAAAATCAGAGATTTGGTACAATCCGAACTGTCCTAGGAGAGTGGAAACAACTGTTTGATAGTTGTGGTTTCATCAGAAGGAAACGCAGATCGCCTGTGTAGGAGTTTTTGTATTTTTAATTTCCTAAACTGGATTTCACTTATTTGAGAACATAATAATGAATATTATTTTTAGCAGGTCGCGGAGGAAAGAAGGAAAAGAGAAGCAAGTGAGTAAGAGAGTTGCCAGTGCTGCTTACGCTCCACGTCAACCGCCGAAGTCCTCCGATCTCTGTGTTTGCGATTCCATCGATGACAAGGTTTCCGTTTATCTTATTTACTTGTCTACTCCAAAAGTTTCTCAACTCAGACAGCTTGGCGCGTTTTCGCGATTCACTGTAGAGCGCATGTTTAATATCATTGAAATACACCTTTTTCATCACAAAATACGTAAATTTTGAACCGACCACCTGTAATCAAACTATCAGAGCTTGACTGGAAAAGATTGAAAAATTAAAATCTTTGCAAGGAGTCACTCATAGCCCAGAAGGGCTATCAAACATGTCAAAAAATCGAACTATTTTTCAGTACCTCGTGGATTTTGGCATTTTTTCCTTAGTGAAGAGGCTGATTTGCGGTTCCAGAAACTTTCTAAAAGAAAGATTTTTCCTCGAGCTTGTGAACTGATGCGTTACTGTTGGAAATCAACAAAAATACTTATTTTCAGACCGTAAAAAAGTTCACCACCTTGCCGACTGGAATCGATCAACGCGAATGGATTGCTCACAACAGTTCGTTTTTTTTCTATTCATTTTTTTCCGATTTACCAATAAAATATTTTTATGAAATGTTGTGTGCAATATTCTTCAACAAATTTTTTTTTTCTGAGATTCGAATCAAGCTCGGGCTCAGAGGAGATCAACCGAAGATTCAAAACCCCGCCAAAAAAAAGAAATTACAATCAAAAGATTTTGCGCATACGCCTTCAAAATCAACAAACAACATTTTTTCTTTTTTCTTACAATTTTCATCACGAAATTGGTTCAAAATGCCATAGTACTATCCATAACCATCATGAACAATTCTTTCGCATGCAAAAACGAAGAAAAATATTTCAAATAGCGTTTTCGCTTTTCTTGAGATGATGGAACTACCACAGAAATTTTTCCCTTTCAAAGAAGTAACGGAAAAGTTACAGTTTTCAAATAAGATACATTTTTTACAGCTTAATGAGTTCAACTATTATTTCTTTTGCGAGTTCTGAAAGAGATTAAGAATGAAACAAAATTCTTCACTTTTCAAAATTTTCAGATCGTAAAATTCTTTCAAAAAACTTCATGTTTCTAGCTCTTTTTGCAGCATGAGGTTTTTAAATAATGACTGTATGAAATTATAAACTTCTTGTAAAAAGAGGTGCGCAAAAATAAAAAGTTTGTTATAAAGCACTGTGAGAAACTTCGTAAAAAAAAATTTCCTTTTGAATTCTATTATTATCTAGCCACAAAAACGAATAAAAAAGTTTTTTTTCATTTCAATGACATTATTTTTCAGCGTTGGGACTTTTCGACCACGTCAGCGCGTTGAGTGGCTGCATATCGGAGTTGTGCACGCCAGTTACGTGTCCCCACATGAGCTTTCCTGGAACAAGGTGTGTAAATACTATTTTTTTATATAAAGATTTTTTTCGCGAAAAAAATTCGGAATCATTGCCTGCAATTATCAATAGGAAAAAAATCCTTTAAAAAAATAATAGAAAAAGCCAAAAGACATAAGTTTCATCCATTTATAAGTATAATTCAGTCGATCTCATCAAAATAAAGAACTATTTAAGTTTTTTTCCTTTGTCTTTAATAAGAAAGAATTACCGGCTTATTTTTCATCAAACTATTGTCTCTGAAAAAAAATAAATCAAAAAAACTCTCAAACTTTGAAATTTTTGCCATGTGTTCACTAGGAAACTGATCCAAAACGATTAGTGCTCGAAAACATAAAAAAGGACCGTAATCAGATGTTAAAAATTGATAGCCGTGGAACTACGAGCCATTTTATATATAATCAGGAAGAACAGATACGAAACTGAAGATTTGAATAAGATTCTAAAATAAAAAAGGTAAAAATCTAACTTCGCAAAACTTTTTTTGTTTAAATTTCATCTGTAGTTAAAAACAAAGTTCAAAAGAGTTTGCTTCATTGTAGGGACGTTAAAAAATGTGTAGGTTATTGATAGACATGGCATATACGTTTTCAAATTTTCCCTCAGAAAAGATACGAAAAAACGTGAATGCGGTCACAGCTTTCTTGTAAAGAATTCTATCTTCCTCAAAGTTTCTGAAGTTTCGTTTTTCCTGTGAACTGGAACTTTATCAAAGTGTTGAAAAAACAGTCGTCATAACTCCAAAAATTTTCAAAAAGATTGAATCCTTTACAAGAAAGTAGTGACTGAAAACCCCGTTATTTTGTTCCTTCCTGATTTCAGTTTATTTATTGTTATTATTCAGTTTGAATGAACTATTCATTATCGAAAGCTGATTTTTTTTTCCGACCAAATACAAATGTTTTGGAATGTCATGAAAGTTCATCAATTTTCAGCAAAGCTCCGTATGTGGACGATCGTGGAAAGCGTCAAAATTATCCAGCGATGCAGTACATCGACTGCGCGATGACTTCCTGTGAACAAATAAGCAGAAATGAAGATATTTTCCCCACAAAATATGGTTAGCTCTATCTTTTTTCTTTTTATTTTTCAAAGAAAATCATCCAAAGATTGGTTTTCAGGCAGCAAATTTTCGAACGATTTCGAACCGACCGTGAAAAGAATGCTGCGCATGTTGTGGCATTGCATTGGGCACTTGTACACGAAACATTGGGAGCACATGGGTTTAAGAAAATTCATTTTATTTCAAGTTGACTTTGAAACTTCAGGAGCTCTTGAGCTTCGACCTCAAGTTGCACTGGTTTTGGCCCATTTATCGGAACTCGGAAAATCTTTCAACCTCATCGACCCTAAGGACCAAGTCCACGTCGATAACACGGTGATAATGGCACGTTTTTTTTTTCATTTTTCATTTTTTATTTTTTATTTTTTATTTTTGACCATATTTACAAAAACCTATATTTGGAAACAATGCGGTTTAAAAACTGCAAATGCATTTTTCTCTCACACACTTTTGTGTTAATATCATGAAAACTATAATAAAAATTAACTCGAACCAAAGTTTGATGACTTACAAATTATCTGGGACTTCAAGTTAGCTTTAAAAGTATTCTAAACAACCAAAAATCTATTTTTCCGTTTACTTTATTTTAATAGTAGCCCAAACAAGAAGTAGATTGTTCCAAAATTTCTAAACGATTTTTTTCAGATTCGTCCAATTCTGGCGATTGCCTCGCCACTGGGAGTATCTGAAGACCAAGGAGAGAGAAAATCCGAGAATTCTGACCGCGCGACTCGAGTTCCGACGTCGAAAAGCGGCAGTTGGGGCGGCTATCCATCGCCTTCAGTTCTTTCCTGCAAACCCTACTCCCAAACATGTTAACATTTTTCCTTCATTCTTTTCCATCTGACAGTTCAAGTTGTAATCTGCAGCTTTCCGATATCCTGACGGAGCAATACAGTTTTGGTGTTCATGTTCATTATTTATTCATGCTATTTTTGTTCTTCCTTTTCATGTTACTAATAGTTTTGGCTCTTCGCTGTACATTATACATAGCTCTTTGCTTTCTTTTCCTTCATATTGTATAACAATTCCCATAGCCCAGTGGCGTACTTGATAGGCGGTTATGTGTAATTTGCAGGTAACAAACAACAATAGTTCCATCCCATCACCAACTCAAAAAAAAACCTCAACAGAAAAAAAAGCAGATTTTCGCACTCTTCGCTCTTTTATTTTAAGTATCTCAAGTCGCTTGCATAGTCACTAGTCCTAGCTTTGAACGTTTTTCATGTTGTAGAAAATGTGATCCGTTCAGTTCATGTTGTAAAACGCGTTGTGATTTCTTTTTCCATTTTGATTTGAACAATACTTGCAATCTTCCCTACCATGCAATCCGAACTAATGGTTTATTTCAACAGTATAACTTGTAAATACATTGGTCCACTTCATCTTCTTTGCGAAAGAAAACGAGTTCTAACCGATTCTTTTTATTAGGGCACAAATTGAAGTTAAATAAAATTTAATTCATTTCTTTCTTGGATCGTATTGGTAACAGGAGAGGTTTTTCAATTCAGTTCTGTTCTTTTCTAACACGAACAAGACGACATTTTAAGTACCTATAAGCATATTCGCCATGATTTGGTGATTAAATTGGAATGAATGTAAATGGGTTCCGAATAATGAAAATTCGTTCTTTTTCGATGGCTCCTGTTGGGGCCAAAAAATAAAAGAAAATTACACTGCATACTGAAAAATTAGTTTATGAAGTTTTCCAGACGATAAGCGGAAATATCTGTAAAAAAAAATTTTTTCAAGCGTCATCAATATCAACTCCAATCCGCAGTTATTTCTGTTCAAAAAATTGAAAATAAATAATATGGGTTCCATTGGAAAAGCAAAAAAGTCGCTAGCAATAACCAACATAATCTTAAACTTCAAAAAGAAGCCAGAAAAACGATATTATCACATCAGAGGAATATAGAGTGTAACAAATTATAACAAACTCTCTCAAACTTTTAATTCACTCCAAATTTTTTTAGGCCACAGTTGGAATAATTTTTATCGCAGATAATTTTATTCAATTAAAACAAAAACTTATTGTTTCATAATCCTCTCTCCTGTTTCAATGCCTGGAGACACAAAACCCTTTGATAGGTCTTCTCATTTCGTTAAAAAAAATTGCTTTGTACTTTTCAAACGGACAAAATTTGAAATCGCGCCGACAGACGACCAGGGATGTGGTAGGGACTCAGAGAGCAGCAGAAAGGGTCTCGTAGCGGAGGTGGGCGGAGCTTATCGTATTCCAGGGACGCCGTTTCACGTGACGCGATCAATGCGTCGCGTGTGCTCATTTCTGCATCTGCAGTGTTCTGTGCGGCGGTCCACTTCTGCCGCTCTCTACCTCCGATGCCTGCGACTATTTTCGGACTCCATCCGGAAAGAAAAATATTCTGCTGCTGACGACGACGACGCGCAACGCCTTCCTTCAGGGTCGACGGCTGCATCACAGGCTGTGAGATTTCGTGTGCAAGCATTCTGGTTCTGTACCCGTAATCGTCATGGTCCGTGATGCAGCCTCCAAAAACCTGAAGAGGCCTGCGGGTCTCGGTGGAACCTGTACGGTTATGTCGTTTGACACTCATACCCGTATACGTTTCCGCTGAGACTAGCAGCCTCACTTTTTCCACTCCCTTCCACGAAAACCATCACATTTCCTCCAAAAAAAAAAATGCAACCCCATTCTCGGTGGATCCACTACGTGTGCGTGATAATGTGACCGTACCCGTAACGCTTCCACTGAGTATTGGTTGGCATAAATTTTTCCCGTTGCTGTTTTTTTCATCGTGCAATAATAAATATGTTTCAATTCTACATTTTTTTGTTTTTATTTGCAAAGAAATCTTCTTGTCTGCTCGCGGTGAACACAAAAAAATCAGACCGAAACGATTTTGGCCTTTGTAAAAGATCTGAAAACTGAAATGATGAAATATTGGAAGTTTCTACAAGGGTACATTAACAAATCGGAGAGAGCAATATTGCTTGCATCATCTCTTTCATAATCCCAAAAAAAGAGAATCAAAACGTCTCAGTTGGTATTTTTCTTGTAAATTAGTATTTTTTCGTTGGCCTAAAATTTAGGACGCCTCAGAAGAAGACAGACGGGAAGACGCGCATAGACGCAGAGAAAAAGATGGGAAGAGAGCAAGAGGATGACCTCGCGTCTTGGCGCGTAGCCAAAAGGTATTGATCGAAGAAAGACGCGTCGGTGGGGCGAGAGAGCACGCGTCTGGTGGAGAGGCCAGAATTGGAACGCCGCCAAGGCGAACGGCACTAACGAAAACATTCCAACCAGAAAAAAAGTGTTTACGAAGGGCGTCCGAGTAAATAGCGGCTATTCAGACGTCCTTTCGTTCCCAACGGATATGAACGCTGTCGAGAATCTCTTGGCAAACAGACTCACTTCTGAACTTTGAAAATCTTGAAAAAATATATAATTTGACGCTTTTAAACTCAGTTTCATTTGATTTTTAATATTTAAGCGCTGTTGAACTCTTCATGAATTCGAATGTGCAATCGCTTCTGAAGACACATTTTAACTATATATCTTTCTTTGTTGATTTCTTTTTCAAAGTCCCATCTTCGTTCGTCAACTCAAAGGAAAATGCAGTGTTGTGAATAGTTTTATGAACTATTATAATCATTCTAATTCTTCATAGTTCATAAAAAACATCTGATAAAAAACGTTTATTATTTTAAAATTCATTTTAAATATTCATGATCTGTGTGAACAGTTGTAAATCACTTCCATTTCTTGAAACGGGTTCTATTTGGACTTTTCCGAAAAGAGAAAAAGTATTCAGACAAAAGAATCTGCTGACTCCAAAATTTTCTATGACTTTCCTTCCATCGATAGTTAAGAAAATACTAAAAAAAATCTTAATCCTTTTCTTTAATCACTTCAATTTGTGAAGAGCAAACTTATTTTTCCTAGTCAGCGGGGAATGAACTACGATTGTCAGTCCTTTTTCTCGTTGAAAATTCATGCAGCTTCGTACACGAAAGCACTTTCGAGAAACCTTTGAGAGCTGATTCCGTCTCGGCGGCGGTTTGTAGCCAACAGACGGACAGATGGCCGGCGGATCAGTTGGCAAACACGTCGCGAGTGTTTCAGAGAGTGAAACATAACGAGATGCTCTGGAATAAGACATCTGGAGCCCCCGACGCGCTGATTGGAATAAGCGGTCTAATTAGGTATGGCTTCCCGGGGCAGCCACCCATGAAGCTTCCAAGGGAGCTCATCGCGCCTCTCTTTTACTTTCCTTTCTCTTCCAAATCGTTTAGTTCACCAGGCACATTTTTGCCTCTGAAAGAAATAAAAAGAAAGAAATTTATGGAAGTGGTTTGCATAATCCATTCCGTCAGTTCCCATGAAGCGATTTACGTCTTTTTTATCACAAGATTAGTGTAACGCTCCTGTTCCCATGAATTATTCCCTCTGCGCTGTACGAATTTCAATGAGAATTTCATTCTATCATGAGAGTCTATATTTTTCGAGGTGCAGTGGAAAAAGAAAGGAGAACTTCGCCAAGATTTGATTATGAAATTTATAACGGTTGCGTGAGCTGAAAGGAGAATTTGTTGGAGTCGATGGATGAGAATGATAAGTGGTTCAATTTAATTCCTGCGGTCTTTGTCTCGCTTTTTAGAGCACAGAAAAAAAAACGAACCCACGTCGCTTGATTCCAATTCCATTTCTCCAAAATTCGCCTTTGGATGTGGGCTCGAGCTAGCGACGACTCTACTAAATCTTCCACGTTTTTCACGTTTCTCAATTTGAAAGGGACGTGCCTGGATCCAAATGAGATCCGAGCACCTAATTCATTTCTGGATTTGCGGCTGAGGCTTTTCCAGCCTCGGCGGGCCTCAATCTTCGCAAAGTGCTTTCTGTAATAGCGTTCAGCTGATTGACTCCATCTCCAAACGCACTTATTATGATTAGAACTACATAACCAGGACTTTTTGCTTCTCACAAAAATGTGGAGCCGAAGTTCGGGGGATCTGGCATTTTCGCCAATGACTTGCTAAATTATTTTAACGTAGAGATGAGTGAAATGAGTAATTTTTTTATTAGTTAGGAGATTATCATTTTTTTCAATGAGACTGACAGGGAATCTTAGACTCGGAAAAAAACTTAAACTCCATTCCAGGATGCTGAGTCATTTTTCTTGTTTTTTTACTAATTTTGAAAATGGAAAGAGGATGAAATTTCTCACCTTTGAAAATTTATTTTTGCCAAATATTTTTGATTATGAACGCTGGCACTTCCCAAATTATTTTTGCAGTTCGATTTTTAGAAGTAATAAAGGTTACAACAAGAATTATTTGGAGTAGAAAACTTTTTTTTTTCATTTTTTTCAAAACTAGATGAGTTTCTTTTTTTTTAGGATTAAAAAAATCTCGTTTCAAAAGCAAGGAATCTATCAGATGTATAGAGTTGCAATCTTGTGAAACTAAAAAAATTTGAATTTTTTGAACACTCTTGGCATGAATGGCGTTGATTTCCAAGTTTTAAATCCTTGCTTTTTTTTATCAAAATTTGCAGCATAACTTCTTCTCTTTTCAAGTGAGCTCCTTCAGGAGATTTTTCTTTGGGTGAATTTCTACTCAAACTGATAAGAATTAAGCTACTCTTCCAAGTTTACAAGTTTAGGCTTTTTCTCCTATGGTTCATATTATGTAGACTTGTCATTTGTGAGAGCTTTCTGCTTTCTTGTGCGTCTCGGAAGATATCTGATCCAAAGGTCTGGCGACCTCAAAACGGCGATGGCGCAGGAGATGACCTCCGCCTGTCAATCGATCGGCGTTCCGGCGTCTCTGACCTCAACACTTCTTGTCTGACCGTCGGTCGTTCCTCAACGGCCACACCCCGTGGCCATCTGCTCCTCGGCTTCATTCGTACTCCACCGATTCGCAGAACCAGAAGCCTGCAGCTGCCACTTATTTTTCTTCTCCAGCAAAGTTCGAAGGTTCGTTGTAACAGAAAAGAACACACTCTCGGAAAGATATTCGTATTGATGATGAGATCAAAGGGCCATTCTTGTACTTTTCCTCTCGTGAAACTAATTCAAAGAAAAATAGCGCTCTTTCTGAATTTTCTGTTTCAATTGCAATTCTCTACATTTTCAATGGTAGTGAGAAGAGTGGAAAGATTGTATCAACCACCAAAAATTGTTTCGAGTTCCCCGGCGCCGGAATGCCGGCGCTCGTGTGAGCGGAGTTGCCCTTGGCTGATAGGAAGATAAAACGCGTCGACGACGCTGTGATAAATGTGCGCCTTGTACAACCGAGAGTCCTTTACAATGGTGAGCTGTGCGTCCGGTGGAATGCTCCTGGGTGTGTATGAATGATTTCATACCCGTAGCCATTTCACCGAGCGTTCGCTGTACCTTTTTCCCCCAGCCCTTCTTCAAAAAAATCGAGCCTCCCATCAAATGGTTCTCAGCCAATTGAACAGGAATTAGTTCTCCCATTAAACACAGTGGAAAAGAGAAAAACTTCTACAATTTCTACCAAAATTCTTCGTTTCATCCGCTTGACTGTGGCATGAATAAACATTTCAGGGGCTCTTGAGAAGGTTTGTTTTCGTTTTTCAGCAGGCACTCGTCACGCGCAAGATGTGCACATGACTCACACGCGCTCCCAAAATAACTTTTTTTCTGTTTTCGAATCTAAATTTGAATACATGTTTTTATAAAAATGAATAAAATTTTAATAAAGGGTTTGCAAATGAAAGAAATCACAAGAAAAAAAGCTCAGATTCAACAGAAAAATTGCGAGAGAACAACTACAAAAAAGCAGTGAATATTTAGAAATCTTATCAGAATTCATTGAAAAAAACATGGTAACGGGAGCCTTCATCCAGCACGAGATCTCCTAAACGGTATGCCCCACCCTCTTCCGGACCGGTGATTTCGATTCGCACCGTTTCAGGGCTTCCCTAAAACTCCATTTTGATAAGAAGAAAAACTAAACTCACAAAGCAGTGGTGGTAAACTTCAATGTAGGGCTCAATACCTCCGAACTCGAATTCGGATCCGTCGACCGTGAAATGTTCTCCATAAGCAACCTGTGTCTCATCCAGATTGTCGTCCGAGTCGAACCAATTTAGAACAGCAACTGAAACTAGTCTGATTTAGTTGAAAATTAACAGGCTTGAGAATGAAAAATAGATCTTTAAATAAATTGATCAAGCTGCTGATTTTGAAGGAACAAAACACAATAATATGATATGAGAATAAAATTCCAGAGTTTCAGAATGTGCTGAAAAAAATCGTGCCTGGGTTTGAAATTATGAAGAAAAAGCTGAAATAAAATATTTTTGTGAAACATAGATTATCTGAATAAAAGTATGTGGTAGGAAGCTGGCTATTTACTCGGAAAAAAAATTTTTCTTATCGTCATCTCAAAAAAACGTCAAAAAGTCAAAAGTTCCGTTTCATAAATGTTTGAAAATGGACCAAAAATTTTTTTAAAAAAATCTTTTTTTATAATCCATCTACAAAAAAATTATTTCTGCAATATCATTCCATATCCGATAAGCTTTTTCTTCTGCAATTATTGGGGCTAACAAGTCATTTTATTTTTCGATTTGGAATTGCCTACAATTTTCTCAAACACTCTCTGAATATCTAGGTAAAGTTCACTCATAGTCGCTACTTGCGCAAACTTTTATTTTTTGAGATATTAATTCTCAGGTTTTGTTTTTAACACAGAATCAGAACCCACAAGGAGGTCATTTCACTTCAGAATTTTTTGCAGATTCACTCAAAAAATTCCTGTATGAAGATACCTCAAAATTGCAACACGCGCCAGCTGCTATATTTTGAGATAGTCAGTTTTGAAGGTCAAAAAGTTAGGCCTGAAACCCATTTTTTGCAAAATCTTATAAACTAGAAGTTTGCGTATGTGGTGACTATGACACATTTTCATCTAGACATTCAGAAAGTGTTTGAGCAATTTTTTAGAAAAATCCGAACCGCAAAGGAATGACCCCTCTTTATTCTCCTCTTGCTCTGCTCTTCACAAAAACTACCATCAAATCAGGATCAGATTGGCATTAACACTTTATGCGTTTTCTTCCTGTACTCAGCCTACAAAGCTGGGGAATAGATGATGAAACCGACCTTCTGAGAAATCCTCCTCCATCAGACGAACGGTCATCAGTTGCCTGTTCGCTCGGTGGGAACAGTGGACGTTTCCTCGAACATGAACTCGTCCTGCATAACTATAGGAACAGAAACAGAATAAGAAGAATAACGAAACCAGCGGCGAGGACATCGTTGGCAGAACGACAATGCTCGAATAACACGAAAAACGGTTTGCCACCGCTCAGAAAAGCTCTGACTCAACCAGCAAACAATTCTACCGTCAGGGCAACGCCTTGGAAGAAATTCTGTGTTTTCCGTCGATGAATCACGAATTTTTGCTATGAGAAAGAAATTCTGGACACCACAGCACAAACCTTTGAAATTGCAAATGTTTTGAATGATTCAAACCTGGTTTCTGAGTCATTTTGAAGGGAGTATGCAATTTCGGAGCCCATGGAAATGCATACATATTTTTGTTTTTTTGTTCAAAAAAGCGCATGCCAGTGCTTTTACGTCGATTTTTCGGTAAGGATACATTTAAAAAAAATCCTTTCAAAAAAGCTTCAATGGGCCAAGAAAATTTCGATTGGACGTTGGCAAAGCAATCTGACAAGGCAAGTCATTTTTGTGTGAAAGTTGAAACTTTCTGTCAGTTAACCTGATAACTTACTGAATGGTGAGATGAAGACTTTTCATGATAAGTATCAATTATCTTCCAACTTTTTGAGCTAGTCTAAGAAAAATGTCAGAGTTAACTAAGGAATGAGCTCCCTCGTTTAGATTCAATCATTGGAAAATATGGGCGAATCAAGAAACTTTTTTTATCGAAAAAAATTTGTATGAAAAAAATAAACTTAAAGCTAGAAGCGAATAATTTATTTTTTTCAAGTATCCTCAAGGGCTTTTTCTTTAGGAGAATGGATACGAAAAAAATATTTGCGATCAGCAATCCAAATGGTTTTTCATATCAGCAAAAATATAGAAAAAGACCATTTTAAAGTAATTTGCGGCGACTGACCCCCACAAAAAAATTTGATTTTTCTTTTTGTAAGACTCAGAGGACTTGTAGTATTTTTTTGATGATTTCTATTCTCCTTTTTTTCTTTCAAATTTTTGATGAATTGTCTTTTTTTGATTTTTTTCAAACGCCCTCCTGAGGAATTTTTTTCAAAAGATGAATCATCCTTTTTCGTTTATATATATTAATTTTTCGAATAAAATTAGTCTCAACAGAGTTTTGAAAGCTTACAAAAACATTGTTTCACCTCGAGGTTGGAAACTCACTAAAAATTTACTAGGATACTCCTTGATGTATCAACAAAAGAGTCAGACAGCTTCTATTTTTCAAAAAGTAAGGTTGCGCTCGACTGGACTTTAGGAAAACTTTAAAGAAGTGTCGAGTTTTCGATTTGAATTATTTTGCGCTTAATTTTTCGAAAGGTTGTTATCAGTTTGGTACACAAGTTACGCGTTTCGGTTAAATAAAAAAATTTTTTTAACTTAACTTTGCTGATTTAAATTATTACTGCACAAATCTGTGACATTTTTTTCAAAGAACAATAAAAAAACTTGTGTTTTCAGGGAGTTCACTGTTTTTTTAACCAAAATTTGAAATTTCTGATATTTTTGCTCCTGCTTGTGAAAAAAATTTATCAATTAAAAAAATCTGAATTGGTCTAATTTTTTTATCCAAAAATTTATAAATTCAAGAATTTTTTTACTATAGAGGTTTTTTCAATATGATGTGGAAAGAGTTTCTTTAAATGCTTTATGAACTAAAAAAAGGAAATAAAGAAAAAAACCGCTCCAAAAGGTAGAATAATATAAAACTTATAACTTCTATGTTTTTTTCGAATTTCAGTGATAAGAACACTCGAAAACATGTCGACTTCTATTTTCACGAAAAATAGGCGCGAAAAATACATCTCATTGCGGCCTCTTTTTGACCTGTCAAAATTTAGACCGTCGAAGACCGCAAGGCGCGAAAGTTTGCGTATAAAAGGAGCCAGTAACGGGAGTGTTATCAGTTCCCTCGGGTTTTTCCTGCCGTCCCTCTCGCCTCCGCCACGTCTTCTGATGATGCAGGTCGCCTGATGCCGTCGTTTCTGGGAGCTGAAGAACGTCTGACATTGCCTCACCGCTGCAGCCGGTATTCTGACAACGCTGCCGACGTGTTACCCACATCTACTGCAGAGACGAAACTTTGGGTACTTGGCTGGAGTCTGGAAGCGGGAGTCGAAGCCAGCGTCTATGGATTACGAGAAGACGCCGCCTGATGAGTTCCTTGGAGAGCTCGCTCGTTCCTAAATAGGAATTTGATCGCAGGTAAGAGAATAAAGCATAATATATATTCAGTCAATTGTTTTTCAGAGCTCTCAGGCACCCAGTGTTGGCCGAACCTGCCGCGATGCGTTCCGAGAAATCGCTGCGAAGGCAACCATGTCGGAAAAGTCGCAAAGGCCGGGTTCCAGTCAGACGCCTTTTTGAGGATGAGCAATGAAGTCGGATGTGGTTCGTTCTAAGAGGCATGTTTTTTTTAATCAAGTTTTCAGATTCAAAATGGATCTTCTTGCTGTGGAAGCTACGGTGGCGAGCTGGCCGGGAGGAATCACTGACGTCGACAGAGGCGCCTTTGAAAAGACTGCTTGCGGAGGATTTTCAGCTCGCTCATTCTTTAAAAAGGAATTTGAACGCAGGTACTTGAATATCATAGTTGTTTCAGACAAATTTTTTTTCAGAGCGTTGGTTCTCATGCTGGAGCCCTAGACGAAAGCGACCACAACGCAATCGTCTTCGAAGAGACGCCGCCTGAGGGAAGCTCGCTCATTCCTGTTAAGGAATTCGCTGGTACTTCATGAAAATGATCTATTTTTAGTAAAAATTTTTTAAGAGCACTCAGGCTCAGACAGCGTCCATGGAAGGCCGTTGGTTTCCGGCTGGACCGCAAATGTGAGCCATTCAAATTTTATTTTTGTTACTTCACCTAGAACTTGTTCATTGATTGTTTCGTCTGAACTTTGAGAACCAGAACTTATTTTAATACACTGTGCGTCAAATTTAAAGACGCACCCCCATTTTTGCAGTTTTCAAAGATACGTTGAACTTCTTGCAATCAAACCTATTTTATGATGAACCTTAGATCAAATAACTAACATTGGAAAGAGAACTACAGCAGACTCAGTACAACAAATTTTCGAAATCCGTCAAAAATAGTTTTTCGACCGGGTCATAATTATAGACGCACCCTGGGTCAGAGCTCATTATTCATTTTTGTTGGAACTTTCGCCTTTCTTTTTAATTTAAAAAAAACACCAAAGTTAGTAGGAGGCCACAGCATTTTTATTAATTTTGAATCAAGCAATTTTATTTACAAACCATGCGAAAAGCGAAAAAAATAACCGAAAATTTCAGAAAAAATGGTTTCTTCTGGAAATATCAAGGAATTTATATCGAAGTTTGCGCATTAAATTTTCAAATAACGTTGTTTTGAACAATGACTGAAAAGTTCGAGAGGACAAAATGCTTCTGCGGAGGGTAGCGTTTTGCTGCCTGTAAATAAAATGGCTCGATTCAAAATTAATTAAAATGCTGTGGCCTCCTACTAACTTTAGTGTTTATTTGAAATAAAAAAGTTCATCATAAAATAGGTTTGATTGCAAGAAGTTCAACGTATCTTTGAAAACTGCAAAAATGAAGGTGCGTCTATAATTTTGACGCGCAGTGTATAACCAGATAAATTTTTTGGTTAGAAATCAATAGTTCAACGTGATTGAACCTGATTTCGGACTGTTTTCAATAATCCCCATGAAGTGACAATCATTGAATTTTCAGTTGGAGCTTGACAGTGACCCAAATCACGCAATGGGTCAAATGGTCCTTTCCGTTCTCGGGAAAGAAGGAACGCAGTCTTGTTCGAATTGACGCCGCCTGAGGAAGCTCGCTCATTCCTATTCAGGAATTTGATCGCAGGTACTTAAATAAAATGTTCTTTTTTGTTAATTTCTTCTTTAGAGCGCTCAGGCAGCCAGAGCCAGCGTCCATTGAATGCCGGCAGCTCCTGGCGAGATCGCAAATGTTGGTGAGGATTTTTTTCTCCTTCTCCATAGATAGTTTTTCATTCCTGGTTTTCTGAACTTAGAACGAGAACAAATGTTAGTATAACTGAATCAATATTTTGTTTCCGAATTAACAGTTCATCGTGATTGAACCTAATTTCCCACTGTTCGAAATATTACTTACAAATTAACAATAATTACTTTTCAGCAGAAGCTTAGCGGTGACCCAAATCACGCTATGGGTCAAGCTCTCATTTCCATTTTCATGAGAGTAGCAAGAGCCGGGAGAGTAGCAAGAGCCGTGCTGGAATCGCACGCCTACTTCTTCATGAAAAATGAAGTCGGATGTGGTTTGTTCTAGGAGGTTTTCATTTTTCAAATTAAACTTTCAGAGTCCTAATAATGAGGCCCTTGGTGCCGAGTTGGGCCAGGGCAATCACTGGAAAAATGTTCGACAAGATTTTTTTTTTGAAGTGATGAATGTAGTGGACTGCAAAAAATCCAAAAAGGTCGCACCATCTCTATAGAGGAGTTTGATGGCAGGTACTTAAATAAAATGATCTTTTTTGTTAATTTTTTCTTTAGAGCGCTCAGGCAGCCAGAGCCAGCGTCCATGGAATGCCGACAGCTCCTGGCGAGATCGCAAATGTTGGTGAGGATTTTTTTCTCCTTCTCCATAGATAATTTTTCATTCCTGGTTTTCTGAACAGAACGAGGATACTTTTGAACTAGAACGAGAACAAACGTTAGTATAACTGAATCAATATTTTGTTTCCGAATTAACAGTTCATCGTGATTGAACCTAATTTCCGACTGTTCGAAATATTACTTACAAATTAACAATAATTACTTTTCAGCAGAAGCTTAGCGGTGACCCAAATCACGCTATGGGTCATTGGTGCCGGATCTACGGTGCCGAGTTGGGCCAGGGCAATCACTGAAAAAATGTTCGACGAGATTTTTTTTTTTGAAGTGATGAATGTAGTGGACTGCAAAACGTCCAAGAAGCTCGCTCACTCCCTATAAAGGAGGTACCCAAACTTGATCTGTTCACGAATCAAAGTCTTTTTTCAGAGCCGGGGAACGAGACTGGAGTCAGCGAACTTGTTCTCGACTGAAAATTGATGGAAGAAATGATTAAATTGTTTGTCTTTTGTCATTTTGAATGTTAAGGAAATATTTATGGTGTTTGTATGTGTGTGTGTGTGTGTTGTGTCTAATTTTTTTTGTTATATTTCAAAAATTCCTTGTTTTTTCTCATTCCCTCGATTTTATGAGCTTAATAAAATTTTATTTCCCAACCTTCTGTTTCTTTTCAAACTTTTGGGAAATCAGGTCAAGAGCAAATTTGAGGTTTTTCAAGAGGTTTTTCTTCTGAGTAAAAGGTGTGGACAGCTGTATCTCAGTTTTGGTCTTCACACGGACTTCTTGGCTTCTCCTCTTCTTGAAAATGTTTCTTTTCGAACGCCCTGGCTGCATTTCTTAGCATCTTTAGCCGTTTCTCTTTCAAGTTCAGGCCAGGAAATCAATTTCGGGAAGATTTTTTCATTGAAAGACTACAATAAAAGCTCATGTAATCGGGTTACGGTAGGCCGGTAGGTACCTGCGTATCTGAGTATTGAAGATTTTTTACTTAGCAAGTGATATTTAAATCGATAGGTATTCCAATTTAGGAACTTCTCAGTTTGAATCAGTTCATGTTACTGTAGAAAAATTTCAAAATACTGTACTTTTCGAGTTGGCGGATTTGGTTTTTTGGCCACCCCAAAAATCCTTTTTTTCTAGCTCTTCAAAAGATACCTTTTGAAAAGGTTTATAAGCTTCTACTAGTTTGATAAATCTCTAATATGATCATAATTTCGAAAAAAATCACGATTGTGGTCTTGCGGCGGCCGACGCAAGGCTTTCACGATGGCTGAAGGCTGGTTTTTCAGCGATTCATTCTGAATTTTGTTTGATTGTTTTTATTTTTAGAACTCTACTAGTGATTTTTATTGTAACTTCAGGAGATTTCAGGTTCGTCTTCAGACTTCTCTTTCATAACTCTCAGAATTTCTAAAAAAAAAAGCATGATTGAAATTATTTTCAAGAGAATTATTTCATTAATTTCTATGTTGACTCAAATTTAAATGCAGGCGCGTTTGCTTCCTTTTTGCACACAGCGTTGCTTATGATAAATATCGGGAAATTTACCTCGTTAATAAGGGAAAATTATAATAATCTTCCAAATCAGGACACTCAGAGCAAATGATAGATTGTTAAAAGTTTTTAGGACCTGAAAATCTGCTTGACTTAAATACAGCTGTGTGCCCGGAAATCTGCCAAAAGTTAGCTTCTTCAAACAAAACCAAGCTGTTTTGAAATAACTACTGCGGTATCCTCAAAAGCATCAAGTCGAACAAATTAGAGGGCTCAGGAATAGGCGCGAACAAACGCAACGGGAGACCTCACCTGGCGTATCAGCGTTTCTTTCCGAGTCAACTGTACAACGAGCTCTGGTTGCGCAAAAAATCTCTGGTGGCCTCGTTGATCTGTTTGTGGAAGGATATGTAAAAGAGTCCACCGCTTCGGGAGATACTGTTGGTTTTTTTCAGATCATCTATAATTCTCACAAAACGCTTTTTCAGCTGGAAACTTGGAAGGTTAGGTAAATTTTCTCGAAAAGAGAAAAAAAATGCATACCACTTTTACCTGTAAACTCTCCAACTTTTAAAAAAATCAAGACAAATCCTTGTTCTAGGAAGAAAAAAATTGAAAAAAATGGGTACATGACATTTTCAAATAATGTATGTTAGCTTGATTTTTCGGTGCTATCAAGAAAAATCGAAGTTGAGAAAAAGATACTTTTCTGAGAAAAAAAAAATTCATCTTCACACTTTTCGGAGTTTTCGCTAACGACATTCCATCTGCACTATTAAAAAAAATGATAGCATAATTTTATTCATTTGTGTTTTTTTCAGTTTATTTCAAACTATTAAGTTGATAGTCAGGCAAATGTTCTGTTCAATCGTAAAAAAATACAGTTACAGTAAGATTAAGATACTGAGTAGTTTGAAGGTTTTTCCGAGAATCTGGCAAATTTTTCGTCTTAACAGTTGAACGAAACAGTAATGAGTAATTTCAGGCTCAATGTAAATATTTCAAACAATCACTTGGCATTCATTTAACACTATTAAAATCCTCTCAAAAAAATGTTCCCAATGAAAAAAAAATTTTTTTAATTGTTATATTTCCCTGTTGAGAAAATCCTTTCTGATTGTAACTACATGTCCAAGCTGTATATGGTGCTCAAAGAGAAGCGCTCTGTTTGCTGAGATCTCCTGCTCATGCGCCAGCAATTCACGCAATCTTGTAAGAAAGACTGCTGAAGGAGGTGGCAAGTCCATACTAATCGGCAGCGTATCTTCTTCTTCCTTCACACCTGCCGCCGCTCTTTCATTTTTCTTTCACACTCAACAGCGTATTGTACTCAAAGGCCTTTAACATTTTTCGATTGATTATAATACGCGTCCACAAAGAAAATCCGAAAAAATGATAAGAAAGGTGAAAACGATCAGTTTTTATTTCAAAGAAGGTATCAAAAACCGAGATGACCCCAAATAATTGAAATTTCCCTCAGGAAGCCCTCTTTCAATCAAAAAAAAAACGACATTTGCTAACAGTACTGAATGATCCAATGAGATTGAAGGCTAAGGAGGCGCCCTAATCCGAGTAAAACCATCCCGATGTCCAACTTTTGCTAATGATACACGGCGAACGAGCGATTTTCCGGGGCATCTGGTGAGTTGGTGCGCATTACACGCTGATGATCTCTTTAATTGAACCACAACCTCGACTCACCGGATAAACTTGAGTGCGAGCGGAAGGAACGTCAAGACCTGACGTTTATCCTTGAGAATCGTTTTGTTGGACGTTTCCTCTTGGAGATTACATGGATTGGAATTAGACATAACACACCTGTCTTTTTGTATTATTTGATCATGAGTGTTCTTGAAGGCTTAGCCTACATTTCATGACATTTTTTTGGAATTCCTTTTTTTCTCGAGCATTTTTGATTACAATTCATCAGTAGTTGATCTATTAGTAAGTTCACCATCGAAAATCCTAGAATCATTCCAAAACGGCTAACTATTTTTCAAACGAGAAGTATTCTGGCTAGAATGAAAAAAAAGTTCATATGATTTCCTTGTATGAAAATAGATGCTGAAAAACTTGTAAGTCAAACTTTTTCCGCTTGAAACTCAGATGTCATGGAAAATGAACTGTCACATGGAAAATAAATAATATTTGATGAAACTCTGAAGCTTTTATTATAACTAAAGCTCTTAGAATATGACATAAAAACAATAAATCGATTTCTGATCTTCATTTTCGGAGAAGGGAAGAAATGAACTTCCAAAATTATGTAAGAAAGACCAACCAACTTTCTGGCTTTGATTGTGCTAAATTCCTTGGTCCAAGTTTCTTGAAACTAAACCTCCGATTTCTTCTGAACTGATGAAAAGCTTGAAGTTTTGAGAAATAAATGCTTGTGGTTGATTATTCATGATAACTATCTGTAAAATTCCCTCTCCACCACCTGACCGAAAAAAAGAAGCATTGACTGTCATAACTGACACTTATGATGCGGCAGCTTAGGCAACATTGTCACAAAAAGAACAACAAGCCCCTTTACACGCATTTGCTCGCGGAGGCATGTGCAGTTGCACAACACTACATCTGCCGTCGTCCCTCTACCGTAGCCACGAGGAAATAATCGCCGCTCGATGTTTGTGCAAGTGTTCTTCAATTAATCTCCACGGGGCTCAATAATTTTATAACAAACGAGCAAGGAATTTGAGCATTGCTAAACACAGGATGGCTCTTGTAAACAAGCAAAGTTAGTGCCAATTTTGGCGCGTTTTGAGGAATCTCAAGCTGTTGGTGTTTATGGCTAAGATAGATCATTTTAGTTTTTTATTTACTCTGATTCCAAGGGAAAATTGAAAATTCACTCAGTTTTCAGAGGAGGTTCTCTGCTGAAGCATGGAATACGTTAAGAGTTGAGAGCCGCTTTGCTAGCTGCATTGACCAAGGATGGCCTGTAGATCACGGGAATGGAAACCGACCACTCGGAAAGTGTTCATTGGATCAAAAATAAACTGACTTTTAAAATCATCTGGGTCCAGAAGATATGGGGCAGGCATGAAACTGTATCTTTCAAGCAAAAAATCATGCTTTTCTAAGAAAAGTGTAAAGTTCTGCTTTTCGAAAGCTCTGAGCAAAAATTGAACTTTTTCCCTGATCCCAGCTTTCAATCTCACTAAGAGATAAAAAGCTTGATCCACGGAACTTCTGGCGAAACTTTTTGAAAAATTTCTCAAAACCACTTTTAACTTCTTCGATAGAACTTTTGAGTCCTTTTTTTGAGTCATTTCTGATATCGAATGATAAGAAAAACGTACGGAAAAAAACTGTTTTACAAACAATTCCCGTTCTCAGGAAGGTAAAAATAGTTTTTTCTGCGCCATTCTTGCTCTTGGCATTTTCAAGCTTTCGACGAGCTTGTTCATTTTTTTCGTATTCTGTGGTATTTTCACGTTTTCAAGTCTTTCGAAACCGATCTAACAATGATATGCCGTTAAACTAAAGCGGAAAAAAAACTAATTTGAGTGTCAGAAACGCTTTCAAAATTCAATAATTACCCGGAAAAATTTTTTTATAATAAAAGCCAGAAGGCCTTTTTTTCAGTGTTTTGATGATCATTAAAAATTATTTCAAAATTATATTTTCTGTTTCAAATGTTTCGAAAACCCTACAAAAGTCATAAATACATTAACAAGTTAGCGCGAAAGGTTGTTAATCAGATCGTAAATCTATCGTAGCTGCCCGGAACCAATTCATCATTTGTCGCTTGTAAACGTCGAGGTTCGACTAGGTGGAGGATTTGTTTATTGGCTCGCCGAGCAGCACAGGGAGGGCACCTGCCGGCCTGCGCTTCTGCCAATCACCCGTCGACCCTTCCATCCTCAGATATGCCGCCTTACACAAGAAACCGGAACTCCAAATCTTCCACCGCCGCTTAGACAAAAGTCAAGTTCACTGGCGGCCACAGGTTCTCGCATATCAAATTTCCGTTTATACGCCGCTTCAGGTAAATCCAGGAAAAAGAGGTTGCCGACAATAGTTTACAATTTTTCGGTTTTTGAAGGTTTTATACGGAGGATTCCAAAAAAAACAATCTGAATCAAAATAATCAGAGAATCCTGAACGTCTTAACTCATTGTAGGAATGCAAAAAGGTTCGACTAACGGGAATTATTTTCTGAGGCAGCTATTTAGCGTTCCAAAGGGAGAAAAAAGTTCTTTTTCAAAGCTAAAAAATTGGAATTATCCGTCTTTATCAAAGTTTGAAGCTTTTTACCCATGAAATCGATTGGAAAAAAAACACAGTACAGGCAAAGTCGGAAAGGGGGTAAAAAGTAAAAATAATCTTCCTTTTATAGTGACAAAAATTCCTTTTTTGCTGCTTTTTTGCGCCATATCATCGGCCATTATGCCCCCTTTTTGCTGCCGCTCCCTTTTTCCCAATTTCTTGAGCCTTCAAGATTCCAGAAACAATGGAAGGCTCGAGAAAAGGACTCTTTTTGCTGCCTTCCTGCGGCCTTTTTCGAGCCTCTCCCTCTTAGCGGCCTTTATCCACCGACTTTGCCCGAGAGAATTTTTTTAATTCAAAAATAAAATGAAAGCTTACGGCAATCGAAAAAAGAGGAAAAAACTGAAATCGAGCCAGTCGAAGGTTTTTCACCAAGAGCAGAATGACCGTGAAGCTTGGAGTCATTTTCCGTGCGGTCTCGGTGCCTCAGAAAAATTTAAATCGGATACAAGTTAAAAAGTCGAGACCAACTGTATGAGTTCTGGAAATGTTCAAACAATTTTTAATTTTGTATTTTTTCGGTTAGCTGAAAGAATTCCAGTTTTTTTCAAAATAGGCATGGAGTAGACTTTCTACACCTAACTCCAACTTTTGATCAATTTTCCGAATTTTTTTTTTAACTCTCCTATTTTCCCATTTGAATTCAAACACCAACATTCCTGTGAGCCTGAAAAGTATTTTGGAACCTTTTTCACTACCTTCTCTTGACGCGACTGTTCACGTCTGGCGGCAGATTCAAAATTTCGCTGGACCGAATAATCATTTTGACCTCTTTCATCCAAGATTAAGCTGATCGAATTCACAAAAAGCGGTAGCCGGCTCTGTTAATCTTGATTAGGATCGTGTAACACGCCGGAGTTAAGCGTTTAACGAGCGCAGATAGTGGCTCAAAGGGCGGCGGCTGACTTCCCGAAAGGCAACATGCAGCAGGTGTTTTTGCGAATGTGATATTGTAATTGCGCACAATTTGCTACAGTTAAATCGGTTTTGGTACCTCGTTATAGCTTTGCCGCAACTAAAAAGGTCAAGGAATATTTATTAGTTTATAATTTAATATACATTTAGATATTTCGAGGCTTTGGAAGGAAAAACTACAATAAAATTTGAAGATAAAATTCAGATATAAAAGAAAAAACAACGAAACAAGCGTAAAATATACAGTCGTTTGTGACAGGAATGTTCACTCCACAGTGAATGACAACATGGAGGTAAAATCGGATTCAAAAGGTAGGACACAATTTTAAGATCGGCTAAAAGATATGAGAATTCAGTAAGACTAAAAAAAAAGAAAAAAAGAGTGAATGTATTTGTCACAACAATGAGAATAAAGCGAAATACCCGTCAGATTCTGAGTCCGGGAAGATCGAGGCTAGTACTTGCGGAACATGTCTGTCTGCTGGGCGAGGTAGTACTGGAGCAATTCTTGAGGGTAGATCTGAGGAATGTTCGGGGCCAAAGGCATCACAGGTCGGATGTAAGGAGGATTGGGAAAGTTGGGAGGTCGGACCGCGTTTGGAACCGGAGGAGCAAAGAAGTTGGGGAAAAGAGCTGCCGCCGCTGCACCGTACTGTTTGTAGGCGTCAAATCTAGCGCGAGTCATCGAAGAGGGCCTTCGGCGGAGTTTTCCAGTGGAGCCGCCAATGAACACTTCGTCTTCGCAGTTTGCATCGAGCATCCAATAGTTTCCTGGAATTGAAAAAGTTTTAGAAAAGTACAAAGTTTCATCATAATACCATTCAAATGACTCAGATTGAGGTGGAATATTTCAAGCCTTAAAAATTGTGATTCGATCGAAAATTGACGGAAAATATGGTACGATCGTTTTTTCTGGGCAATTCTTATGAGATAATACATTGGCCTCGAAACCATTGTAAGGACTGCGCTAGAGATGAATATAAATTTATGCTAGGACAGAAATTTGTGGTTATTTTAGTATTTCTTCGAAACCAGTCTAAAATTAAACTAACTGAAAATCTGCGTTTGTGAAAAAAAACATTCTGAAAATAGAGAAAAATTTTCGAAATTTTGTACGTGTATGGAAATTCGAATAGGACTTTCGATTATTTTCTACAATTTTTCCAACTTTTTTTTCCACTTTTGGACTCTCAATGTGTTTCAAACCCAGAACTCTTCTGAATAATGGAAAAATAGTTTACCTTTGCCGGGGTCATCAAAACTGCGCGGCACTTTGACAAAGCACTTGTTGAGTGAGAGGTTGTGACGGATCGAGTTCTGCCAGCCTTGCTTGTTATCCCGATAGAACGGATAGTTGCTAATTATATAGTCGTAGATGCCGGCAAGAGTCAACCTTAACTTATATATTTTATTCATGATTTTTCGGGGTTTTGTACCTTTTCTCCTTGCTGTTTTTTATGGCCATCATTATCAGGGCATTGTAAGAGTATGGTGGTTTGTCAGCCGAAGGACTTTTTGCTTCTCCAGACTTTAGCTCATCGGGCGATTTCGAAGCGTCCTGAAAATCTTTGAGTTGTTGTCTCCACGCTAAATGAAGGCTAATTTTTGACAATGGGATCAGATAAAGAGGCTTTATCAAACTTCATATGAAACAGGCTTATGATAACTGGATTTTTTTTTACTAGTAAGCAAAAATCAGTGAGGAAAGAGCTTTAAAATTGTTTCCATTCAAGCTTGCGGTGAGCACAATTAAGTCAGAAGCCCAACAGGTCTCTAAAAAAATTATTTTCAATTGCAAGTTTGGGGAAATATTTTTAATCCTTGATTATCCGTGTTTTATGAAATATTGAGAGAAAAAGAGGATAGTAGTGGGAAAATTTCAGTTCCCATACAGCTTCTGAAATCATCATGACGCATGCCCAGTTTTCTCAGAATTCTTTTCAGCTCACCTTAATGCAGCTCTCCCCACTATCAGAACGATCCTCAGCGATTCCTTCATCGAAATCGTCCTCTTCGGTCTTCAAAGGCGTCATCAGCTCCAGAGGCGGGGTCTTCAGAGAGCTCGGTGACTGGTCGAAACTCAACGCCATGGATCCTGTAAAAAAGCTTGAGTTTCTTTCGGTGTTGGACAAGCTTTTCCGGTGCCGTTTGCTGACATGTCCGGCGACTGATGCGAACTGTCATACTCGTTAGTGTAAACGAGAGTCGCTTGGTTTGATGTGAAAAACGAGCACGATGGCAAACATCAATCATCCTCCGACAACAAGTGCGCCCCGCGGCTTCCAAGCAAATAGCTACCGTACTTGGATATAGTAAGCCGCTTAGGTCAGAAATATTGATAAGAAAACAAGTTTGTGTGATTAGGAGTCCGATTTGGGTATGAAAACTACTCTTCTAGAGTGCCGGTTAGAATGAAAAATATTTTAAAACAGGCAAATCTCATTGGAAGCTCAAAATGATCACAAATTTCAGAAATATTCTTTTTTAAGTGTCCGTAAGAGCCACCCGAATGAATCGTACTGTCTGAGCAAAGTTTGGAAAATTTGGATCTTTGACTATCTATATAACAGTTATTCGAAGAATTTTCCCCATCACAGCTCGAAATTCACATAAAAAGGCAGAAAATGAATCAACCAAAAAAGGAAACCTATATACAAATAACATTGTTTCATGAAGCTTTGATGAATTCCTGTAGGATTAAAATTTTGCCGTTCCGAGCCTTTGCCCGTCTTTTATGGACTTCTTCTAAGGTTTTTCGACCGAATCTAACCCTTCTCCCTATTATTTGTATTATCTTTCCAACGGCAAACAAGAAACACAATATCTTATCAAAGCAAGATGAGGAAAATGAGGCTAAGATAAGGTACGAACCTGAAGGAGGGGAGTCGGCGACTGCATCAGTGAGGTCGGGACACAGCTCCCGAATTGAGAAACGAGCCATCGTTGACGACTTCTGAAGCCTGAAAGCTCAAGAATAGGTGTTGATTTCTTTTGTAGGTACACAAGACAATAACAAAACACAACAGGAATCCGAACAGCTTGTGGAAAAAAGAGAAGAACGGCGCGCAAGAGGCGAGGAGGGGTGGAGAGGCGGAGCCGCTGCTACCGTAGCCTCGGCGAGCGGCCGGCCCAATTAGCACGTCGGCTGATCGCCAACGTTGAATCCCTTTGTATTCAACAAATTTGATATGATTCCTTTCTTGCTTTGTAAGACAGATGTGTGAAACTATCGCCTTGACCACAACATGAAAATCTGTGCGCGGCCGGAGTAAATTGCAATTGACACTGAGTGGCTTGCTCCAAGCATGTTTTGGAAGAAAATGTGCGAGTTGCTGATAGCGGATAGACCATATGGGGTGGTTTTTGTTCAAGTAAAAAGACAAAAGTTGAAGTTTGCAACACTTAAAGAAGAAATGAGAAGAATTGGTTCTAAGCATCAGGTTATTTTTTTTTTTTAGATTATTTTTTTCGGTTAGTATTGGACAATTCTAAATTTCAAGGCAACAGTCAAAAAAGGAAAACTTTCGTTACAAAAAAAAAAGAAAGAAAAAAAGTTTGTCGACCTGTTCAACAGAAAAGATCATCAAAAGGTTGAAAAAAGTTTGACCCTTTTGAAAAAAAATATTTGAGAAAACAAACTGGTTATTGAAAAAAAGAAAATTCTGCGAAAAAAATATCCAAAAAAATCTTGTACCAGAAAAAGAAGAAGAAAATGGAAAGTCGCCAACAAAACAGAAAACTTTTTTTATGATCGAATTAATATTCTCGAGATTTTTATGGAAAACAAATAAAGAGCGTGTGAATAAGAAAACCCCGTAAAAATTCATATTTTCAATTAATAAAATTTGAAGCAGCAATAATCTCGCAAAATGACTTCCAACAAGTAAAGAAATCATTCCTCATTGCAAACTGAAAGTCTTTATATATTTTTACTTGATTATTTCTCAAATATCGAGATAAAAACCTAAAAAGTTTTTCATCTACTGAACACCGAAAAAAATTGAAAGACGTCTCAAATTTCAGATAAACTCTTCTGATGCCGTGCATAACGATTTTTGAATTCAAGGTTATTTTATGAAATAGAGAGTTGTGCAAGTTGCAATTATCAGCGTCATCATCTAATATCTGGGAGTTGCAGATTTTCAGAATATCCAGTGCAAAAAGATAAAATGGCTTTCTTTTTAGGGTTGGGCGCCAGTTTTTGGCCGAGTAAAGGATCGGTGAAGAAACGAAATCTATTTCGTCTAAAAAAAGAGATAAAAAGAATAAAAAAAATAATTGTCCTTATAAGGAAAAACTGAGAAAGTTGACGATACCGCACAGCAGGAGTCGGATGCGTCGGCGGACAAAAGATGAGCCGAGGTAACTTATCGAAAAGAGGCGGAGCCACGACGTCTGGCGTTCGAGTGCGGGCCCAACACTCCTTCCCCTTATAGCAACAGATATTCACCGTGACTTTGTTGCATAATTCGAAAACTTTTGAGGCGTTTGATATGAGATTCATTGATAGAACTCTGCAAAAGAAGAAAGAAGGAAAATGACGAAAATCAGGGAAAAATATTTTCATCGTTTTTTTTTTAGAGTCAAGCTATTGCGCTTTTGAAAAAATACATGAAGAAAGTAGGAAACAAACTAAGAAAATTTTATTTTCATTGATTTTTTTGAGGAAGACTCCTGTCAAAAATTTTTTTCACTTTTTATCGAACTAAGAAGTTTTTTTCTTTTTTTAGAGTATTTTGAATAAACGCCAAATTTATTGAAATTCTTTTAAAATGTGTGAGTTTAAAGACTAAAAAGTAGCTTACAAAGATCTTATATAATTTTTTTAATTTTTCCGGGAAAAATCATTTCACTTTTTTTCTTTAAAAAAATGCGCTTATTTCGTTTTTTTGACACCCAAAAGTCCATGTACAAAATCTGCAAAATTATATACATATTTTTTTGTAGATATAATCAAAAAAAATAAATTGCAAAAAAAGGGGTTCATTAATTTTGAACTTTAACAAGCAATAACCAAATTGCTTCAAAACTCCAGTGAAACTTCGAAAACTATATATGAATGACCTAAACATCAGAGCCTCTGAAAAAGGCCTTTTGAAAATATAGTCAATCTCTTTTTGTGGCAGCACATTTTTCAACAAAAAAAAAAACTAAGAGATCATGTTAGAAAACTGAAAATTCATATTTCCAATGTCAAAAAAGTTTTCAGAATATTTGGACGCTATCGCTTTTTTGCTCAATACTTCCTATCTCGCGACATTCTTCGATGAAATCCGGCCTTGCACAAAATCGGAAGGCGCCTGTGGGAAGTTCGCCCCAATCAACCCAGAAAGATCTTTTGTACAGCTTTGGATTAGGATTTTTGTGAATGAACAACGGTAATCCTGTCAAATTTGTCAATTAGGCGGATCACGTGGAATGACAAATCCTTTTTTGAGAATGAGAAAAGGAAGGAAGCTTTTTCGGTTATAGTAGGATATATACGAAATGAATAAGAAATTTACGGGGGTGTTTAAAAATATGAATTAAAACAAAAAATAAATCAATGGTAGTTCAGATTTTCATTAATTCGAAAGAATACAAATTTTTCTGTCAAGGAAAATATTTTCAAGTTTAATCGAAGTTGTACAAATTATTATTTTTTTCTTAATAAATCCAATAAAAAGCAAATTTTTTTCTTCTTGCTTGTTTATATGGTACATTTATAATTCCCATCACATCCTGAAAATTATCTAACTTTTCTGTTTCACACTTCTTCTTCTTTTGAAATTCTCTCGGTAGTAATTAAAACGCCTTTACAGAACTATTCTACATGATTTCTCGAAAATTGACCTGTTCATTTAGTCTACGTTGCAGTTTCTTAGTTTTACTTTTTTGCTTTATGAAAATTCTTTTTTTTTCTCTTTCCTAGACCGCATCAGTATTTTTGTACTTTGTTGCAATGATTTGAACTTCCCCCTTCAATTCAAAAAATTCAAGTTCTTTTTCATAAAATATTCGTCGTTCTCTTCATAAGGTTTTCAGTATAACCACTACAATAATTATGACTTTTTCATTATAAAATCCTCTCAGTGCCTTGCTTTCAAGTATATGCAACTTTTACAGCCCGATCTACGCGCCGCTTGATGAAAGGACCAGACGTCAGGCATGTCTGGTCGCCAGAACACCTACTCGTTAGAATTTGCCACCTCGCACATTATTTCTTTACAACTCCGATGGTCGTAAATGCCTTCCTGTAGTGCCATTTTTGCGCAACATTTGAACAGGTTGTTTACAGTCGCATCAGGAATACGGAGAAAAAATTGCGCTTATTCGCTTGAAAATTTGATTATTTTTCCAGAAAAAAACTTTTTTTGAAAAATTGCTTCATTTTTCGTAACTATCTTTCTTCAGACTATGAAAAAGTCAGCTTTTCTTTTAAAAAGTCGAAAATCCGTCGGGATGAAAGATTTTATAGCACAGAAGTTATGTACAGGAGAAAAGTCTAAACGGCCTTATAAAGGTCTCAAAAAACTGTCTTGAGCTTGTTTTTGATTTTTAAAAAAGTGTCAGAAGCTTTCGGATATCTCCTTTTTTCACCTTTTCCTAAACTTTTTTCTACTAGAAAGGTAAAGAAAAAAAAAGCCAATGAAGCCTTATATGAGCCTTTTTTTCTATATGTTATTTTTTTAAGGTCCTTCTAGACTTTTTCCCGTGTAAAAAAATGCCATTTTTTTCTTTTTGGGAAGAAAAAAATTTTTATTTCGAACTAAGGAAAAAAATAATCTTTGATGAATTTTTTTAAAAAAATTGTCAATCCAAATTTTTTTGTCTTTTAAAGTTATTAATAGTTAAAAAAATAATTATTCTCGGTTTTGGTGCGTGTTCGAAATAACGATAAACTGCTACAGTTGAAATGTGAAAGTACGATTCGCTGATGTTTTTCCAGAAAAAAATACAAAATTTTCATGTTCGTTTTGATTATCTAATTATTCGAGGTTGCGACGTCCCTGAAAAAAAACTTTATCGCATCATTCGAGTTTTGCCTTGGGTCAATGATGTCAGAAAAAAAACCTTTTTAACTGTATGTCAAAGCCGGCGGTGGTGCTTAAAAACGACTTCGGAAAGTCGAAAAACTTCAAGGCGAATGCGTACGAGCGTGAAATCGACTATTATCGCCGGATGCGTTATTCTTCACCCAATCGCCTCTACATTGTGGACGGTATGCATCTTCGTCTGTTTCCTCAACACTAGCCAGATGAAGGAAATCCAAGTCGTTCTTATAATCTACAAAAGGAAAAGAAAAAAGAAAAAAATTATTGATTCTGCATTTTTATACAGTTATACAGTGACAGAAGCCAGCTCAAAAAAATGCTTCTCGAGTTTTTTTAAAAAAATCAAGCTCAAAAATTTTTTTGTTCCACTTTTTTTCTTTTTACTAAGTTAATATTGTGACAATCCTGACTCTCAAAAAAATGCGCTGTTTTTTTCTGTTTCAAAAATTATTCTTAAGTATCTGATAGAAGGAAGGAAAATATTTTCAAAGCGGAAAAAACGACATTTAAGATTTCCCATTATGCATCATAAAAAAAACAAGAATTGAGGAAATTTTTGATTTTTTTCATTAGCAAAATTAAGAGACTTTATTCTGATGTTCCTGAAAAAAAGCATTCCGAAGTTTCTACTGACCTCACTGTCAATTTCAACAAAGATAATGAAAAAAAATATTCTCTATGATTCATAAATGTGAAAAAAATCAGGAAGTTTAATTATTGTTCGTCAATGCTACTCAGTTTTTCAGAAAACCATCAAAATAACATTTCTAAATCTTTTCGACTTGTTTACTTTTACCATAATATGTTCAGTAGACCATGAAAAATGGCATTTCAGCTTGTAAAAAAATATTTTGCACAGCCTTTCTAATTTTTTTCAACCTGATGTTTTGTCGAACAAGAAGAAGTGTATGTATTAATAAAACTGAAGATAAATTTCGAAAGATTTACAAAAATTGACGGCTGGCAAAAAATATTATGGCTCATTGAAAATCGAGTGTTTCCGGGAGAAAACTAGAAAAAAACTTTTGTGAAATTACGAAATTAGTTCAGTTTTATGATTTTTTTAGAAATTTTTAATTACTGTTCGAGAATCTTTTTGCGTCAATTTTTTTGGGTTTTTTTATTGAGTAAATAGCCCAATTTCTATATGATCTATTTTCCACAGTTTGAGGTGCTTTAGTTTAACATTTATTGCTTTTAACTGATATTCCTTATTCGGATTTCAAATCGTCAACTTTTGGAAGTAAAAAACTGTTCCCTCATCACCTAATAGCTAAGGGCAATAAGTCGGAAAATTTCGAAGGTTCATCCATTATTATTTTGTTTCTACATCCTGAGTGAGAAACTTTTGAAGGGTCCCTTTAGAGGGTTTCATAGGGGCCCCATGAGCAATCTCTGAAGGAGGGACTACTCTATTTTGCCCCAAGAGATACCTAAAAAGTATAGGGTTAGGGTTCCTGAAAGAAATAAACCATAGGGACCCTAAAACAAAAAAAATTTTTTTAGAAAACACTCAGAAATTTCTCAGGAGTGGTAAAAAAAAACCCATAAAGTTCCTAAATCAAAAAAAAACCTTATAGGAGTCCCTCAGAAACTCCTCAGGAGTGATCGGTCTTCTTTTCCGTTCTTGCCTGAGATTTAACCCACGCCCGCTAGCCCTGGGCAAACTGGGCGCTTTACTGTTCCTACATGGAGAAGTATCTGATCTTCGGAACTACATTATTGGAAGAAGGACAAAATGAACTACGAGCAACTCTAGGTCAACGCGATCCTGCAAATTGACGGTCAAATGTTCATTCATTTCATGATTCAGCTGAGAATCTTGTCTGAAGACTGAATAAAGTTGTAACTCGTAACATCCATTGATAAGGAAAATTATGGCCTTCACCAGCTCCTAAGATATCCCTGCCTCGTTTTCAATTGATCAAGAACGCTTTTCCGCCACCGGACACAAAAAGCAAAGAGCTGAGGGTTCGGCATGCCAGCTGTTTTGTGTTTTGGCGTGGGCGGCAGCATTGGCATCTTCCAACGATTGCTACACCCAGGACTCACTTGCTTTCTGTATTCCGGCAAGTCAGTCGTCTGGAGTCATGCCGAGTGACGTCGCCTTCCGCGCGCGGACGCCCGTCGTCCTACCGCGTTCTCGATCTCTTGACCGCATCGGAAATGTCGGCACTCTCTCCAGGTGAGCTGGTTTTTTTGTCCAGAAATAAAACTGACGGAGAACCTTTTTTTTATATTGGAACTTCAAAATTCTAAATCTCAAGTTATTATTCAGTAAAAAAAGCAAAATTGAAGAAATCATTTTTTTGAATTTTTGAATAAAAAAATGTTCGTTCAGCTTAACATTGAAGGTTAAAAAGATTTTTTTCGAAGTTTCGAGCACATTTCATACAGCAACGAGGAAAAAAATTTTTGGTATTAACATTTTTGAGAATCTTTATTTACAGCGTGAGAAAAAGTTATTGAACTCTACTTTTCCAGTTCAAAAGAAATTGAAATATTAGTCTTGAATTTCCTGATTTTTTTCAATGTTTCTCTAAACTTTTTTTCAAATTTTTTTGAATTCAGAGTGACATCCGTGCCGAACATCTCGACGATGAGAGTCGGTTCAAATTACCGTTCATCCACCTTGAACCGCTACCGTCGCGACTTTGACATGGTTTTTTTAGATGAATATCACTCTCCTTGCATTAGAATGAATCACAAACGGCTAATATGAAAGAAAAATAGCTGATAAAAAACTTTGTGTAATCTTCAACGCCCTCCATGTGCTCTGTTGAGCTCTGGAGGTGTAACAGGCGGCGATTACCGCGATTGTTTTCTCGGAAAACGAGCTGGCTTGTTTTTTGCTTTTTCAAAATCAATCTGTTCTTTTTATAACTCACAATAAGTTTCTTGAGAACTATTTTTACATGATCCCATCACCTTCATCAGATTATTTGTATGCAAAAGAGAACAAAAATCATGAAAACTTTCGATAATTGAAACTTTCCAGCTCGACGACTACAACATCGATCGATACACTTTCTACACTCCGTTCTACTGGGAAACGTACAGATTCGCAGCCAGACGTCAACTCCAAACTGATCCTATCCCCAACTCTCTCGGACATGAATACGCTCCTTTCTGGTGATTTTATTGAAACAGAATCATAATCCACGAAAGTTTCAGGTCTCGCTACAAGTGGTACACTGATTGGTTGAACCCGACCTACTGGCGCCGGTATCGCGACCCCAACTACGACCGCCCGCTGTGGAACAACGCCAGACCGTGGCAACTTGACAAGTTTGTTTAGCAGCAATCTTAAGCTTTAAAAAATTCAAAAAAAATAAAATAGAAAGAGTCATCACTTGTCCCATGAGAAAAAAACTTTTAAACTGCTGTATTTTTTCAAGGAAAATTTTAAAGAAGGATATTTTGTAGAAATTATACTATGAACATGATAATTTCCTCTATTTTCCGCAAAAGAAAAAAACTTTATGGTCGCAATTGAAATGGCTTGAAACAGCGATCTGCATTTTCACCATTTTCAAATTTTTTCAGAGATCTATTAACAAAATCTGTGATTTCTGACGTTTTTTTCACGGAGTCGGCACAAATCGATTTTCCAGAATCCAAATAATTCAAAAATGTTTAATCGTTCAAGTTTTTAACTGTCAAATTTAATTGGTTTCAAGAAGGTTTTTGGTTTTTTTTTTCTTTTTTCAATCGGAAGTTTGTAGAGCCTTTAGATTTCCTTCAACCGATTCACGGAAATTTGAATCGCCTGACTCATTCAGCTTTCTCTCTTAATATTTTTGTAAACTTTTTGTGTTCATGAATTTTCAAGCTTGAAACCAAACCATTTTGACATTAATCCTAACACTTGATGCCCTTATTTTTAGTGTGAACGTGAAGGGAGCCATCGACCTCTACCGTAACGGCGTGATCGACTTCAAGACTCTCGACAAGAAATGGATCGAGCCAAGAATTTATGACCGTCGTGGAAAAGATTGGGCTGACGTCTACCTGCCGGCTGGTGAGTTCTGAATCAATATCCATTTCGATATTGTATTATCTTCCTGACAAATTAGGTTGACAATTTACAAGGAAAACCTTTTCACTGCTTTCTATCATGTTTTCGGAACTTTAAAGCTCGGAACTTTGAAAATGAGAAGGGTTTAGAATTTAGTGGGAGCTAGGAATAGATCAATCAGCGTGAAAGAAGACGTTCTCAAAATTTGAATTTCAAATCCAAAATAATCTGAGGAAATTGATTATTTCAGCCCGCTACGGTGCTCACCGCTACTTCTACTCCTGGAACTGATTGAAAGAAACTCAACGGACAAGGTCCCAGTTTTCTGTATTGTAACCGTTATGGACTGTAATAAATTTATTATGGACTGTGATAAATACAAGCCGGAACTATTCTCAACAATATGTTATGTCCTTGAAGTAAGCACCATGATAAAAGCCCGCGTCGAAGAAAACCAAAAGTTCCCTGGTTTCATAACAGTTTGCGCACTCGTTCGTTGACTCCATCGACCACGTCATCGTTGATTTCAGCCTGCAGAAAGACGATGAGTTTTCGAAATTTTATAATAATATGATCAATTTTTCTTCTCATTTTGCACCCATTCCCTGAGATCTTCACAATTTTCATCTTCTGAGATTGACCTTCAAAGAAATACTAACCATCTTCTCGATTCTTTCCAACTTGGGTTCCTGGATCTTCAGCTGAACGTGCATATCTACGGCCAGGTGCTTTATCGACTCCAATGACTGGTCGATTTGAATCAAATTTTTCTCCAGTTCATCTTCGATCGTGTCCGAAGTGAGTCTAAGAAATGTCGTCATTGAAAATATCGATAAGCCATAAAAGAGTGTCAAAAATGATAACAAGTCGCACAAGGAAAGGAACAAATCAGGAACCTTTTCATGAAGTCGCCTGCTGATTCTCGTCGTTTACTTGGACGGAATGTGACGGCGACTTCTCCTCCAGAAGTGCTTTTCATGGATCTGAAACGAAAATATTGGAATTTGCCGAAATTTAGCAATGCTCACTGTAAGACTTCTTCTTTTGCGACATTGCGTTTATTCTTTCGCAGACATCGGAATGGATAGCTGAAACATCAAAATACATCTTTCAACTCAAAGAGCTATAAAATAAATTTTTGAAAAGAACAGAATCTCAAATGAGGATTTGTTTTTATTCACAGAAGATAGAGAAAGATAAATGATGCTTACCAAAGAAGTGTTTTGAAACCGCATCCGCAGAACTCTTCCATATTATGGATATTTCTGCTCACGACGTTTAAATCAGCATTCACACGTGTTAAATTTTCTTCTATCTTGTCGAGCTGCTCTGAAAATAACGGTTCATAAGAGAAACGGCTGAAAACGTTCAATTTTGTCTAGTTAAAAATTCAAGTCTCAATGTACACAACGAAAAATGGAAGAAACAGGACAAAAAATATCGAATTTGCAAGGCTAGTGGGAAAAAACAAACCGTCTTGTTCTTCAAGTGCAGCCAAAGTGTGAAAACCTTCCTCGTTGATAGTTTCGAGCTCGATCACCATTTTTCGACTGCTGTCAAGAGCCTAAAAATACGATTCCACATAAAAAAAAAGTCTATATTATATAACCTGTAAGTTGTATTTTGTGATCTCGGTGTCTAGGTCGATCATCTTAATTTTCAACCTGCGAGTCGCTTCTTCACTGGTTGGGAGAACAACGGGATCTGGCATTCTGAAAGAATTGATTGAAGTTTTGAAAGTCTCAATTGAAAACGACATGGTTTACTGGGCCAAAAAAAAAAAACAGCTACATAATTATTCACTCTGAAACACAGAAGGAACAAGTAAGAAAACAAAGAACTCACGTTGCAATGCTGACTTTCTTGTTGACCATTTTTGAGAAGCAAAATAGGAGCGGTATGGTAACTTTGATTGTTCGAGAGCTCGACCCGAGTGATGGGAATGCTTATCGGGTCGATTATTTTAGGCCTTATCAGAACATCTGATCGGAATTCCAGGCACTCTTGTCTTTTTTTTCCGCATTGAGGTTTGCAGCCACTCTGCTTATATACTTTCCGATAGGCCTCGTGAGAAAAATCGATTCTTATATAAGTTAAATTTTGCAAGCTGTAGATTATTTTTTTCGGATTTATAAAAAAATTCTGCGATCACAATCAACTTTAAACAAAAGAAAATTACTTGAAAAAAATTTGTTTTTTTTTTTAATTTTTCATCCTTCCTGTACATGCCTTCCAATGACCCTCATCAATTATAATACAAACGCGACTCAATTTCCCATTTTATTTACTCCCTGTTCTCTTTCGTTAATACCATTACATATTAGTTTTTTTTTCATTGTTTGAGGAATCATTTTTCGATAGGAATTTATTAGAGGATATGGCTTGAACAAAAACAGAATAGTGTAAATAGAGCAATCGCTTGGAAATCGAATGGAATAGTGCAGGAAAAAAGCCTAGGTCCCTTGACAACCGCTTAACTTGTATAATTCTACCAATCAGCGTATTGGAGCAATTGGCAACTGCGCTGTATGCAAGTGAGTCCGGAATAACGTGAAGAGAAGAAAAAAGAAGAGTGGAACATGGGATGGAGGAAATGAACTATTTCAAAACTAACTTTACCAGTAGAAAGAAATATAGATAACCGTGAAATGACAGTAGAGCTGTCTTCAAGTTGGTTCAGAACCACAAAACAGAATGACGGGAACCCCAATGAAGGCAACAAGAATTAATGAAAATCCTCATGATGATGAAACATTTGCCTTCATTGTGGTTGAACAGCTGAAGAAGTCGAAATTTTTTCTAAGTTGAAGTCAGAAAAAGAGCAGAGGGGTATGCGCATGTGCTTGAAACCCGACAGGAGTCTACTTTAAGCTCAAAAACAAGAAGTTCTGTGCTTTTTGTGCGGACACAAGCGACGTGAAAGAACCAATTAGTCACTAACATAGCAATTTGAGCCTATAATTTTTTTTCGAAATTGGAAAAATAGTATAGTAGGGTACGACAAAAGAAAAAACCAAAAACCGTTATGCAGGGTACAATTGTTATCAAGACAAGAAATCATCCGAATTACTTTTCAAACTCAAAAATCTGCAAAATGAGGGAATCATCAGTTGACGGTGCTACGACAAGAGCGAGTTTTCCATTTGCGAGCAGTACTGTATGCGGCAAAGCGCATTGCGTGCATGCACTCTGCGTGTTTACCCTTTTTTGGCGTGACGTCATCGCGCCGTACATCTGCGGGTTTTTTGCTTGCGGGTTTTTTTCGGATTTTTTTGAATTTTTTTCCGGCTTATTTATTTTTTTCGAAACAAAAAGAAAACTTTTTTTAATTAATGAAAAACTCTGTTTGTCAAAGGGGGCAGCTTAGGAAAATGTTTCTTTATAGATAGCTATTAGGTCAACTCCACAAATATAGAAAAAAAGAAGTAAGCTAATATTGATATTTCAAAGAGAAAAAAATATCAAAAAAAATTGCATCATAACAAATACCAGTAATTGAAATAAGTTATATCAAAAAAAATAAGAAAAATAAGAAAATAACAAATTTTTACAGAACCACCATATCAAACAAAAAGTCATTTTCCCAGAAAATCTTCAAGATATTTTAAATGTACATTGAGAGATTTGAAGGGACTTGTCAGAAATTTTACGAAAAATTGGTTTCTTGTACAATGCCGGTGTTGAGGGTGGAGGAGCAGGGACATCTTTTTTCGCCAAAACTTCCTTTGTGATTTCTTGTTGCTTTAAAATTGAGTCGAAAACAATGGCGTTAACATAATCGTCACTTTCCATCCTGAATTTCATTCATAGCACCACTTTTTTTCATTTCAAAAATCTGAACGAGAGAAAAAAATATGAGAAGAAGAAGAACACGAAGATTTTTTTGAGGACAAAAAAAGGAGCCTTCTTATGAGGTAAAAAAGAAGTTTTCTTTTTGTTTCGAAAATATTCGCACAATCAAAACCAAACCGGAAAAAAAAATCCAAAAAAAAACTCTGAAAAAAACATTGAAAAAAAAACCCGCAAGCAAAAAACCCGCAGATGTACGGCGCGATGACGTCACGCCATAAAAGTGTAAACACGCAGAGTGCATGCACGCAATGCGCTTTGCCGCATACAGTACTCCTCGCAAATGGAAAACTCGCTCTTGTCGTAGCACCCAGTTGACAAGAATGTTGATTGACATAATTAGAGAAAATAGAATCTGAATTCATTTCTTTCCGATCAACGGTTGCGGAGGTTGCGCAAGGCTCGTTTGAGGCGTTTCTTTTCCTCTTTTTGACGTTTTTTCAGTCGTGCCTTTTCTTCTTTTGCGAGTTCCTGTAGATTTGAATAATAAAAACCAAAGATTCTGGATTCTAGGAACCTTTTCAGTGCGTTTCTTTCCATAAATTATATCGAAAGTTCCTTCGCGCATTGCCGTTTGGTAGATTCGTGCGATGTCGACTTCGAATAGCTTGGCTGTGTCTTCGATAGCTTGGCACCATTCCAAAGCCCTGCGGTCGGGATCGAACATGTAGTAAACGCGATTTGGCTGAAACATTGGATCATCAGTACGGTTCTATCTCCAGATCAATGCTTCACTAAGAACAGAAAAATTTTCAACAGTTTCACTTGGTATGAAGATTTGCTCACCGTGTGAATCAAGAAGGCGCGGAAGTTTCTGGCTTCAGTCCTCATACAAGGTGACCATGGGATTTCGCCTTTCAGAATCTTCTCGTCAGGGTCGACGTAGAAAAGATGAGGTCCCTGTAAAACTGAGTACTTCAATCCCGATCGATTAATTCTAACCTCAGTGAGAAGGAACATGCGACGACGTGAGAAGAGCCCCCTTTTCTTGTACACAAATCCAGAACGGAGAATAAGGTGGTTATCGACGTAAAGATGGTATGGATGTTCAATTCTTTGTCTCTCGAGAAGTCTGGCGCGCGTCGCCTCATCCATTTGAACAGGCTTGCTGAAAAATTTCGTTGCTCATTCAAACTTTGACGAAGTAACTCACATCGCCATGTCACTCGGTCCTTCCAATGTGTCATCAAATTCGAAGGTAGCACTGAAATTTTTAGTATAAAAAAATCCGTTTTTAAGTATTATTTAGTTGAAAATTTGAAGTTGAAGAACTTCTCCTAACTCACAGTTGCTGCTCTCCATTGACCAAGCCAACTCCAGGAAGTCGCTTCATCGGTTTCTTCATATTCAACATTCTCTGGATCGCAAAGTCTGTATATCCGGTGTCCATGTCCAGAGGAAGATCGAAGTCATTGTACGCTGAAGTAAATTTTGTTTACTCTTTTTCCCATTTTATAGGTTACCATAGGACTTTGGCGTGTATCCAGCATGCCTTGGTGGATCGTTTACGAGAATCTTATCCCAGTTGATCTTCCGGAAAAATTCGTGGTCCTTGATATCAGAAATCTTACTACGGCTGGCAGGATCAAGGACCTGAATCAATTAAGTGAAAATATTTTATTGAAAGGCGAATTTACAAAGATAGAAGCAAGCAAGTCTCTGGCAAGTGGAGGGAACTCGTCGGGAAATGCGAAGTCCAAGTCTCGGATCTTTTTCAGCAAATGGTACTGATTCACAGCCCGGAATGGTGGTTGACCGTACAGAGATTGGAACAGAATGCATGCGAAGCCCCAAACGTCGGTTCTAAAAAATATGATTTTTGATGAAAGAATTCGAAGTCATACGAAGGTCCGACGTCTCCATCAGTCAGCATTTCTGGGCTGATGTACTGAGCAGTTCCGACGAACGTCGACCGACGGACCGGCTCAGGTTCTTCTGAAAGGGAACTTCAGTTTTCCAAAAGGATATGTTTTGAAAACCTTCTTCGTCATCGTCAAGCATACGACGGTAGTCTCTGGTCACCGGCGGTGGAGGGGCCGGATAGTACTGGTCTTCTTCTTGGAACTTGTTCGAGGGCACTGAAACCCGAACTTGAACCGGAAAAATTTAGAAATCTTACATGTGAAGTTATCAACAACTTGAGCACTTCCAAAGTCAGCGATCATGATGTGGCCATCTTCCTTGATCAAAATGTTCTCCGGCTTCAAGTCTCGATGGATGATGTTTTTCCTATAACAGATTGAATGACTAATTAGATTATAAAATGAAATAACCCATGGATAAACTCGAGTCCAGCCAAGATTTCAGAAGCGTAGAAAGTAGCATGAGGGACACTGAGAGTTGTGAACCGCGTGATCATGTCGTCCAAGGTTCCCCGTTCAGCAACAAGGCTGATGAGGTCTGAAACTGCTTCCATTGAGATGAATTTCTATCTGCACCCACAAAAATTTTCGACGTCTTGGAATGTAGTGTAGAGGTTCGGAATAAACGGATGGTTCTCCCCAGATTCAGTCAGATAGACCAAAATGTCTCTTTCGCGGATAGCTGACTCGAGTTTGTCATTTCTGTAGAGATTAGCTTTTTGGATGACTTTAGCCGCGAAATGGATCTTCGATTCCTCGTCTCGAACACGATAAACCTGGAAAACAGAAAAGTTTATGGTTCGGGTTTTAGCTACGATACCGTGCTGTAAGACCCTTCTCCGATGCTGCGGACGAAAGAAAAGTCGTTTCCAGACTTCTCCGCAATGCCATTCTTCGCTGCGTTTTCGAGGATTTCTTCTGCCTTGATCATGTTCTGGATTCGTGTGAATCGCGGAGCACGAGGCGCCGGCGGCGCAGAAGTCAATAGTGGAACGGATTCCTTTAATATATTTTTGATTTTTTACTTTTTTTTTAATTGGCCATTTTTCAGCGCAAAAAATTATCGTTTTTGATGCAGGAAAAAAAGTTAAAACTTCCAAAAAAATGGAATGGCCTTTCAATAGTTCGAACTCCGGGCTTTTTTCTGCGCTTTTCTTGTGGTAACCGCTGTGTAGTGAGAAATTCTTCTTCGGACTCTTTATTCACAAGGACAGTCTTTTTTTGGCGACTTCGTTGCCTCTTGTTATCTTTTGAAGGTTGCGCCGTTGAGAAGGAAAAATGGTTGGAAATATTCGCGTGGACGAAGTTCAGAAAATCAATGGTCTGTTATATATTTCAGGGAATCAAATTCAAATGATTCTTCAATTAAGGTGTAGGCTACAATTTGCGCCTTTGAAGTTTGTCTTGATTAATAGTTTTCTATGAAAAGTTCTCACTAAAAAGATCTAAAAGTTCAATGATCCGAGCTTACATTCGTTTACTATAATCAAAGTATTATTTTCATCTTGTCTGATCCTCGGTTTGTTGCAAACTCCCTCAACATTCTTTTCAAACTCTGTTTTCGAAAACTAGAACATGATAGATAATTTTATTTATATTATCACTTCGCTTTGCTCATATCTTTCAGGCATTGTTTATTTGGTTTATTCATTGTTTTGCCAGTGATTACCTGGTACTGCCAAGCACCGAAGTCCCCTTTCCTGTTTGTTTGAGGCCATTCACACCTCAGACTCGTTAGTCCTCATGTCCTTGGCCCGCTAGAGACGCTACTTGTGTCAAAAACAAGAGTCAGAAAGAAAAAGCAAAACTGGCTTGCCGGCCTCTATGTTAATTTGAGTTTTTTTCTGTGCAATTAAAGACGGGCTCTTCGCATCCTTGTATATATGGAAATTTGGAAAATAGATGAACCTGGCGAGAGTAATAGCTGGATCCGTTAGCAGAGTCTTTCGAGTTGTTAGACTTCTTCTTGCTGAATTTTGTGTCGCTGGTGCTTCCAGTTGATCTCCGTTTCTTCTTCCCAAAGCTTGAGGATGACGAGTCGTCTGAGTTCCGCCCTACAAAAATTTTAGATTTTTGAAGTTGAAAATTCTGAATTCGCCTGGTCTATGGTGGTTTCAAAAAATCTCGACTCAATTGTTTTTTTTTTATACTTCTGCTATTAAGAGGGTCGTTACAGTATAACTTTCTTCAAAAACATGAGCGCTTGGAAGGATTAAAAATTGAGTGATCTTTGTCCAAACCCAGTTTGAAAAGAAAGAGTAGAAGTGAACCTCTGAAACAGGAAAGGAAGATCATTCTGGACTTGCGCTGCAGGCTCCGAGAGTCTCCGTTAGCCGAACCTGACGCAGCGAGCTTCTCACAACTGCCGGTCGCCGATTCTGAAACGTCCGTCTGTATTGTTGGCAGCTTGTTTGTCACGCCCACGTACAATTTTTTTTTCTCCCACTCTCCCCTTCTGCCGTTTTCGGCAGCAGCCTTGAAAATGGCAAAAAAGCGAGGAAATGCCTTCAAACTAATTGAAATTTTCAAATGAGAAAGAGAGAGATGAATTGATCTTTTCTATCTTTTCAAAATGCAATAATTTATCAAGAAGCGATTTTCTGCCATATATCTCTTTCCTAATCCTCTAATTCTAATATAGCTCTAAAAAGAAAATCCATACCAAGAAAGAATCCCGATAATTCTCGAAAAAGAAGAAGAGAATGTACTTTGAAAAAAATTTTGTTTCGTGGTTTAACAGAAAGCTACATTCATAGACCTTTGTGCTTTTTCCGCTTTTTCAGATTACGGTAGTAATTTGATTTCTGAAAAAAACATACGCTTTTTAATGAAGATAATAAAACCGATTTGAAGTTTTGATGTATGTAAAGAAGTTTGCTCATCTTTCTCAAATGAAGAAGAATGAAAAAGAAAAAGAAGAGGGCAAACTAAAGAAACCAAAGAAACGATTTGGAAAAAAAAGAAACGTTCCACGTCGCAATTCAAATTATACGACCGTGTAGGTGTGAGAAACCGTCTCCAATAAAATTTCATTTTTTGTTGTCCTCATATTCCTTTGTGGTCTTTTTGTTTTGAAAGAAAAATAGAGTAGCGAAACATGAACTTGATATCGTTTTTTCTTGAACTGGAGGAGACAGACGCGGTTTCAACGAAAGGTCGACAAGTTTGTGGCAATGTATCAGTCCCTTGACTTAGTTGAAAGAGAAGTTTGGGTTCAGAAAAAAAAACCACGGAGGAACTAGCGAGAGAGAAGGTCTTTTTTCCCAAAAACTCGTCGACAACAAGTCAAAGAACAATTCAAAGTTTCAGCGGGCGCCACGGAAGTAGCGGCCACCTGTAGGCCGAGTTGTTTGTGCAGTCTCAAGGGCGCTCTCAAGCCAAAATGATTATTATGATATATCCGTTCGCCGTCCCGGCGGCTGGCTCCGCCCACCAAATCCCATGTTTTTCATTTTTTTATCTATTTGCAAGCGCGAGCAGAGAAGCCCCAACAGCGAGAAATCACTATTTAGCGGAGCCGCAAACGTCGACAAAAGCAGCAAAAGAGCGTAAACAGGGCCTGCTATGCAAGTTTCTTATTGAACTTCGACTTCCAAGCGGAAATCCGCTACAAATGATGTCGACAACTTTGAAACTTTGTTTTTGAGATTCGATTTGTTTTTTTTTTGCGGCAACTTGCTGGAAGGATATCTCACTATACATATTATATATAGTCACGTTTTTTTTCGGTTTTAATAGAGATATTATAAGAACACGACCCGAAAAGTTCTGTAAAAGTTACGAAGAGGCTAAGAGCGACTCAAAACGATCCGAGTTGCATCAAATAAATCTAAAACCTTCGCAGTTCAAAAACCGAAATAGATCTATCTGTGTAGAATTCAAGACAACTATAACTGAAACAGCCAAAATTTAAATTTTTTTCTTGAACTTACATTCGAGGTTGAAAAAAATCACCTGAAAACTTAATTTTTCAATGATTTCTAAAATTTTTTTGCTTGTACTTTGCTACTTATATCGGAATTTTCAGAGATTCTAAAAAAAGAAGTTCGGCTGAATTAATGAAAGAATGCCTCATCTAGAAGTTTTCAGGAATAGATGTTTATTTATATACGCACTACGGTATCTCAAAATAAGCTTCAAGTCAATTAACTCTCAAAGTTTAATTTGATTAAGATCTTACGTCAGCTTAGACGAGCAAAAAGTTTAATTTAAAAAAACTTTCTCGGATAATTAAAAAAATTAAACTCTGAACCCGAAACAAAAAAATCTTATACCGTATCCCTGAAAGCACAAGTGTTTCCTTAGTTTCATACCTTGCGAAGTAAAAACCTCTTCAATGAAAAGTTTATAGTATGACAGCGCAACCTTATTCGAAAACAAGAAAGTTTATAATCTCAAAAATTGCTGTTTTCGTGAATATCCAAATTTGAGAAAAACATTTTTTTTTCAAAACTCCTTAGCCCAAGAAATCGGAAAACACCTATTATATGAATTTATCATGCAACAAAACATCAATTTTCTTAAGTGCCCTGGCAGTCCAAAAAATCTTTGACCGTATCCCTGAAAGCACAAAAACCCTCTGGAAGCTTTTGAAATATTCAACGCTTTCGCCGTGAAAGATTAATCTGAGCAAAAAAAAATATCATGGAAACAGATTTTCCAATCTGAAAAAAGTCTGAGCTTCCAGAATTTTTCACTTCTTAGAGGAATTTCCGTTTTCTCGCAAGTATATCAACTTCCACACTTTCCGTTTGAAAGGATTAAATGATACGCGTCATTCTTGATCAAAGACGATTTCATGAACCGAAAAGTAACTTTTCAATAAATGCATAAATTTTTTTGAAAAATGAGGGTTTATTTTGATGAAACTTACAAATATTCTGTAATTTCGTATTTATTCAATGATTTTTCGCCTCTAAGAGAATTGGAAGAAAGACTCGCTTTTGACAGGGATCTTATTTGGTCAATCAATTATGAAACTGAGCCTCAAGCCACTGCGCCAGGCCATTTCGATACAGGAAGAAGGTCCAGGTGCTTACAGGACTCTTCTCTTTGAAAATCATTTTTTCAGGAACCTATGAAATTCAGTACACAATCTGTCTATATCCAAGTACTCTTACCCGGGTAGACAAGCCACCAAGGTCAAGTTCTATTCTCATCCCCGAGTTTGAGTAGTTCCCTAGTAAGAAACTTTCAAACTTTGCTACAAGATGAAATAGCCTAGAAAGTTTTTTTTGAAAGGATTTCCTAAAAAATATTTTTTGATGCATTCAAAAGTCCAATACGAATCTTTTCGTTTTGTTCAACAACAAAAAAAAGTGACTTTACGGGAAAGTAAAGGAAACAAGAACGGTATCAATAAATCTGATAAAAATGACACCTCGAAAAGATGGTTACTGTAACAGCCTCCTCACAAATTCTCACCAGTTTCGAAGTTTTTTCGGAGTTTTTTTTTCGATTAGACTCTCGAAGGGTTTCATCTTAGACAAGTAGAGAAGGAAGGATTTTTTTTTGCCACATTGCTGATTAGAAAAGAATGGTTTCCTCACACCTACGCCGACTTATCTTTTTCTGTTCACACATACAATTTTAAGACCAACCATCGAACCTCTCTGTTTCATCATTTACTTGTTTTTTTGCTCTAAAATGGGAAATAAAAACTGACCGGCTTTCATCTGGCTGCTCAGACGACCCCCCACTGTTGCAGACTACTGATTCCCCGTAGGAATCTGGAAAACTTTGAATAATTTTGTAGGAAACAAGATATACACAATATAGAATCACGGAATCACAGAATATTCTGAAACTCAAACGTTCTTCAATTTCCTGGATGACTTTTTCAGAGCTAGCTATAAATGGAGTACACTTTTTATCGAAACGGAACTGAATTTTGCAGGAAATTGACTCTTTCGAAACTGTGACAAACAAGAAAAAAAGTTGTTATTGTGGAACTGAAACAGATAAAAAATAGAGTTAATTAGCATCCAGAGCACACAATGACCTTTTTTTGATGTTTTTTTTCAGTTTGTTTGTGTGGATATCGCCCAGATAGCAGGAGTGCGCAAGGCGAAAAAGAAAGAAAAAAAACACGGCGAGCAGATATTTATATCACTTCTTTCTACCGTATACTTCAGCATTGAGAAATTTAGATTGAAAAATTCAGAGAAAGTTAAAGTGTTAGAAAATTCTGAAAAGCGGAGTGTTTCTCTTGATTTCTAGGAGTTACCGTAATTCCACTTATGTTCAGTGAATTTCAGCCTTGAAAAATGTAATTTTCGTAAATAAGTTCTGATCACTCTGATTATTTAAAAAGGCCGAATATTCCCACTTAAGGATGAAATTATGAAACTTCCAAAAAAATTAAAAAAATATTACCTTAAACTACAAAAATAGTTCAATTTTTGAAGAAAAAAACAAGTCAAAAAAAGAGTAAAAGAGGGATAATCTTTTTCCAAGAGCTTCATCCTGATAGCTTATCATAACGCATTGAAAGATAAAAAGCACAAAGTTTAACAATTTCTTTTTTTAAAACTTTCGAAAAAAAAAAAAAATTCGCAATAATATTATATAGAATTCTAAAAGTCAAAGATTATGCATAGATTCAGAAGATGGACTCATTTTTAATAGTTTTCAGTTTTTTTTCCCAACACTGTAAAATTGTGAGATAAGATCGTGTCTATGCTGATAGCAAAAAACAACTAGTGAAAAAAACTCTGATAACGAGTAAAAACAAAAGATAAAGCCCAAAAAGGGAAAAAAGGCGCGGTGGTCGCTTTTTGCTGCCCGACATGTTCTTATAATCTTCAACAACAAGCCGCGTGTGGTGACGCATTTTTTTTTCTCTTTTTGCTAAAACGTCTCTTTTTTTTCGAGCGCCTGTGAGTGCAATGTTGTTTGTGAGAGGGTTTCCCTTCGTTCCGTGAGCGTGAGTGTGCATATCTATATGTATGTGAATGTAAGTGGGATCGAGAAAAAAGGAAAAGAGAGAAATAGAAGAAGAGAAAAGGGTTGAAAAAATTGGAAAGGAAGAAAGAAAATAGTGTGCAGACGGCAGCCTACGTACGCTCGTACGTACGCGCATAGACGCGTTTCGGCATAAACAACCGACGAGAGAGAGAGGTTTAATGGAGAGTGTGAGAGAAAAAAAGCACCGCAAAGGGCACAGAGTACACAAACATATCCTCGAGAAGAGAGAGAGAGTTTGACTAAAAAACGCAGGGATCCGAGGTCCTAGCTTTTTCTTCTGGCTCCAAGCCAGAGATTCGTAGGAAAAGCAGCACCGGGAAGAGAATTACCCTCGAAAACATGTTTTGCATCCGAAGCTTCTGACAAATGTCGATATGTCGAAGGCGCAAAATGTTTCAAGAATGAAAACAGGACCTGAGAATACGGGTGAGATAAAAATCTTCAAAAAAAAAAATTCGAACCTCAAAAGCTACAGGTGAAAAAGGAAACTAGGCAAGTGAAACAGTTTTTATGATCCATAAAGCATTTGTCATAACAAAAATCCAACAAACACTTTCATTTGTTCTCCGATAAGTGTATCGGTGAGTTATCATTGCATAAACACTATTGAGAAAAAAATAAAACGTCGTTCAAAGATTTGTCCAGATCAATGGGCTGTCCATAAAAGAGTGGGCGACACACGGCCGATAATCAGTTTGTCGCGCAGTCGATTAGAAAAGGTTCAACATGAAAGGAATAACTGACTTCACAAGTCGAGATTTTTCGATTCTTAGAGATGAGAGTGGAGTAGTTTCGATGTATAACTTGATTATTTTGAAGCTCATTGATGTCAAGCAAGTGGGTTGAAGTTGTCGAAGTCTTATCAGCGGAAGAACTGATTCTGAAGCGTCGGGTTGTTCAACAGGAGCGGAAGCCTAGCCACAATACGCCGGATCGTTCTGGCTCGATCTGTGCGTCTTCTCAGAGATGTCAGCGAGACAACGAGAAAGGGGAGGAAACCAACTGTATTGGTCCGCCTCTTACCATGTTCCGAAAAAAACAATTCCAATCGCCTGATGTTATTTGGTATGATAAGATAGATCAAAACCGGTATAGGCGCAACACAAAGTTTATCAAACTGCTTAAGACTTTTGGTCTCATCAAGACGGTTGATTTATTTCAAACGATGAAGAAAGTGGGGAGTGGTTCCTTCTCAGGTAAATTAGTTATCCGGGAATCTATTTATCGAAGCGGAGTGAAAGAAAATGTTATTATCTCAATTTACGCTGAGAAAGTTCAAAACAAGATGACAATTGAAATTGTCTTACATCACTTTGTCGGTATGTAAAGTACCAAAAAAACCGCTTTGAAGTTGCCGCGATCAAATTATACGAGTCGCCGTTCAAGATTTACTTCAATTTTTTCGAAATGTGAAACCGAACAATTTCTAACGAAAAATATGTTTTCGTCGGGCTGGCTATAGTTTCGAAACTCACTGCCTACACTCTACTCGGAATGATGAGAAATGTACGAAAATCAGTTTATGAACTTGACTGAGCTTCTGCGGCCACACATCACGTCGGAGGTCCTGTTTGATCATCGATGAGACAAGAACAACGACGATAATATCGTCCGAATGCAAATATTAGGCGCCGAGCGGAATCTACGATTACGCAATGATTCAGGAGTATTCGGGCGCGTTGCCCAAAGCGTTTTCCTCCTTTTCAAACGTTTCAAGTAAACAAAATACGTCAATTGGGCCGAAAACGTGGCGTGCTTTAAACCCATTTTGGCTTGCAATGTCTTCCAAGCGTGAAACGTTTTATCCGTTGAAAATGAGAAAACTGGGCGAAACATAATTTATAGGGTCATCTATCGTTGGCCGGCGCTACAATCATGTCTTGTCAGTCTCGAATAAACATTGATTTCGAAAAGAACCTGTTTTTTTTCTGTCATGAGAGTGTTTTCTACTTTTTATCGGGAAGTTCTACAGTAAAAAGCTCGCGCTAAACATTATTGCGAACCTCGTGCTCGAAGTGACTCTCCAAAACATAATGAAACTTTGACAGAAACAAAAAAATATTACGGAAGCTTCCAATCTTCTCGCAACTTGTTCGTAGTTTGGCCTCCCTGAGGAAGCTTCACTGACAAACAACTCACTCAAAGAGGAACTGAACGTTGTTCAAGACGAATGAGAAGCCAAATGAAGGGTTCTGAAAATGAGTTGGACATAAAATGCGTCTTTTTGATACTTGATGTTTTGAAGCGCTTTTTCTCAACTTATTTGAAAATTGAAGAAAGCGGTTTTTGACATGTCTAAGGCTTCGTCCTTCTTGTCCAGAGATAATTTGAACTCTAGAAAACTTTCAACTATATATACCTAAAACGAAGTTCTTTCATCTCAAAATCAAGCTTTGAAATAAGGGATGAATAGAAGAGCAAATAAGGTGAAACATAAACATTTTTTTAATGTCAGTTTTCTATATTTAGTACAGTCCCAGTTTATATTCTCTCATAGGTGAGGTTTATTTCCTCTACCTTGAAACATTTTTGCTTAGTTTGAAGCTTTTTTTTTCTCAGAACTTCATTGGGAGGTTTGGTTTCAACTCTGAAAAGACCCTGAAAAAACTTTTTAACTTGCGACCTTGAGCGTTTTTTTCTTTGCTCTCTAAAACGATCCAGAGAAACGTTGAGAACCAAGTATACCACCTAAATGAGAAACTACCTTCATCAATCAAAAACGCCGACCCTGCACTGTACAGTCGAAAGTGAGAGTGAAAGAAACTTTCAAGGAGCTTTACACGTACTTTGTTTCTCGCGAACTGCGTGACTGAAAAGAAAAAAGAGCTGACTAGAAGAAGCTTAGTAATTCATGCATCGGTTGGAATTTTTTCTCGCCATTGTTTGTCGACAGCCTGGGAGGAGCAATTTTCGCAGACGAAGCTGGTTGCCGCGAACGGCGACGAAACCACGAATTGCCCTTTTATAGGACCGAAAGTAAAGCAAAACGAATAAAACGACATCAGCTTTTTCCAATTACATAGGTGCCGGCCGCGACAGTGGCCTTCAAGGTCGGCCACACCATAACAATGTGCGAGGTCCGGCCGGCACCAACAAACAGCTGGCGTCGGGCCAGGAGGTACGGCCCTCCGAACTTCTTGGAGGTCATCCTTGCTTCCGTTTCCACCTTTGCTCTGTCTTGCAGCCAGTGGGAAAAAGGTGCACGCGTGAGAAAGCACTTTTAGTGTGGCCTGGAAGATGAGTCAAACGTCTGGAAGAGCTGCTACTCCGAAGTTTACAAGTTTACAAGTTTATTCAGTTTTCAGAGAAAATTCTCTGCTGAATCATGGAATAAATGAAGCGTTGATCGTCGGTACTCTGAAGGCCGTTTTCTATATTGTCTTTTTTAGAGAAGCTCAGAATAAACTGAACTCGTGGGAAAATTTTTCTCGGTCTGATACAGTCAAAAATGAAGCTTTGAAGTTTCAGTTTACTGTTCATTCTACTATAAATTTGTCTCAAATTTTCGAACGTCACTTTTAATTTGTCTTTTAACTGCGTCGCTTTTTGAATTTTTTCTGTGGAGATGATCGGTAAACTGGCAGAAAATTCCATGCGTAAAAGTTCACTCTATCCGCCTAGGCTATTGATGAAAACCAAAATATCAAAGTCGCTCGAAATAACAGCTATGTCGGTTAAACCATATATGACCGAAGCATTTGGTTTTCAATCAAACAAGAAATGTAGAAGACAAAAATGAGAGTGCCCCTAATGATAAAACTAACACCGTCGTGAATCGGGGACACGGAGAAAAACCTTGATAGATGCTGTATCTAAACATTATTAGAAGAGATTACCTTTGACAGGTTCGTTTTTTTATCCGAAAAGGCCACAAAGTGTATGGCCTTGAGGACGAAAAAACTTTCGGAATATGGAGGTCATTGACAAAAGGTTCATTTTTTTATTAAAATGAAAATGAAAAAAACCAGAAGCATAAAAAAAGTCTTTGCAAGATGTTTGTGCAAAGTGTTTCTGTGAAAGTTGAGACAAAATAAGAAAAATCATACCAGAAGGTTTACTAATTTGAGAAGAAAGAGAATTTCTTATTATTTTTTATTACATCTTGAACATTTTTTTATTGGGGTTCTAGAAAACTCAAAAAGCAAAATTTTCGAACAATTTTGTCATTTTTGATATTGTCTGTTTATTTTTTGCAAGGAGAGCTATATAATTCAATTTTTTTACTTAATTTGAAAAAAATGCTGCAATTGAACTGTTCTGAAACTAAGTGTGAGCATGCAAAAAATGGTTCCAATGTTTTTTTTTTGTGAGAAATCTTCAAAAATGGAGCAAAAAGATTGTCTGAAGCAAGAAAAAACAGAGTGAATTTTTCCCATAGACTTAAGTTTCTAAATTCGAAAAAGGTCTTGGAACTGACATTCTTTCGAGAAAATAACAGTCAAAGTTGAAAGTCAAAACAATGAGATTTAACAAAATAGAAAAAGGATAAACAGTTGCAAAGAGGACAATGAGAGGTAGCGAGAATGCAGACGGATACGGAAGTGACACGCTGCAAAAAGTACAGGCGCGCTTTTGTGTGTCAAAGGTCCCTCGTGCCAGCCGGTTGGCCCCGGAGATGGATCACGTTTTGGTCGTCCGATGAGTTTCTTTAGGCACCTCCTACCGCTCTTTTTTGAAGTTCAAAGGTGACTTCCGACAACATGTTTTTTTTTTATTTCTCCTTTCGAAAGGACACTACTCTTCGAATTTTCTATGCATTCAGAACGACATGGCGTCAACAACAACTGGGTTGAAACTAGAAACATATAGCCATTCTGTTGTGCCGGAAGAATATTTCTCTTCGCTTCGACAGAAACAGACAACATCATTTATTGGGTTGAGAGAAAGAAGTGAAGCCAAAAATAGAGAGAAAGGTCGGAGAAAAGAAGAATCCACGAAACAGATATTACTGTAGCGCGGCAGACACAAAAAGCAGCATCTGGACTTTGCTGGCTGAAATAACAGAAGACTGTAACATTTTCTCGTTTCCTACGAGGTTTTGAACTTTTTTGGCAACACGAAGAAAAGCTATAAGTTGGAGAAAATATTTGAGAAGTTTGCATGAATCCATTTTGCGTTATCCAGCTGCGGAATGCATATTCATAATATGTTCGTTTTGGAAAGATCCTCCTAGTAAAATTCGAAAAATCTAGCTATCCTTCAACTTTTCGAAATTTTTCTGTCGAATGAAAAATCAAAAAAGGTTGAAGGTGTCTTCTCAAACAATTTTCATTGCTAAGTACACTAGATTATTTTGGCAAATTCAGAAATTTTTGAAAAACAAGCAGAAAAAAGTTCAACCAAGGGTCATACTTTCGAAAACCCGAGAATTTCAAGAATAGACTAGGGGAGTAAATATTTTTCGACGATAAAACGATCCGTACTGATAACAAGAGCTTAGCTAAGTGTTAAGCCTTGTCAATCGACTTTTGTGCTTTCTTCTAGATTCTTCAAGCCTCAATCATGATTAATAGAAGCACACAATTCCGTTTTTCGTTAATTTACCTCAAAATTGGTGACTTTTTAAAAACAAGAATTCCGAAGAATTTTTGTAGTTGTTTTTTTCTTCTTAGAAAAAATTTCAGAAAAAGGTGATATTTCGAATACACATGGCACGAGTGGACACGAAAAAACATGAAGCCACAAAATTTAAAGTGACGGAGGATCAAATAACTTCTGGATTTCATAAAATCATGAGAAATAGAGCGTAAACAAGTGTTTCAATTTACGTGTTTTGCGGGTGTTGGGAAGCTGAGAATACGCTCAAACGCCCTCTGTTTGCCTTCGTCAGCCGCTGCTTTCGTTTGTATTGTTTGAATCAATCTTTTTGAATAGCATGAGGAGCGAGCGCGCCAGAATCCTGTCTTCGAATCGATTGAAAAGCCGGACGGCGAACAATGCGATTATTTGGAATTGAACAGGAAAATAAATGAAAATAGTGTCGATTCGACCAAATAAAAATAGCAATAACAACCAAATTGAATATCACAAATTAAAAATATGATATACAAAAAATTTGAAAAAGGCAAGCGGTGAAGAAAAATTTCGTCATTTTTTTGTTTATCGTTCTTCCCGGTTTCAAAATATGAAGAAAGTGTGCCACTACTTGAAATTTCACCCAACGACATTCCGCTGTTCCGCTGCGTGCGTTCGCGAAGCGTCTTTCGATCGATCGTTATTGCTGTTGGAGCACATGAAAATAGAGTACCTTAATTAAAAGTAAAAAAATTAAAAAGCTCGACCAAAGTTCGCAAAGGCGCGTAGCGGCACAGCGGAATGTCGTTCGGTGAAATTCCAAGTCGTGGTTCACAGGCTATACTAGTATTAAAGTTCTTCGAACTAAAAGTAATATCTTCTTGGTTTCAACATAGCTTGCTCTTTTGATATCGAGAAAAACCAGACTGTTCCGTGAAAAAAAAATCCTCTAATAAACCGGCTGGCTTTAGCCATCGGAAAAAGGGTCCTGACACGATAAGAAACGAGACAGCGCCTGTTAGGTGGAGAGCACAGACAGACCACGCCTTTTTGCGTTCCAAGCTAATCTTGAAATGGCTACATCTTCCTTCCAATCATACAAGAACACCAGTATGACACAAAATTATCAAAACCAAGTCGTAATATTTATTATTATCAAGAAATAAAAACGAAATCGAAAGACAAATGGGATACTCGTGTAGAATAGGGAGAACAGTCGATGTGATGGGGTGTACAGGTACAAGCCTTAGGTATTTGGAATCAAGGGGCGAGACATCGGATCTAGCAGGACAAAGTGCAGTAGCGGAAGAAAGGTCCTTCACAAAGCGCGGCGTCTTTGGCGACACATTCACGGGATTCGAAACCGATCATGTTGCCGTTGTTGCACGGTTGGCTCGAGGCAAAGTGCTGTAAATCGAATTTGTAGTGAATTCCTTGAAATTTTATTGTTTGAGGAACTTTCTGTTGATCTTTCTTCAAAATCCTTTGTGAAAATCAACTAAAACAAAAAATGATTTTTGTGTTGTCTTTTGTTCAAAACCGCCAAAAAAGTTCCTAAATTTCAACAATTTCCATTTTTCCATGTAGACGGCTTTCCCATGGAACCATTTACTTCACCGCCGTTTGTTTATTTTTTTGCCGACTTTTCATCTCACCGCAAATGTAGCGATGATGTGAGAAGATAAGATTCTTCAAAGAGGACAAAATATGAAGTTTACCAATTTACAGGTTGAAAGCTTCGAAAAAAATATTAAGAAGAAAAATTTTTTTGAACTGAGAAGTTGATTATCAAGTTTTTTTCATTCTTGTTATGAAAAACTCAGTGATTTTTTTAATGTTGAAACGTAATGGCAAGTATTTTTTTCAAGAAACATTTTTTTATTGAATTTGGCAACCATCCTTTTCTTTTTTTCATTGAAGTTTTTTTGCTTGATTCAGGATTTTTTTCTAGAGCTTATCCCAACCAATAAGTAGGTTAATAATACTTTTTCTTAAAAACTTATATCTCAAGAATATTTTATTAAGAGAGCTCTGTGAAAATTGATGTCAAATTTATATCCGTTCAAAACCTATGAAGATAATGAACTTTTTCTGAATTCCGTTAAAACTTACTTGACAAGTTCCTTGCCATGGACCCCAAACGTTGACGGCAGGAGCCTCTTTGACGTCTCGATCTTTCGGAGACGGTTTAGGCGGCGTGATATTTTCAAAGTTCGAAGCTAAAATCACAATAAAGTTGCAATTTTCTGTTTCAGGGAACCATCGTCATAATCGTCGCCGTTGGTGTCGACAACGCTGCGGACGGATTCGATGGCGACTGGGGCTGAGAATTTTTTATAGAACGGAACTAGTTGAAAAAAAGCCAACTCGTTGTGGGGAGGATCGCCGGACAGTTCTGGACTTGCATGAGGGCTCCCAAGCATCGACGCAGATCCAGGCAGCGACGTCGTCGGATTTGACGCTCACCACTCTTGGTGCATGGTGTCCAGTCCGACCAGTCGGAGAAGTAATTTCCCTCCTGTAAGATGTTCATATCAATGGATTTCCGTATGCTCATGCATTTCTGAATTTCTAGAAGGGTAGTTGATTATTTCCTCTTGGTTTTTAATGTCATTATTAAAAGTTTTAGCTCAGGAAACCCTAAGACGCAAAAAATTCACTGTTTCTCACCTCTTCTGGTGTAGCGACTTTCTTCATCTTCAAAGACTTCTTAGTCGGCTTAAGCTCATCCGAAGGTTCTTCACTGTCAGAAGAAGCAGAGTTGGACTCTTCGACAGTTTTCGACACAACTTCCTGCTCTCCAAGGTATTCGTATTGTTTTTTCTGAACATCAAAAAGTATATTTTGAGACTCATCGTGAGAAACTCACGGATATTTTCTTGTGCTTCGGAACGTTCAAAGTCTTTGATGCAAAGTTGCGTGGATGTTTCTTGTATCTGAATATTAACAATTGAAATGGTTGATTTTGATAGTACTGACTTTTTCTCAAGCGCAGACTTGGTCTTCTTCTTTTTAACAACGACTTCCTCTTCAACAAAAGCTTCGGTGGAGGAAGTGGTGGTCGGAGGGAGAGTAGGCTCTTCTACTTCTTCAGAAGTTGGCTCAACTTCTTCTTCTTCGTACTCGTTTTCTCCTTCACTCGCTTCGTTGCTGTCGTACTCTTCCTGAAAATGTCGCTCTATTGTTTTTCTATGTAATTAGCGATCTTTACATTTTCAAGAGATGTTGGAGAAGTGCCAGATGTAGATTTGGTCTCTTGAACTTTAGAAGCTGATGTACCTTCTTGAGCCTTGACTTCGTCGCTTCCGGAGGCTGAAATCTTCCAGTTAGATCCCAAAGTTTTCATTTTTTGAAAATTACAAAGTGATGCGAGTGCTAAAATGTGATGCTCTTACCCTCAAGGCTCTCAGATTGTTCAGTTCCAGGTTGAACTTTGGAATCGTCTTCTTCGTCTGGGTGCAGCTCGGATTCTGGTGCAAAAGTGTGTATTTGTTGACATTGTGCATACATGCATTTATGCAAGGTTGTTGCAATTAAAGAAAAAGTTTACCTGGCTCACCAGGTGCTGGCTGAGAATCAGCCGCTTCTGAAGGAGTCTCAGCAAGTTCTAAACTTGATTTAAACTCGATTTTTCTTCATGAGGTCTCACTGTTCATGTCGCAACCGTTCTGGAAGTACACGACGCGGTCAATGTCTTCCTTGGTGAAAGCGCTGGGTTTAGTGATAGCTGATTCGCTGTTGGTGATACACTCCTTGTCTTCGTAAAAGAACATTGCCGACTGAAGTTTTTGAAAGTTGAATTTTTCAGTTTCCATGAATACCTTGCAGAGAGGTTCGCTGACACAAACTGAAACACAGTCTTCCAGAGTGTCTACGACAGTCAAGTTCATGGCGTAACCAACCAAAACCGAGTCGTCAACTCGGATGAATTGAGAATCTGCGCACTGAGGAGGCAAGCTCGCTAAAAAATACATTTTTTTAGGTTAAAAAAAGCTTTAAATAATAATAATTAATGACTTTTAAATGTTATTCTAAAGCTCAAATTTTCTTGCTCAGATCAATTGCGATCAGAAACCACTCGTTTTAAAAATGAAACTAAAACAATGATCCACAGAGAGTTGCATGAAATGATAATCTCACGTTTGAGGCAGAACTTCTCAAAGTATCTTTTGCCGACTGAAGGATTCATGACCGCATTGCCAACTGGACCAGCTTTGGCTTTGTAAATCGTGCAGGAGAAGCTAGCATGATCGTACATGAAAGAGGCGCATTCGATTTCCCGCTTGAACTGGTCCTGTAACTTTAGTTGAGTATTCTAATGGTTCCAGCGACGTCAATCACTTTTTTTTTACCTTTGAATAGAAGTCAAACCTACCTCTTCACTTCTTTCGGATTGAACATACGCTCAGGTAATTGAGGCAAACTTCTACACAAAAAATTTGTAACGTTCCTTATGAAATTACTAAAACTGTTTTGAAAGTTTTTAAGGATTCCACAGCCTTGATCCTAATAGAATATTCACTAGTTTCTAATTTTTTCCTCCCCATTTTCTTTGAAACGTGAATATTGATTACCCGGTTGTTGGAGCAAGTCCGGATACAATCATCTTCAGAAGTCGTCTTATAGACAATCGTGTCCTGCAATTCCAGTTCCGCGTTGTCGAGGACGAAGAAGCCGGAAGCTTGGTTTCCACATTTCGCTGAAAGTTTTTCTAAAAAAATGAATTCAGAAGACTTTGTTCATAAAAAGATTTCTTGATTTCAAGAGAAAGGTCTGGAAACGAGTTCCGCTATGAAAATAAACATTTGGCTAGGTTTTCTCCGTTGAGAACCCATTTGGAAGGATTTCCGAAACGGAAACCAGCCTTCATATGCTAATGTTACGGAGGACACGGTCCGAAGCCGTTTGGAAAGCCCATCAAAGTCCGATCCCCTGCGTGTGGTAGCGGATTCAGAAGCCAGAGAGCTTGGATGGATGCGATAGGAACCCGTTGGTTGTCCTGCATCTGGGTCATCGCCTGGTAGTCCCGAGACTGTTTCGTCAGATATGGGAATTCCGATTTGAGAGAAGCGTCGCTGACCGAATGTTGCGCAAAACTCACTTTTCTCATGAAATTTCACCTTCAACCAATTAGTCGGTCCGACAACTAAGTATTCCCACATCTTCGATGGTCGAAATTAGACCTAATCAATTGGAGTTATGAAGATTCGCAGTTACGAACTGGAAGTCGGAAGGAATCCTACGTTTTCCTTTAATTTTTAAATTTTCTATTACTAATAAGTACAATAATTTAAAATCTTCAAATTTTTTAACTTAGTTGCAAAAAGAGCTCAGTAATTCGCACGATTCCAGATTTTCGTATCCTCTGGTCTTTAGAAAATTTGCAAAGTAAGCCTCTTTTTCAGAAAAATTCGAAAAAAATCCTGGTCAAATTTTAAAAACCTTGAGACTGAATTTCAATTTATGACTTTCAAAGCTTCAGATTTGATATTTAGTACGAATGAGGTTAATCAATAAAAAAAATTGAAAAAAATACTTTTTTTACCTGAAGATACTTTTTTTCCGATTCATCAAACTACAAAAGATCCTATTTGAGAGACTTCAGTCATCTCAAAAAGTTGCCCGCGATTTCTCAGTGTTCTTTTCAAATCCTTTAATAGGCTTTCAATCAAAAAAAAATCTCTTCTATAAGCTATAAGTCGGCTTTTATCCGACCGGTTTCATTTTTGTTGTAAATTATTCAGGATCGAAACTGGTTTTTTCGGACAATGAATACTGGATAACTTTCCTCATTCCTTATCAATCGGTATTTCAGAACTTCTGAGAAAGTTAATTAGTTGGAAAAAAATTGAAAAAAATTCTGTCAGTTTTTTTCTTGATTTGATTAAGATAACAAGTTTGAAATTGGGATTGTAAAATATCAGAAAAAAATGAGCTCATGCTCTCAGTCATAACCAAAAAGTGGATCAGCTCTTCTGAATTTTTCCTGGAGGGACACGAAAGCTCAAACCTGGGCTCTTTTGCTGAGCAGAAGCCAAGGCGAGGAAGCTTGCAAGCAGCAGGATGATGGGGCGAACCATCGTAGGTAATGCCTCTCGACGCGAAGTCCGACGACTACTGGCTTCTCAAAGGGGGTCATCCTGAGTCTCCCGCCTCCGGTCGCGCCTGCGGCGATTCTTTCTCTTCTTCCGACCACAGTTCTCGATTGTCTAAGGATAAGTACAGCAACATTGAAGAAGCCTTTTGTTTAGAAATTCGGGAGAGATTAGTTCATGTAGACGATTGATCAGATCACACTGGATATCATCAGCTTGAAAACATCTTAATAAAAAAGTGTGGCTGAATAGGGAATTGTGTGAGGTAAGCATCGAAGATCTGGCCCAAAATTTTGTGAAAGATAGTCCTGGATTACTCAAAAAAAAGAACAAATATGTGCTAAGCGCCATAGGGTACTGAGAAATAGCCTGTCAAAAATTTTACGGAAGAAGCTCCAAAACTGATTTTCTCCGTTTTTCCATTTCCATAATGTATACCGTTGTTGATATATATATCAAAAGAAGAAGAAACTTTTTCCACAAAAACCCAAAAAAAAACCAGTTTTTGAGCTTTTTCTATACATTTTCAACAGCCTTTTTCTTAGTACCCTATGGCGCTTAATTGATAATTTTTTTTTTCGATTATTCATACCTTGGACTATTAAACACAGAAGGTTGAACTATATCTGCAATTTTTTTCCCTCACACAATTC